ATTTCTTTTATCACATGATTATTCGTTAACCCATTTTAATACGTTTAATTCATTTTATAAAAATTTAATATTATATAATTCTTTTAGACAAGTGTTAATTTCTTATTGGGCCATGACACTTGGGAGGACAGAACTCAACAATAACGTTGGTTTGCATAAAAAATGTATAAAAAATATATATTTAGTAATTCAATTCAATTCTATTATTAATTCAAAAACAGTGAAATGCACAAGTTCAACATTAGGTTAAATAAAAATATTATTTTATTTTAAAATAAAAGAAAATTTTAAAAATATTAATATGTAGCAGTGTCTCTCTAATAGCAGTGTCTCTCTATTATTTTGCTTGGAGTACATTTGAAATGTCCGAGGGGTGGACCCATAAAAATTGAGTTTTGGGTTCCATTTTGTGGTAAAAATAAAATAAAATAAAATAAAATAATTTGTAAGACCTATATATATATATATATTTTGGTAAATTATTTCCAATAGGTGGATTAAATAGAATTCTCTCTAAAAGAAAAGCATTTCATAATTCAATGAGTGCACAAAATAAGAAGAATAATAGTTATATGTGTTACATTTAAAATTTCTCCTTTTTGAACGTGGCTTTTCAAAAAGAAGATTCAAAAGGACAAAAGTTGAGGTTTGTCTAAGTTTTTTTTTCTAGTTTTTGTTTTTTGGGCGGAGGTCACATAAGTCTCAAGGAAGGAAAAATAGCACTTTGATTCTCACTAATCAAAGTGTTAAAAAGGGGTTTCGAAGGGGTTTCAAATGACTGGCTAGGATTTTGAAAAGAAAATTATATAATACATTATAGAGGGAGATTGGACAAATTGAGACATATGAAGGATTCATAACCTTCGGAACAAGAACAATATTTGTATGATTGAAACTGTGCAAAAGATGACCAGATGAAATTAAAGAATAAAATTACAAGAGAGTATCACTTTTAACTTCCTCCCAATCGCTTTGGAAGAAAACAGGCGTCAAACCATCCAACTCGGGAGCCTTCAGAAGACTCATACTTTCAAAAGTAGTTTTAATATTTTCCTTTGTTCCCCCCTCCCTCAGAATCTTCACATTGTTCAGTCGTAGCTTTCCTCTCAACCTTTCTCCAAAACTCATAATCAATGATAGTGTAACAATCCTCACACTACCCATACATAATATTATCTGTTTTTGGCTCCACCGGATCAAAGACTTCCCAGGAGATCACCCATCCTGGTACTACTCCAGAGTTAACACGCTACTTTAGAGTTCTTATGGGTTCACGACTATCACGACTTTAAAACGCATTGTCATAGAAGGGTGTTAAACCTACATATTCCATTTCACATTTCCTAGTCGATGTGGAATCATTACACCCTGTAGCATGTCAATGTGGTAACCCGTCCAATATCTCGCACTTGCCCATAGAGGTCATCACAATCACCCCTGTGGGGCCCAATGACCTCATTGGCCACACTTCTGACTAAGTTTCGGCTTTGATACCATTTGTAACGACACTCACCCCTACCCAGTTACAATATTGTCCGTTTTTGGCTCCCCCTGATGAGAGACTTCCCAATAAGTCACCTATCCCGGTACTACTCTAAAGTAAGCACGCTTAACTTTGAAATTCTGATGGGTTTATGGCCATCACAGCTTTAAAACGCGTTGTATCACAGAAGGATGTTGAATTTACATATAACACTTCACCTTTCCCAGACGATGTGGGATCATGACACCGTTGTAACTCGTCTAGTGTCTTACACCCGCCCACAGAGGTAGTCACAGACAATACCAGAGGAGGTAAACAAATCCTCAAAGTAATTTTCCATAATTATCCAAATATCAACTTTACATTCACACCAAACCCCATTAGTGTCCTCCAAGCCATTGATTTCATTCTTCGTCTTCTAATCATTGTTTTCCTATGAAAAAATAAATAAACAAATAAATTTATTTTCATCACCATGCTTGAGCCAAGCAATTCTAGATTTTTGCTTCAAATATTTTTTTTTGTCTTAGTTGGTACTCACACACACATGCCTCCACTAAGGCTTAAACCGCTGACCTCCCTTTGAGAAGAAAGGACATGATACCGTTAGTTGCTTCCAATATTCTCAAGCATTGACATTCATTATTGAGTTCTAGGATTTCTTTCTTGAGCTTTGAGTTGCGTTCTTAGCCTTTGAGATCCAGGTCAACTTGAAAACTTCTTGCTTTCACTTTGGAGTCTTTTGAGTCATTTCCATGTCGATAGATGTCTTTATGTGTGTTTGGATGCTTGGAATATGACTTTGATCTCCTAATTTCATTGAGGTTAATTTGAAAATTTAACAAATCTAGTACAACACTAAATATAAAGATTAGTGCTGAAACACTATTAATGGTTTGTAATCATCAAAATTACTAAATTATCCTTAGGTTAAAACATTTCGGTCAACACTAGGGATTGATGTTGTGAGGTTGCGCGCGCGCGCGCGCGCACACACACACACACACACACATTATACACGTGTCAAACACGATTAGAAATGTCCAAGAATTTGGAATAAAAAAATTGACTCCAATAGGGGCATATTTAGGAAACTTTTATGACACGAATAGGTAATTTTGATAGGTGTCACCGTGTTGAGGAGGTAATTTTGATAAGGGTTGGTGGCAAGAACGAATCCAGGAAATGTTAATAGGGTAGGCTAATATTTCTTTGGATGAGCTAATAATAGTAATTTGTTTTTGTGTTTTTTTTTGGGGGCTGGGCTAAAATTAGGTATGGTAAAAAAAAGGGTGGGCTTGAGTCCTACCCTGGATCCACCAGTGGTTGGTGGGAAGTGTTAGGAATTATGTCTCAAATTCCCATTATTATTAGTTTCTATTTTAGAGTGTATTGTTTATGGTAATTTATTATAGAGACGTGAATTGGGCTCTAAGAAATTGTAATCCTTGTCCACAAAGGAATTGGGTATGTGACTCTATAAATAGACACTTAGGCTATTGTTGAGAGTTATGAGTTGAGAGAGATGTACCCCATGAGGGAGTACGATGATGGTAGGGGTGAGTTACAGGTTTGGTAGAGTGAACACTGATGGCGAAAGGGAGTCTCGTGGTGTACACAGAGAACTCGGTCAAGAGTTTGTGTGCATGGTTCGGTGTTAAAATTCTCTACTAGTGTAATATCTCTACATATATAATAAATCTCTTCTCATCCGTGGATGTAACCCTGATTTTAGGTGAACCACATATATATCTTATGTTGTAGTTTGAATTATTGTTTTCTTTCTTTTCTTTTGCTTCCGCTGTGCCCCAACAGGAAGAGCATAAGGCAGTAATTTGTTTCCATAAGTGAAATGTATGTATGTATCATTTAAAAGTTAAGATATATATATATATAGTAAGATTAAATTTATTACTTTATTTATTCAAAATTTCACTTTTCCAAATTAGGTATTTTATTTTTGGATAAATTACATAGACCTCTCCTATAGTTTGTTATAATTACAGGACCTCCTTATGGTTTGGAAATTTACTCGGATCTTCACTAAAAATGAAACTAATATACACGGATCTCCCCTAAAAATGAAACTAACTTAAACGGACCTCCCCTAAAAATGAAACTAACCTAATCAGATCTCTCTTCTGTGTGACGGACCATCAAATGTACTAACGGACCTGTCTAATTTACTGAAATGCCCTCACGTTAATATCTGAAATTACTAAAATACCCATCTACTTTTGAGTAAGACTGACGTCACTGTGTCAGTTATACAGCTGTCTTATGTGTGCAAGTGGTCAAGGCATGCATTAGGGGAGGTACAAGTAAATTCTCAAACCATAGGGACCTCCCAATAATTATGGCAAATCATAGGGGAGGTCCATGTAATTTACCCTTCATTTTTTTGTGTAATTATATATATATATATATATATATATATATATATATATATATATATTTCATATTTCCCGAGCTCATACTCAGAGTCAGTCCCCCAATGTTTGCAGTGTAATGGAGTACGAAATTGAGAAAATATCTTAGTATAAAACTTATAAAATAAAAAGAAGGAAACACATGTGACTTTTGCAATGTTTGGACATCAGAATTTACTCCCAAGACTAGTAGTTGAGTGCTCCTTGTTCGAATCTTGACTGAGTTGCCAGTTAACAAATTGATCCCAGCTGTTCCAATGACATTCATGACCTAAAATCAATTTCACCCCAAAAAAATTTTAGCTTGCATTTTTTTTTTTCCCCTAGTCCGAAAACCTTGACCTAGGGTTCTTGGAAGTTAGAACCCAAAGCCACTAGAACAAAGATAGATAAGTAGATGGCTCATGTTCATCCCTAGACAGTCCGGAGAAAATAAGGTTGAGAGAAACATAATCAATCACACCCCTTAAACATGAACACACCTTTGGGTAATATGTGATAGGGAACACACCTTTGGGTATAGGGAAAATATTTCTATTGGATAAGATTGATGAAATATGACGTGATTCAACAGAATAAGGATAACCTTGGCACAATTTGAGGAAGTCAAAGGAGTAAATCATATTCCCGACAAATCTAGCAACAAACGGATCTCCTCTTATCTCGCATAAGCGGATGGTAAGGGAGACCTCAACCATCGACATCGGCAGAACCAATTTGATTCCAATCGACAGCCATAAATAGGACACCAAACCATTAAAGAAGGTACGTGAAAAAAAACCCCTAAACAGAATATACATAACTATTATGTGATACGATTACAAGTACTAACTTGATCGTCGGAGGGTCCTTGGCTGGCACCCCACCGGTGCCATTCGAGATGACGTCCTTTTGTTTTGCAGAAAAACGCCGTCGTTTCGAGTTGCGAGAATTTTCGCATCAACAACATGAATTCGAGCCATTAACAAGATTTTAGAGATAATGAAACCATTCTTAGATGCAACCCAATTTATGGAACACACCATGGCAGGCTTGGGGATTTTCCCTTTTTTCCTACTGTATACAAATAGAGCAAGTTTTCAATCAAATTACTGAAAAGTAAAAACTTCGCACTAAAATCACTATTGTTCCAAGAAAACTTATTGAAGAGAGGATGTTTTAGGCCAGCTAACATAGCATGGTCGATACAAGTTAGAATCTCTTTTTTTCTTGGCCAACAAAGCTTCTACACAAAAATAAACGGAACTTCAGAGTCTTGGGTATGAAGCGCCTGCAGCAACTGCTTCAATTTGGTTCTTGTTCCAACTCTGAGAATTTGGACAATCTTGTCTGCGCGAAAATGAGATGTTTGGCATTCCAAATCAGAAATAACTACAAAATGCATCATGTCTAAAATTGATGTGTTGATAATAGCCGAGTCGCATCACATATGGCCACCATGACAATACATATGGCCACCATGACGAGAGACGAGAGTTGTACACAAGATCACATCTTATCTTCATCAATAAATTTTACTTCAATCCCTCTAGGCCTTGTGGCATTCCTAAGCTCTGGGCAAGATTACTCATTCTCTCCTTCATGGCCTGACAGAAACAGAAATGCTATTAATGGTCAAACTCCTATATGTGAGGGGAAATGAGAGAGCTTTGGCTTGATAATTTGATTACAATGTGAAATGGTTCGCACCTGGACACTCTTCTGGTGTGCATCCTGGTATGCCTCGGTCACTAGGAGGGAAAGTTTCTGCACAAAGTACAAGAATAAATAAATAGATAATAGAGGCTAATAAATCCCAATTCCAGTAATAAACTACTATTATTACTACGTTTTTGTTATTATTGGACAACAAACCAAAACAAAAAACGAAAAAATAAATAAATAAATTATAATAATATGAGCAATGACAATGAAAACAACAATAGTAGCAAGAGTGGGAGAAGAGGGGAAAGGAAGGAAGATCCGTGATAACACTTGATTGGGTCAAATTTTGCATCATCCAGTTTAGCTGATCTTTGAAGTAAATATCAATTAGATAAACAGGTTCTAGAAAGCAAGAATTAGAGAGAGAATCTTTGTTGTTGAGATTCTATTATAAGATGCAGTTCTCTTATCAATTAATTGCCACAAGAATGAATACCACTGGAGTTGGAACAAAGTTGATTTTATCCGCTATTAATCTCAACAACGCAACCAGTCATCATTATTAGGTATAAGAATTGACTGTTATAACAGTATATTACAAGCAACCCAAAAGATCCAGATTCATTTTTATTTTTTTTTATATAAGTAAGATCCAGATTCAGTTTTCAAAGTTTAAGAACTTCAGATCTTACTTTTTGTGATATGATCTCATATAATTTAATATCAGATCCCAATTGGCAAATAGCTGATTACAGATTTTAACTATTAAACAATACTTTCTCGCTACAAGTGTCATTTCCTCTTTGGTGAGTTAATATTGCAGAAGAAGATGTTATTTGATTTCCTTTAGCACATTTTGGATTGGCTACAAAGAGGCTAGAACACTTGGGCTCAGATATCAAATTGATTAGATACTTACGCTTACTGGGAGATGATGCAAAAAATGACGCCCATAAAAGAAAGAACAAATTAGGAAATTATCTGACCAGCAACCAGGACAAGTCAATTACAACTTTCACATTACATATCACAGATTTATAGAATTGAAGATTGCCTGCTTTTATCTGATAAAAGATTGGAGTCCACAAGATGATATATATGTACTTTCTGAAAAACTTTAACCAATAATGTCCAAGTTCATATTAAGTAAATCATGCAAGTTTTCATTTAGCACGCATATGCAGCCTTGGTGAATTAATCAAATTTCTAATAAAGATAAATAAAAATAGTGAAAAATGCATTTCCTGTTAGAGTCCAAATAAGAAGTTTTCCGCTTTTTGTGGAAATTTTTAAAAAAACAATACATAATTTTATAATTTGATATATAATTAATGATTTGGTTCAACCTAACACCACTGTTATTTGCAGAATGACATCAATTTTCAATCATGAGCACACTTTAGGCCAAGGACCAGAGCTAGTGAATTTGAGTCTAGTAAACATTTAAATTATACTTGTAACAGTAGCAAGTGAAATAATAATGATATCAGTGACTCAATTAGAAATGAGTAGTAGATTCCTGATGTACAAAAAAGTATGAAGAACTGAAGGTGGTCCTTAAATTAATGGCAGACAACAACTTTGCAAGTACTGCTGTCAGAAAATGGAAAAATAAATAAAATAATAAATCCAGGCACTTAAAAGTAATTGGTAGAATGAAACATGGGGAAAGAAATTTATGCCAAAAATCTGTGACACTAGGGACACTATCAATATTGTCTCCAATAAATATGGGTCTATAGATATACTCTCTTAGAGGTTTAAGTATTGCATTATGAACTATCGTAAGTGTCACATCTGAAAGAATAAGAAATTATAATTTAGCCTGGTGTTGCAAGGCATGATGCTGAAGAATCAGGTAGGCATGACTGACAATAGTTAAGGATCTTAGGAAGATTGCAACAAAGAAGGAAACCCAGATGCAGTAAATTTTGTTCACTTACTTCAGCTCCTAACTCCATTGCAGCCTCAGTTACCTCAGTTCGCACAGGCTGCTGGTTACCAGAAAGTGTTACCTGCAAAAGAAGAGCCCAATGAAAAAATAGAAGTTTTCTTTGAACATTATTGAAGTGAATCCTGCACTACTGCTGAGGAAAATGAGCGAAAACTAATTAATAGTCACAAAGCAGGACTTCCCGAATTACATGGCCTGGACGGGAGTTTAGATGTCCCTTTTGGAACAAGAAATGTTCCAAACAGGATTTGAAGGAACGCATTAATTTGAAAAGACTCATTAATAAACAGAACTGTAGTCAAAAGAAAAGTCAGAGATGTGATCTAAAAGAAAAGTCAAAGATGCCGAAAGGTGGTTATTTAAAACCTAAAGGACCAAATCAGAAGGGCAAAATGAAATTGATACAAATTATATATATTAAAAATAATAAATAAATAAATAAGAGGATAAAAAAGGAGGCAAAAAAATTAGTTATCCACTTTAGAGATTCAAAAACATGTTAACCTAGGTTGATAAAAACTGAACTGAATTTATGATCAATTAACAGCAACTGAACCAATTCCAGAAACAAACTTATGTATACGTGATATGACTTGCAGGTTAACTTACAAACACAGACAAAGAAAAAATGGGAAAATCATACCTTTATTAGTTCACCTTCGCAGTAACCATCAAACTCTGCTCTGTAAAATCATAACAAAAATAGCAAAAAATATATAAAACGACCAGAGCAACACGTCTGCCTAATTGGACAAACAGAACATAAAATGAAAATAAGAACAGATCCCAGTAATTCATACGCAGCAAGTTCCTTTTGCACACGAACTGCCTCAACTTGGACTACCATCTGGGCTTTCTTAACAGTCTCGTACAGATTTTGCATATTACCCAATATTCCAGCCTATAATTAAGTAACATGACAGTAAGATCATTGCCAACCATTAAATATGAAATTTTAACAGTTAAGTACAAATATATAGAAAGAACCAACATAATGTGTTATAGGTCTAATTTTGTTTCTGGGAGAATCTGTGGTGAGATAGCAGACACTAGATAATTATTTCCCTTGTCTTGTTAAAAATTTCATCTTCATGGGACTCCTACTATTAAGCCATGTAACATAGACTCTTCAAAAGTATGTGAAGTACCCTTGTTGGACACACAATTACTCAAACATGGATATGGGATATGTGTCCTACACTTTTTTTCATTGGACATGCATCTAAAGCCGTATTCAATAATTCAATTTTATTCTATCATTTGCTTCAAAATGAATGAAATGCCTATATTGAAAACTATATGACACAAAGACATTATTTTACTCCAAAAAGTAAAACAAAAATAGTAAATAGTAATCATTATTATTCTTCCTTTCTAAGAAAGACGATCTAACTCTTCCTCAATGTGCATGACTGAATTGAAAAACTAAAGGCAACGGTCTTGTGGGGTTATCGGCTCACAAGAGAGCTCTTTAGTCCGGATATATGCCTTCTTAAAATAAATAAAAAATAAAGTAATAAGAACTCCAACCACCATTTATTCATTGACTTTCCACTTATGCTACGGCAAAGACTCCTTGCATCTATTGGAGTTCATTGCAGTGCCCTCAATGGAGATTTAGTCGTTTACTTGATAACTCTTTTGGAGGATTCAGGAAAACTTGAAAGGTGTTAGAGATCATTGATTTGGGTTAGTTTGGATATAGAAAGGAACAAATTAAATTTCAACGACAAGTTCACTATGCAAGAAAAGCTTGAGATAACGCTTCTCTTTTTGGCATCCCTTACGGTATTTATTGCGCGGGAATGCTTTTGAGCCTTCATCAATACGAAAACTTGGATAGCAGTGACCACCTCCTGGGCCCAAACAAGGTTATCTTAGGTGCTTCCAAGCTTCCCATTAGGAGGAAAACCAATTTCGATGTCAATGATTCCTCTCTTAGAAATACATGGAAGCTTGGTTAGGAGGTTGATTAAGCACTATGCCTTGGAAGTACACAAATTAGACGACAGATATCATGGATGACTGTAACTTGGGCAGAAGATATTAGTTGGATATAGGTCAGCCAGCAAAGAGCCAGATTGTGTAGCCAAAAGGGGCATAATCACCTTCAAATAGTGAAGAGGGCCTTTCAGTCCTCCTTGATGTTTGCTGCTGGTGAATGGTTTTTTGGGTATGCAGTTAAATTAACCTTATTCGCTATTTGTTTCTCGTAGTCTTAGTTTCCACTATCCTTTGTTTCTCAGTCTTCTCTCCCTAATGATATTCCTGGTCCCAATCCTTCCAAAAAACAAAAACAAAGGAACACGCATGTTGTGCCGGAGCTTTCCAACAGGCTTACATATCTATATGTATTGCTATATCCACTCAATGTATTATACAGAAGTTAAAGTTCATAGGGAATAAGTAAAATAATATATAACTGGAAAGAAGACCTTCATAATATCAAATAGAAAAAGATGTAAAGGTGAACAAACTTTCAGAAATGAATCAAGCATATATATGAACATTTGATTTCACTTAATGATGAGTATTGCTCATCTAGAATGTGAAATTTATTTTATAGGAGCTCAAGGAATTAAAATCCGCTCAGCATCAAAAGTGAAAAATAAAATAAAAAATACCCAACAGAAAATGCGGCTTAATGAAATTTCCAACTGATAAGAGAGAATCAACAGAACCTTTGATGGGGAATCATCACTCTTGTCATTACTTTCCTTTTTCCCTCCAAATAAACCATGTACACAAAGAGATCTGTGGGTCTTAGCAGTCTTACTACCAGGCCATGATAGAACAGAAAGACCAACTGTATTTGCTTTTGCGTTTAGTTTACCTATAAAGAAATTAGGAATTAATGTTATATCTCACATCAAGGATCATTCAACCAAGCCTGCAAGAATAAATGTTACTTATGAAGGAATAAAAAACAAAAAAAACTTTATGTATTAGGGAAAAAAATACAAAGAAACTAAAAATGCAATCATTTTATCCAACAAGGTATTAAAATTTGCATACAACTTTAAGTAAAATAAAATAAATGAGCGTATTACTTCTTTTCTTTTTATTTGAGATGTTTGTTTGCAGTTCAAGTGCTTTTTCTCTTTTCCTTGTTTGTCAGAGAAGGGGCTTATAAATGCCACCCCTGTTAGTCGATCTTAAGATCTGGAAAAATGACTAAATCTGATATCTCATCCATGTTCTTCCATTGAAATATTGAATATGATTATAGGATAACCATTAGTATTAGTCTTGGTCTTGTTCATGGCCATGTTTGGCAAGTACACTATGAATCAGATAGTGAAAATTTGTTAGGATTACCAACTACAGTATGACATACCAGGCTAGACAATTCAAGTACTCTGGGTATAACATTATCCTTAGAGGTGTTGTGTCCCCTAAATAAAATAGCCTGGGTAATTGATACCTATGGGTTGTAAATCCCTATAATCACAATGGCCACATGAAATGGCTAGATAGTCTGATCCCAACCAATTGGGTTTACAAAGTGAGATCCTAGAAATTGTTGTGACCCCTTCCAATACAGCTTCAAGTTGGGTCATTTTAGCTCAAAATGGATATTCTACATATGATCTACAAATGTAAATTTGCATTTGTATGTATACTTCTAGTAACAATATCAGATTGGATATGCTCATAACTATAGGTTTGTAATAATATCACGTCGTCCAGTGACAATAATAATATATTTTTTTTTTTGATAAGTAGTGACAATAATAATATAATGCCACTAAAGAATAGATCATCCAATTGCAACCTTAATATTAGTTTATATGAATAATATGTAGTAATAAATATATAAAAGTTATAAACTTTTGTATTTCGGGTTACTCAGGTTAGTAAAGCCTTTGCCCAAATCCCACCCAAAATAAAATTATAATAACTGATATTAAATAATTTATAAACAAAATGATAAAAAATAAAATTTTGATTCATTTCCAAATTATAATACAAAGAACATTGTTGAACCCACAAGTTTGGGTAGTTTTATTTCAAGTTAAATATATATATAGTTTCAATATGTAATGCATATACTATAGAATCTGTTAAGAAGTTACTGAAATTTTGAACAATCTGACCAACCTGAAAAACCATCAAACCTAGTAGAGTGTGGTGCAGGTTAAGATGCAATGGGTTTCTTGGGACTTGGGCTTCATGTGGGCTGAGGTATTAGTATCTTGGGTTTGGTGTGGGCTGACCCCTTTGCCCGCCCAAGTCTCACCCCTATTTTAGGTTGGGTTGTGCTATTCTTTATTGCACCAATCCTTCTGATGATAGCTTCAAGTTGGGTTTAGCTATAACAGTAGCTTGCATCAACTTATCATGAACTTGTATATTTTTAAATACCATTGCCTTGCTTGGTTGTGAATGTGTACGCACTTCTTATTGATTGGTATGCATTTGTTCATTCACACAATTATTTGTCAACGTGATACCATTCATTTTACATGAACTGTATTAGGGATTTTGGTAGAGAGTAACCAGTTATCTAATAAACTTGCATTGTAAATTATTTAAGCATCTCTACTTATTGTGCTATCGAGCTTATTCCATTTATTGAATCATTGATTGATATTTCAGGTTAAAGGAGGAACAGATAAGATTGCATACCATTACTTAACTTGAGCCTTTCATTCTAAGAAGCACGGACACGGATACGACACGACACGGACACGGCGACACGGCAAATCTAAAAAAATTAGGACACAGACATGGCGAGGACACGGCGAATATAGTGTGTGTGTGTGTGTGTGTGTGTGTGATGTAGTACTTTAAAAATTACTAAGTGTTATTATTTTTCATCAACCTCACAATGAAAAAAAAAAAACACAAATCATAACTCATAACTAATAAACTATAAAAGAACAATGTTGCATAGTTATAAAACCAAATAAAAAACAAGACATTAGAATAATAACTAGTATCATTTAATCATCATTGCAACTTTACTCCAAATACAAAAGCACAGACAGAAAGGAATATTAACATTCATGACTGTTTAACATTCAGGACATTACCGTTAGCATTTAACATTCACAAAAACCTAAAGGCTAGTCCCCAAAAAAGATACAAAAACAAGTCAGTGTACTATCATCTATTCCCATCCACCATTTGATCTAGGACTTTTACCATTTACAATACCAAAAGGGTAGTACAAAACAAAAAACAGAACATATCAGCATTAAAAAAATAAAATAAAATCCAGACACGTGTGTCCGCAGAATGTCCGAGTCGTATCCGTGTCGTGTTCGAGCCGTGTCCGAAAATTAAAAAAAATTCCAGACACGTTTTTTGGTGTGTCCGACACGTATCGGGGCGTGTCCTACGCGTGTCCATGTCCGACACGTGTCGGACACGGATTCTTCGCCCATTTTGGTGTGTCCGTGTTTCCTAGCTTTCATTATTATTTTTCAAATTTATGATGCATTACTTGAGCAAAGAGTCTTGGGATTGTAAATTTTTTCGTTATGATTGTGAAATGCAATTGTGGTTTAGGAAATTTTTTGGTCTTTGTCTTCACTTACATTTTGGTATTTATTTTGATTGAAGTTTCTATTCAAATGAAGCAATGGGAATCGTATTGCCATTTATTTAATGCAATTAGACTCAATTGATTCCCTTGTTGAGTAGGAAAATTCTGAGATTCTTTGTTGAGGTTTCACACCACATTAGTTATTACATTACTTCCGTATAACCTAAAAGATGCACGCCTAGAGAGGATACTTTCTGATTTAAAATAGAGTTACATTGTGATACATACTGATAAAAGTAAATAAGCAGGAGAAAACTAGAACCAGAGAGAATTCTCCTAGCAATTTGTATCAAAGATGGACCACATTGAATCAAATCGTAAAGTTTGAATGACTGATAATAAGATTTTAACAATTAAGTAGCATGAACAATAATAACTGAATAGTTCATCCCAAACCTTTCCCCATACTTGCAAGGACAATGAAGAAGTGGACGAGCCCCAATCAAATTTATCAACGGATGGGAGACCCATTTAGGCATGCCATCGGATTGGATAAATATCAGATTGGACTATGTCCTAATCTGATTATAGAAAAAATAAAATAAATAAAAATTGCAATTTGATCCAATCTAATAATCCAACAGATTACTCATCATCAGATCCACATCTGCTTTGCTATTTTTGTCGGATATCCAATTCAATAATCTGATCTAATCTAATAATTACTTATTGACTTATTAAAGGAAAATATTTTTGTTCTTTCAATTTGCATGAAGAACTCAAAGAATTTACCATCTTATCATATATATAACATTTTACCCAGACAAATCAAACGGTAGATATAATACATTATTGAATATATTATATTTGGTCGGATCAAATTTTTATTAAATCGAACTGACCTTAATCCAATCTGATTTAGTGGTATGACGAATTATTAGATTTGGAACATTAGCGGATTATCGAATTAGATATTCTAATCCATATCCAACTTATCTAATCCGATTCGGATCGGAATTCAATTATAATTCCGATCCATTGAAAGCATGCCATAAATAAAGGCCTTAACATACACTTTCCCTCCCCTACCAAATCGTTATATATCAATACTTAAACAATCATAAAAAAACAAAACAAAAAAAAAATCCCTATTCTGTAATATTATTGCATCATCTATGAAGCTTTAGAAGTATCCAAAGTTTTATCAATGGAACCAAGAAATTAAAATTCTATTAAAAGCCCAGAAATTACATCTCAGGACACACTTTGTGAAACACAAAATTAGCAGCAAATCCTAATTTCAGGTGCATACAGTTCCAAAATGATTCATTGTATCCATTATGTAAGAACCCTACCAGGTTAACAATTCGTGAAATAAAAAAAATGTAAAATAAATGAAATTGAGAAAGACTATAGATAGTTGTGTGTGTACAGATGTATATAATAAATAAATGCATTCACAATTTACATAAAAATACATACAATCCACGCTAGAAAGCTAAAGAAGGGCAAGTGATTCGAAGAAACAATACAGACGAGAGACAGAGAGAAGGAGCTTACAGAATGAGAATGAAGAGCTAAAGTTGTTGTGGTTGCTTAGCAGGTAGCAGTTCGAAAATTGTGCGGTTAGGGCACTAGGAAACGCCGCCATTGATATGAAGAACAAAATTGCTGCGTGAGAGTTTAGGGAGAGAGATGGGGAAAGAAGGTCTCAGGAACCGGAAGCAGCGATTTCAGCTGAGAGAGAGAAAGATGGGAAAAATGTGATTTTGTACTTCGAAGATATTATTAATCAGTTCAGCTCTTTTCTCTCGCCTTTTGATTCCGATTCAGGTGGGTATCTTTAGAACCTTAGATTTAAAATATAAAATTAAAAAATATAAATAAAAACTAAAAATATAAATATATCACAATTATTTAAAAAATTGCAACACGATTCTGAGGCTTATTTGTCACATACAGAGCATGCAACACAAACAAAATCGAAGTTGCTATCCCATCAATTGATGATGCAAAACCATCATTTAATTTCTTTTTCAAATTATTTTGCAGACTAAAATAAATTGTGTTGCATGCTCTCAAAATAAGTGTCTTACGTACCTGAACAGAGTCATCGTATGTTCAAAGGAAGCACATATTGAACTTGGCTCATTATATTATATATGATTATGTCTAAATTTATATATATAATATATAAAAATTTGTATCTCAGGCCTGTCCTAAACTATTATAATTTCTAAAGTTTTTATTTTTTTTATTTTTTTTCTCTTCTTAAATTCTTTTAATTTTCTTTAAAAATGAAAATAAAATTTCTCTACTTCAATCACATTCTAATTCTTTTTCTTTTCAAAGTTATTTCATTTTTCTTTTCATTTTCTTCTTCTTATCTAAAATTTTTTTTCTTTTCTTTTTTTTTTTTTAACACTGCGTCGTAGAATTGAAATTCTAGCTCTGCTTACAATACAAAACAAAACAAAAGTAACTGTAATATAATTCAGACTAGATAGACAATTGGGTGCTTGAAGAGACTGGATATCACCCACAGTCGATAAAAAAATGAACATAGAAATGAAGTCACGAACCCAAATAAATTATTTTTTTATTTTTTGAAAGACATGCAACAGCACATTTGGGTAAAAGCTAATATAGGGCAGACTTGGCATTTATAGGAGAGTGGTTGAGTTAGAGGTTCAATTTCAAAAGACATGTCAGAAAATAACAATCTTAGAAGAAGATTATAAGAGAAAAAAGAGAATGTTAGGTTTCATTTTTTGAGAATAGTTTTTTATTTTTTAAAAATTAAAAAACATGAAAATTATCACACTAAATTAAAAATGACATATTTTTAAATGCTACATTAGGCGGCACCAAATTAGTGTTGTGGATTTCAAATTGGAGCGCCGCCAAACATAACAAAAGCAATTTTAGAAAACTGAGCCAACAGACTCTAAAACCTATCGTTTATATAGAAGGTAGGAGGTATCTGGATTTGCTTTTCACACCCCTATAAAATTGGGTATTAAACTCTTAGAAATTATTCCATGACCTTAAACGTCGGAGGAATTTATTTTCTAGTTTTTTCTAGCCAATTTGTATCTGCAATAGTTGCCTCAAGAAGACAGATAGTTCAACCAGATACAGATTAGTGGCTTACGTAGACATTATTCACAATACAAATCATGTTATATCTAGGTACAGAACTGATTGTATAGAAGCATGTTGTTACAAATTGAACTGCTATTCCAGATTTACTGATAACCTAATCCATAAAATTTTGAACAAGGATGAATCAAGGTGGCATTTACACATTTGGATTGATGCTACACAACAGAAGCTAAAGGGTATGATTTACAATAATCGAATATTTACATCCTCGTGGACATAAAGTACACCTTAATTGCCCTGGACCGGTTTCCATGGAATGTTTCGTGAGTTGAAACAAGGTAGCAATATCACCACCCGACCTTGCAGATGCATCTAGGTCCACCTCATATAAAATGAGCAGCCTCAGAATGCAAATTTTCATGACCGTGGCAAGAAAGTACAATCAGGCTAACGAACCCCTGGAACCAAGTTTAAGCAAAATTACTACGTATGTGAGTGAGAGAACACCGAGTCAGAATGAATAAATGAATGGTATTGAAACTGGAAAAGAGTTCATACGAGAATACATTCAGTAATGTATATAAGATAAATTTCAAGAAGAGATCAAAAAGAAATGTACCTAGTATGCCTTGAGTACAAAATTCTGAAGTACAATGAGCAGCCCTTGTCCCTTGAAGAACCTCAAAATTGTCAAGCTTGATTAGGAAGCTGTTGAAATGTGCCAGTGTTGGGGCTACAGCCCCCAACCATCATCTTCTTATAGACTGCAAATGCACGATCAGGATTCCCTGACACGCTATACCCTCGAATGAGAGCATTATATGTGAAGACATTAGGTTTAAGGCCCTTAAGTTGGAGTTCTTCATACATCTTCCCTGCTTCCTCTACCATTCCAACAATCCCGAGATTGAGTATCAAGGAATTGTAGGTGTAAAGGTTAGGACTGATCCGTCTACACCTCATCTCATCAAAAAGGGAGAGAGCTTCATCTACTCTTTTAGATCTTCCAAGGCCATTAATCATAAGGTTATAAGATATTAAATCAGGATCAAGGCCACTTGTCTTTAGTTCCTCAAAGTAGTGCATAGCATCCTCCACTTTCCCCGCCATGCAGAGGCAATCTACAAGAACAGTGTAGGACTTCAAATCTGGTCTTATTCCCTCTTTAAGCATCCTATCAAACAACTCACAAGATGTTTCCACATCACCCATTTTCCCAAATCCATTTATAAGAATATTGTAGATAGCACAGTTCGGTTTGCACCCATAATTAATCATCTCCTCAAAGAAATTCTTAGCTTCGTCCAATTTTCCCAGCTTCAAGAGACCATCTATGAGAGGACCGTAAGTACAAGGAGTCGGAGAGAAATCTCCACTCATAAGATCATAGTACAAATCTATGGCTTTTTCTATACTATTAGACTTCACAAGACCGGAGATGAGTATGTTCTGAGTTATGGTGTTAGGCTTACATCCCCTGGAGAGCATCTCTTGATAGAGTTCAAAAAGTTCATTGACTCTCCCAGACTTCCCGAGATCATGAAGCAAAAAGTTGTAGGTGAAAACATCTGGAGCACAACCAGCATCTTTCATATCCTTAAAAAGATTCCAAGCCATTTCAGTAAGATGAATATCAAGAAGCCCCTCAATTAAAGGATTATATGCTTCCGGGGTTGGTTGAACTGCATAGCTTTTTGTAAACTTGACAAATAGCTCATGAGCATCAATGGCTTTCTTATGCTTGCACAATACCCTAATAAGAGGTACCATGACTGATTGGTCTCTGCAAATTCCATCTGACACCAATCTCTCAACAAACAAAATGGAATCTTCTAATGCAGCTTCACTCAAAATCCCTTCCACAATATCTTCCCAAAAATGGCTGTCTGTCTGCTTCCTATCCTGATGAGTGAAGTCCTCAATGATTTTGAAAGCATCTTCAATCCGACCATCTTTCACAACGCAAGGAAGCAGGGTGCACAAAGTTATATAATCGGGGTAGAGTATTTTCTTCATCTGATGGAAGAACCAGAATGCATCACTAACTCTGTTTTCTTTAGCCAGTCCATAAATGACAGTGTTAAAAGTAAAAACATCAGGACTGCAATTCATTCCTGTCATCTGATAGAGCATCTTCAGGGCCAAATCAACCTCTTCATTCTTGCAAAGACAATCTAGAAGTGTATTGAAAGTAATTGTGTTCGGAGGGCAGTGATGCTTAGACATGCTATTAAACAATTCAATGGCCTCTTGGACTCTGCCTTCTTTCCCTAATCCAGCTAGTAATGTGTTGAAGGTTACAACCGTTGGAGAAAGTCTCATCTCCTTCAATCTGTAAAACATTGCCCATGCCTCATCTACCCGATCAGCTTTATAAAGTGTGTCGATCAAAGAATTGATATTAACAACATCTGGGCAACAGCCGCTTGCCATCATTTCAGAGAGTAACTGAATGGCTTCATCTATTTTCCCTGCCTTTTTATAGCACTTCATCATCATGTTGTAACTTATCGAGTCCGGAGCAAGCCCACTATTTTTAAGTCCATTGAAAATATTTTTCGCCTCCCCAAACCTACCCATTTCTGCAAGACTATACAAAGATGCATTGCAAGCAACAATATTAGGAACAATTCCACGATCTTTCATCTTCTCAAAGGTTTTAAGAGCATTTTCAGGCTCTCCAGACTTTCCATAATAGTCGATGAAGAGGATGTATGTGTAGGCAGTAGGTTCAACACCAAGATATTCCATGCTATTACAAAGTTCTAGTGCTTCATCCAATCTATTTACTCTCAAAAGCCCCCCAATTAACGCATTATAAGTATGAAGATTAGGCAAGATCCCTTGATTTCTCATGGAATTCAATGTAACAAATGCTTCGTCAACCTTCCTGGCTTTGCATAAAGCATCAACAAGTATTGTGAAAGTAACAGTATCTGCAGCATAACCATCAGCCTCCATCTCGCTCCAAAATTCTCTTACTGTGTCCAAGTCCCCACAGTCACTGAACTTGTCCATTAAAGTGATATAAGTCACTCTATCAGGCTTTTGACTGCTAGATTTCATCTTTATAAACACTTCCTTAGCACTATCAAGTTTTCCTGCATTACAAAGAGCATCAATGAGAACTGTGTAGGTAATGACATCAGGTCCACAACCCTCGTCATCCATTCTCTTTAATATGCTGCAAGCTTCGTTAATTTTCCCAGCCCTCCCAAGTACTCTAATGCATATAGTGAAGGTGTACACATTTGGCCTCAAACCCAAGCTTTCCATCTCGTTTAACAAACCCATGACAGTTCCAATGTCCCTTCTCTTCCCGGACGCTACCATAAGCGCAGAGTAAGTTTTCAGACTAGGCTTAATCCCTTCTGAGACCACTCTTCTATAAACCTCCAAGGCCTCCTTACACCACCCTGATTGAAGCAGCAAATGGATCAACCCATTGTATGAATAGCCATTTAAAACAAACCCGGCTTTCTTCATCCGCTCAAGCGCAAATGGGGCTTGGCGAATCCCTCCCCTTACATGAAGGACCTTAAATATCGTCAAATAAGTAGTCAAATTCCTATTTATGATTTGCTTTTGCATCAAATCAAACACAACCACCATATCATCCACCCGCCGATGAACCCTCAATAGCTCAAGCATGTAATTACAGGTTTCAGTGGTGTGAGAAACACTGGGCAGCTCAGCAACTGACTTGAAAAACGAAAATGCCCCAATTGGGTCCGAAATCGACTCTAAAACCCGAATAACTTCCTCAGAAGACATGCCATTTTTGGGCTTCCCATTCACCACCATCACATCATGTGAACTTTTCACCAGAAACCCATTGACACCCACATGTTTTTTCCTATGTTTCTTCCAATTCACCTTAGACCCAAATGACAATACCTTCAAATTTCCAAAATTTCTTCCTCCTAGTGACCCATTACAAGTAGAAGCAAAGGGTTTACTATCACTTACAGCAGTATACTGAAAATTACTACAGCAAATCCTTGAGGAGCAGAGTATAATCACAGCCATATATGAATTATCATAAACAATTCAATTCAATGAACATAAAGCTGTGAAGTGCATATAAATTAGACATCTTTGGTGCTATGCATGATTGTTGTTTGTTGAATTGCGTAAGAGAAAACTAAATAATGTAGAAACAAAGATGGGTTTGTATGCTTACCAATTTCAGAGAGAGAGAATGAGAGAGGTTTTATCGGTTAAACGAGGACTTCGTGGACAGAAGTATCCGTTGTTGGCTGCTTTTGGATATTTTGAGTTCTATGGCGTCTCTCGTATGACGAGCATTATTACATGTTATGTTTTGTAATGACATCAATATTACACAATGTTAGATTTTTTCTCTTTCTTTTCTTTTCTTTTCTTTTTTTTTTTTTCCTGTTTTTCTTTTCTTTATTTATTTATTTACCTGAATTCCATTCTTTTATCTAAATTATTTTTATTTTTCTGTTTTTTGGGACTTCGATTTTATTTTGCTTCTCTATTAAGGAACTGTGACTGCTCTCTCTAAATCTGTTATATATCTCATTGATGTTCATATGTGGTCTCCACTTGCTTTCTTAAGTTGTTTGGCCTTTCTTGATTTGTTTGGATTATGGGTTTCTATATTTAAATTTTATTTCAAATGTATTTTTTTTTTCAGAAGGTAGTTAAATGTATCTTCTCCATTTAAAATTCGAAATTCACATTTAACATAAGTTATTGCAAAAACCTTTTAATCTTTTTAACCCTCCAATATGTTATGTCCCAGGGATATCAAAGAAACTAAAACACTTTATTGACCAAAATTTTCTTTACGCATAGGCTGTTGGAATAAATTTTCAAAATAAATAAGAACATGCAATAAAAAATAAGTTATGAAAAAATTACAATTATAAAAAATAAAACACGTGATTATAAATCAATAATTACATTTTAAACATTTAAATTAATACAAACAAGGATAAAAATTATTGTCATCTTTGCCTCGTCCATATGAATTATCTCCTTCCAACTTTTCTGTTACATTCCTTATAAAAAACAGTAGGCGAATCTACCATAAAGTTAAAACTGTGATAATCATTTTGCTCAAAACACCTCTCACAAACACCGTTTCAAACTTAACGAGCCATTTCAATCACGCTTGCCTCAAGTGCCAAGATCAAATACAGTCCATCATTCAACCCTAAATACTGTAAATAACTTCACTAAGATCTTGAAACCTATTACTAAATTTCAATAAAACTTGTCTTGAACCAACTATTCAACTTCAGATGCATCTTTGACTGAACTCATAATGTTGCCAAGCTCAAATAGATCAATTCACCACCATATCTCCCTACATAAATAAGTTTGTTAAAATCCCTGAAACCTATTTGTAGGAAGTAGGCAAACCATTCATCAACATTCTGTTTGACATCCGAGAAAATTAAATAGAAAATGATCAAAATATTACTTTGCATGAAATCATTGTATTAAAATGCCGATACCACAAGTCCTAAGCAACCCGAGAAATTAAGCAGCATCCTTAATTTGCCATCAACAACAAACAGGTCAGATAGGGAGACAAATAAAGGAAAGGAAAGACAACCTTTATAAAAGTATAAGATAACCTGAAATTTACCTAAGAATAAAAAAGGAATCACTTGTTTCTTACATACCTAATGTTTGGTAGAAATGCAGCATATTTAGAATGCTTTTACGAAGGAAAAAAAAAAAAAAAATCCTACTTTTTCACAACAACAATGATTCTTTCACAATGGAAGAATAATTCCCAATATGTTCTGCAAAAGGTCTTAATCTTCTATGCTGGGGCAAATCACTGCCAACTCGCCCCCATTTTCTTTCTCTTTCTCTTCCTCGTCGGAGCTTTCTCCATCTAAATCTGAGTCAGTGCTATCAAATGTTTCATCCTTTCCCTCCTTGGCTGAGGTGTCCTTGCTTTTATCAATATGCTGAATATTATCAGGCATATTTTTTATGGCTATCACACAGCCACCATTTTCCTGCAACAAGGACATGTGGTTCTCTCCCATCCTATGAGCTGTCATCGATGCTTCATTTGTTGTCCCAAAACTACACAGATTGCACCAGAACTTGAAATTGGCACTCTTCAACATCGCTGTGGTTTCATCAATTGGATACCCCTTGTTTATCTTCCACAGATCCTCTGTTTGCTGAACTTTCTCCATGTCGTCTTCCGAAACTTCCTCCTCTTCCTTTGGGCAGTTGCTTATGTACGGGTTCATACTAACAGTGCACATTGCATCTTCAATGTATTTTTCAGTTTTCTCGGGCAGAGGATCGCAATTTCTGATACTTTTGCCCAGTGCCATAGTACTTCCCCGTAATGCCCTCTCTTTTGCCTTGTGCTTCTTTCCCCGAAGGTGGTCTTTTAGACCCTCTTCACAGGGGGCTTTCACTTGACACACGGGACAGCTCCAATCCTCTTGTATCTTCTTACTCAAACCGGCTGAAGGGCTCTCGTCATCACCAGTGGCAAATCCTATTTCAAATTTTCGCTTTATCCCAGCAACACTTGAATTCATAGGCTTAACCTGATAATGATGATGATAAAGACGACAAAAATGATAATGGTGATGATCAGTCACTTGCCCAAAATAAATACTCCGTAAATAAGAAGATTATCAGAGCAATGACTCTAGAAAGAACTATATCTAGGAGTTGCTCCACAATAAACACTGATGGAATTACCAACTACTTCTTGAATAGGGACTAGGGAGTTACTATTTTTTATTTCTTCACATCAATAAGTACATAATTTTCGAAGTCATTAACTGAGTTACAGTATGAAAACAGCGAAAGTTAATAGCATTACATCGTATCTCCTCAAGCACTTGATATTCTTGCTGATTGGACCCACTATAGCCAATCCTCTCAATAAGATGTGTTCTTTAAAGAAGACAAATCAAGCAAATAACAAAATACTCAACATAGAGGTGTAATCAAACAAAAGAATTTGGATGAATAAGGCAATCTTCTTTTCCAATACCTTTTAAGGGTACCAGTGACTCAGGTGCCTCTTATTCATTAAAGCTTTTGCTTAGAACAGCAATCCTAGAGTGAAGGTCTTTTGGACCAACCATTAGAGAATGTTAGCAGAACTTTCGCTACTTTATAAAGCAGCTAAACTCATATTTATACGAATCAAAAGAATTTAGTACAAAGAAGGGCAAAGCCCACTACACTTGTTGTGATATTGACGATATATAGCTCTTAGTAGGAGCATGTTAAAGGAGAGCACAAACGATAACAACCAAAGTAAGCTTGTTCAAGCTTGCAAATAGAAGTTCTTAGTTGTAAAGTTCTACGACATTATTTCCAAATTCAAGGTGTGAATACACTTCCTAATAATCTCATAACTCCTATCCTAACCTTTACATCACCAAGAAACATGTCCATAACCAATCATGGAACAAGCTGCACAACCCACCTAACACCTGGCGATGACAAAGGGCAGTCCCAAAGTTCCCAAGCATGAAGCAACCAGACAACAAAGAAAAGATGGCAATGGACTCTTCCAATTTACAGCAATTAGGAGTGATCCAGCCCCAACAATTCATACGATTCATAATAAAAACACTTGCTATTAGCTACAGTCCTCATAAAGAACGTAAGTATAGCTCGAACATATAAGTCAACTAACTTAACTCACTAGTTTAGATGGAACTCATAACTCAATTAAGTTTGTCCAAATTATTTAGGGTAAGCTACATGAATCTTGTTTACAGTTCTGCTATGCAGAAGGCCATAACTTTAGTTACAAAAGCTATTATACATGTTCTAGCAATCTCAAGTCCTATTATATCTATTCTTGCTATCTCAATTCATATTCATTTTGGTCTTCCCTTTCCCTAGTATTACACTCAAGGTGAATTATGTTACTCTTCCTTTGTCATAGTTATTGGTCTTCTATGCATATGGTCAAACCATCTTAATTCTGGAAAAAGAGACTTAGGTAAAACAATTAGACAATCACATCACAACGGGGTAGCACTTTTCTGCTACTGAACAAAAAGATTCATCTTCAAAACAACCAATGGAAATAGTCCAGTAAAGGAGTACAACAGTAAAAGTTACTTCATAGGGTAGAGTAAGAAAAATCATTACAATTGTTTTCCATAAACCACTTTACCTACCCTAGTTGTCCAAAAACGGCCTTTTATGAGCGTGATGAATGAAAAACTAAAGAGATTGACCAGGTTGACACATTGAGGCTTCTATCAAATCTACATACATTCCCAAAATCCTTCTCTTAGTTCTTTGTGCAAGAGAACTCGAACCACAAATCATTGTTGAGAGATACCAACAAAACATTGTTTCGCATGAAGAGAACCTTAATTACACAAGAAAACCATGTACATCCAACATTTTAGATTGAGATCCTCACTTTGACTCAAACTTCGTAACCATGGACCAAAAAAATTCTCACCCATCAATTGCTTAAAGTCTTCATCCAGCACTCTCCTTAATTTGATATTCGATCTAGCCCATAATTTCTGAATTTTATATAGAGTCGAGCCAATTTGGATGAGTAGCCATTTCCTGGATACCTTAAAAATAGATTTAGACTAAATAATTGGGATATCTTGAACTAAGACAAAAGAAGATAAAAATTGCAAAAATTTCCCAAGGAATAAATTTTTTATTTAGGTCTAATATCTAAGAAAACAAATCTAATAAACTGGTAATTTAAGGAAAATCCAGTCAGTTCAAGCAAACATATCAAAATTTAGAATGAAAAACCTGGTTAGATGATTATACATAAAAAGTTGCGATGTAGCAGGGATACTTCTTTCTTTGGGCGAAAACCCTCAAATGAAAAGGGAAGTATCATCTTAAACTGGCATTTTATAAAACTGCCCAGAGGTGGCTTGAACATTATATATGTATATATCTAATCACTGAAATTGTTTGTGAAGAATGGTGTAGTTACATATAAAAATGGTTTCACTTCTTAGGCCCCATATATGATATAACTACACGCATTTGAACACTATCTAAAACTTCTAACATATTCCTCGAATCACCAAAATCACTGCATTAGCTAAAAAAGCACTCAATGCACTAGCTGAAAACAGCACCTTTCACAGGAACACGAATTCAAAGAAGAGGCAGAAATATGAAAGATTACAAAAGGCACATAGCAAACAAAACTGAAGAGAATGTGCAAGAATCAAAATTGGAAATAAAATGCTGGAATAAACATGGTTAGCAGAAGAGATTGATTAAAGACTCACCGAATTTTTTTTTCCCTTACTAAGATCAATCACTGGTTTAACCTCTAACTCATTCTTCACTTCTGGTTGCCTCTGAAAAGGCAAACAAAACAAAAGAGAATGTGTAAAAGTCAAAAATGCATATAAATAGCAGAAGAGGTTGATTAACTTGATTAGAGACTCACCGAAATTGTTTTCCTAAGATCAATCACGGGTTTAACCCCTAACCCATCCTTCACTCCTGGTTGCCTCTGAAAAGGCAAACAATACTGAAGAAAATGAGAAAAAGTAAAATTAAAAAAATAAAAAAATAAAAAAAAAAATGATGCAGAAGAGATTGATTAAAGACTCACCGAAATTGTTTTCCCCTTACTAAGATCAATCGCGGGTTTGACCTCTAACGCCCCTGGTTGCCTCTGAACAGGCAATTCACCATGAACCCCACCAACCTCACGATTTGGGTGTTTCACCAATGACATGTCTTTGTACCCAGTTTCTGGACGACCAAACACTCCACCTTCTGAGTGTTTCATCAATGACAACATGTCTTTGAACCCACTTTCTGGATGACCGAGAAATGCCAAATTTCCCTCAATCCCCAACCCATCTTGTTGATTGAAGAACTGGGATAGTAGACTGCTTCCTGAACTCAGTAGAGAAACAGGGGAATCGATCAGAGACAGCTCTCGGCTTCTCCGCATTGCAATTTCTCTCTCTAACATCAGTTCTCTCATCACCTCAGCTTCGAGTTCTCGCCGCCGTCGAAGCTCCGACATTACAATCTCTTCCCTGATCCGCCTCTTCTCAATCTCCCTCATGATCAAAGCCTCATTCACGTCAAACGGAGTACTCACAATGTCGCTCATTCGTCGAACACTTGGTGGGTTGTTCAAAAGACCAGCTAAAACAAACAAATATATAGAATCCATATAAGCAAATCATGAAACAAAACACAATAAAGAACTTATCATAAACACAAAGATAATATGTGTGTGTGTTTGTGTGAGAGAGAGAGAGAGAGTGATTAGAAAAACTTTTAGGGTTTAACGAACCACTTAATGCTTGATCGATGAAGGAGCTGCTTGAAGTTCCATCTTCTTTGGCTGCAACCTTGAACTCCATGGCCAACTTAGAGAGAGGGAAAAAAGACTTTGAAAGAGAAAGTAACAGAATAAAACGGAGAGTTGAGGGTCAGTTTTATTATTAGTATTATTATTATTATATACCCGCTACTCCAATTTAGATATAAATTTCAAAATAGATTTCTAATTTGAGAAATTTAATTCTGTAAGTAAATTTACGTTCTTTTTCAAAAGTAATTGCACACTTTATATATATATATATATATATATATTATTTGCGGAATGGCTACACATACAAAATTTCTAGATAGTTATGAAAATTCTAATAGTGACATGGCACTCTATATGCCCCCGGGCTCAAGGAAATTTCATGGAAAATTATTAAATGGTCCGGTTTGAGACCACACAATGTCACACAACAAAATGTGTCTAAAAATATATCTATTTCGAAATTATTAGATAGTTCGGTTTGAGACCATATTATCTGATAACAAAATGTGTTTAAAAATATATCTATTTCATAGAGAAATTGTGGAGTGGTTGGGTTAGGGACCACAAGTAGTTCTAACCAAAAAAATTCATGCAGATGTGCGCCTAAAAAAATTGTGTCTACTTCATGGAAAAATTATTAGATAGTCTGATTTGGGACCACACGTGGTCCTGACCAATAATAAACTGTTACGCAACCAAATGTGTCTAAAAATATTATTATTTTTAATGTATACTCCAATTTTGATATAAATTTCAAATTACTTTTCTAATTTCAAATATTGATTCCTTGTTTCAAAATATGCACCCTTTTTGGAAGTTTAATTCTGCAATTAGATTTAAATTTAAAAGTACATTTCTAATTTGAGAAAGATTTTCAAATTTATTCGCTTACATTTATTTTTTGAAATATATATTGTATAGTCAAATATCGAAAAAAAAAAATTGATATTATTTACCAAATTCCAAAATACTTTTCTAATTTGAGAAATATATTAATGTTTCAGAATATGCCCCTTTGTGGTTTTAATTCTTTAAGGAGATGCAAATTTCAAAATACTATTCTAATTTGAGAACATGTTAAAATTCAAAAGTAATGTAATAAATTTGAAATTTTAATACATCTATTTTTCAAAAACATATATTTTATTGTCAAATATCTATATAAAAAAAAAAAAAAAAAAAAAAATGATATTATTTACGAAAAAGAACATAACCTTTAGATAAACAAAACATAGAAGATTTGCAATAAATAGACGAAAAATTTAAATAGATATGAGCATCAAGTGAACTCATGTTTTCAGGAGTTGAGCATATGGTACCAACTGTGACTCCAATTGGTAATTTCACAATTTATATTTAGGATTTAAAATTTCAAATTGTTCAGTATTAAAACTAACTCTTAATTTTTTTTTTTATACCTAATTTGTATTTTAAATAGGTCAATGGTTAATTTTATTTCAATGAATATTTTCTTTAATGGGTTTTTGCGCATTTAACTATAGATATAATTTATACACACACACACATGTATATTATAATTTATAGATATATGCTTGTGCGTAAGGTCATAAAATCATCTAGAAAATGAGATTTTTCTTATATATATATATATATAAATGTATATTAATTTTAACTATTTAGAATTCAGTAATAAATGATATCATTTTACTTACAGTTTTACAACATTTTAGATGACACGTATCTTTTTAAGTAATACTCAAATTGCATTATTGAAATGCACAAAATTTTTGTAGTTTCCTACAATTTATGAAAGTAACCATAAAAGTTAAATTGGAAAACAAATAAAATCTCTATACTTCAACATTTATTTTTTATAAATAAATTGATAGAAGGCCATCACGAGCAAAGTTACTTGTAATTCAAGATGGTTATGAAAATTCTGCTCGAAACACAAGGCTAGCAAAGTAGCAAGAGCTGAAAAAAAAAAAAAAAAAAAAAAAAAAAAAAAAAAAGCTTCATGAAAAAATTATTAGATGGTCTGGTCTGGGACCACATGTGGTCCTCGTTATCGATAATATATTATCACGTGATTTTCCTAACGAATAATACAATATCACGCAATCAAATGTGCCATATTTATTCAATTAGTTTGAATTTTGTCACAATTTGTAATTGACCACTACCTAAAAATTTCATTGCTCCTTCACTTTTTCCTTTTTCTGTGTCTTTGAAGAGACAATAATTCAAATTCAATTCTTGGAAAACTGAAAAGGCCTTAATGGATGGCAATTTTATCCATCTGACCACGATCTGCCGTTAATGCAATAATAGTACATAAAATCAAATGTGATATATATATATATATACACACACACACACATTCATTTGAAATGGCTTTTGTTATTTTTACCTCTGCAGCAATTTTCAAGCAGCAATTTGCAGGTTCCATACTCGGTTGAATATATTTAGTGTTTTGAGAGTGACTTTCAATGCTTTTGGCCTTATCTAACATGACCTGCCAGACTCGTCCTTTATTCACAACCTAGATAGTCGATTTTTAAGTGTTGAAATTTCTACTAAATGATAATAAAAAATTATAATTAAACACTATGCTTAAAAAATGTTTGAATTATAAAATAATTAATCAAAAAGAGTAAATAGGAAATTAAATAATAATAATAATAGTTTCTATACTTCCACATTACTTCTCAGTATCAGATTGACATACAAATTAAATATAATTCAGGATGGCTACCTACTAAAAAAAAAATTGTGTATATGAGATGAAGTGTAAAGAAAGCCTTTTGTTTATAGAAATTTCTATTTAGATAGAAATTATTAGATACTCATATTTGGTGGCAGTAGCACATGGCACTTTTTTTTTGCTCACAACGAGCTCGAATCCCTTCCCTCCAAGGGTTGGTTATACAACTTAAGCACACTGTCCTGTTATTTGGAAGTTATGGAAGGTATTTAAAAATAAAAATAAAATTCATTACCTTTTGAGAGCACCGAATCAACGTTTAAATTTCCTCCAATTTCAAATCTAAATCACTGATTTGATACTCCCAAACATAAATATATTAAAACTGAAATATAGGTACAAGATGATAAGAGGCATGCCTCCCCTGTACAAGAAGAAAGCTGATCCAAGTGTTTTTCATTTATTTGGAGTTCATTATTGCTGCTATATTCATAATCCAAAACTCATCCCGGAGCTTGTGTCTCCATGGAAAGATCACAAACTAGACAAGCCCAGGTTAGTCAATTTTCCAAACATGTCCCAAGTGCTGTTAACTGTACTCATTCCTTTCTTTTCTGTTTTTTTTTCCCTAGTTGGTACTCACACACGCTCGTCTCTTCTGAGACTTGAACTCCTAACCTCCCTTTGGAAAGTAAGAGGCTCACTCTGACGATTTTCACATCTCCTGCAGATCGGATCAACCCTACAACTCCCGGCATTGGAATAGTTGATTATACCAAAGATAATCAGTTTTTGGACACTAAACATTGACCAGTAAAGCCCAGAATCAGATTACACTAAATATAGTACCTCAGACTCCAAAGAGATGAGGTTTACTATGGCACAGCCAGTAGTGTATAATGACAGTGTTAAAGCAGAAAACTACAAACAAAAAGCTTTCTGTACATACTGATTCAGTGGTGATTTCGTATTTTTAACGTAAGGACTAAAACAGGAACAACATAAAATGCTCACCTTCTCAGTTTTTGAACCCTTTTTTCGAAGGAAAACCATCTTCCTCGGTAAAACACAACCTAAGATTCTGAATTTTTAAAGCAATAAAAGGGATCATCTTAATCTTCTTCCAACCACACTAAGGACGCTGGGACCCTACCTATCAATTACTGCAGCACTAGCGTGATTCATTCTCATCTGGTTTTGGTCCAGTTTCAGCTTGATTAGAAGCTGATGATCGCTCCTCTGAATTTGCAGTGGACTGGATGGGCTTCTTGAACTGCACTATTATCATAGTCATGTTGTCACAGCCCTCACCACCAGCTGTTGAGGGAGCCAAACACCTATCAAATACTCTCTCACATATCACAGAAAGCTTGCTTTCCTGCATAACCAAAGGAATATGGCCCAATTTCAGGATCAAGATCACTTCTAAACAAAATTAAAGCAAAAACTGAACCGTTTTTTCTGATGCAAACATTCCAGTATGTTGATGAAAGTTCAGAATATAAAAAATTGCATTCGACGAGTAGGTCTTTAAACATTTATAATGCAATTAGGAATATTGACTATTTAATGAACCAAACAGGTCAAGTCTTCTCAAGCATCAATCTATATATATATATATATGTAGGCACTCTCTGGATAACACATCCAACTGACATTTTCTTCCATTTTACAGCAAGACAATAAAAATATAGATATTTTAAATGAAAACAATGCAATTTGTAAGGCACCACCGATAGTGACATCACATGTTTGGTAATGCACCAACAACATATCACTTTTTCTCCGGAAAAGCTCACACATTACTTTTCTAGCATATTACTGGTACTCTAGAGAAAAAATAACAAAATGTACCTTTATTTATTTTACCAAATTGAATTAGGCTTTAAATGCTTTAAATTAAAATAGAAAATCAGTATAGCCTGAAAAATGCATATTCCAAGAGTGATATCAAACACTTACCGAGATCAACTGTTCATGTACATAATCTACTAGTTGCTGACTTGACATGCAATCCCTGAAAATTTCACCACAAACAGCAGCCATCCAATTATTAGATATTGAAACCCAGTACCCATAATTTAGCTGATATAAAATTTTAAAAGAAAATAATTTATGGAACTTCGGTTGTAGGAAGAATTCTAAGAATTCAAAATTGTATATTAAGGATTCATAAAAGCATCTCTAGAATGTCTGCAGGTCTGAAATTAAAGATCCAAGGCTTCTCTGAGAAAAGGAAATCCAAAAAAGTCAGGGCATCATTAAGGTTTCTAAAAAACCCAGTTCTGGTATTGCCAAAATATAGCTCTGCTCAATAAACATCAACCAAGGAAGATTAAAGAAAGCAATTGTCACATAAAAGGGGCCACTAAATACATGTGTCCAGTACGTATTCTGAAACTACACCAATTAAGTGCTGTCAACCATTGGGTTTATGATTGAAAAAATGAAACTTTAAGTATTTTCATCCATTTCATTCTCGGTGACAGCTACCATATCTAGAGTCCTAGACACACTTAATATTACGACGCTCGTGACCTTTCCCATATACATACTATTTTGAAAGTGGATGTGATAACGCAAGAAAAATTACCTAGGGAAATTTTAATGGCCATTACCCTACTGAGAATGTCAATCTGGAGAGCTAGAAGTAGTAGACCTTGTAAATTCAGACATACCCGACCTCCAAGTTTATTTGCAAGAAGTAGTTGCCCTGGGACTTGGAAGACTCCATCCATAAATACACAAAAGGAATGAAAATGGAGCCTTCGATGTTTCCCTTAGTGAATATACAGCTGTAATGAATTTTCCCAGGAATGACAAAGAACTGACGGAAAAGAGCTTGTCAGGTTATTTCAATGGAAAGTACAGCCACCCTGGCTAAAAGGTGTCGCATTCCAAATAATTATTATGTAGATATGAAACATACTTCAAAGCACATGTAAGAAAAAAACTTAATAGTCTAGCTACTGTTGAAAATTCAATTCAAATGTGGAAATAAATTTTTCATAACACACAACCATCTAAACAAGTCAAGTTGAAAAAGAAAAGCATGAGACACGTACCAGATGCCATCGCATGCCAGCACAACAAAATCATCATCATTGCACAGCTCAACCTAATAACAAAATAAATAAATATCATGAGGAAAAAAAAAAAAAAAAAAAACCAATGTTCAGAGATTTAAATTCAAGGTTTTTATTTGAACACAAGCAGGTGATAAATATTTTATAGGAAACTTTGCCAATGCCAACAACTACAAACTTGGGGATGAAGTCGGGGGAAGGAACAAGGGTGCAGGCAGGTAGGAGAAGGATGGAAGAAAATCATTCATCGGTGCATTGAATTAAACTGAATAAATTGGATTCCAGAACAAACCAATTTAAACATGCTAGCCACCCAAGTCGGTGTGTGAATTAAGTGTTCACACCATCCAAGATACATAAAACTTAATTAAGTCGAGAATGAAATCAATTAAATATAAAGTCAATCACAAAAGGAATACTTCGAGCATATAAAATCTTCATATAACTGTCAAATAAAACAACCCAGCGAAGATTTCAAGACTCCATGTTCCATAATTATACAAAAAGTTATACATGGACTAACAATTATGTCATATAAATAGTTTTATCATTGCATTTTGTTGAAAAAAATTCAATAAGAAATTAAATAGGCTTGGAAACAGAACAATGAAATATAACTTTTAAATAAACTCTTGAAATCAACTGTTCTTTACCAACATTTTGTCTTAACCAATTTTAGATTCAAAATTTTGGTGATTCAGACCTTCCCCAAAGCACACAAACAAATTACTCACTATTTCCATCCCTCTCCCCCATATCACAATGCTGGCACTAAGTTATTTTCTATATTGTGTATGATCCAGTTAAACTGTTGCCCTAAGCAATCAATAAGAAAGATTTTTGGGACAGCAATTCCACCAATAATTACCATGCCAGTATATTCTTGCTTTGTGGACTTGGACAAAACAGAAGGGTAAAAAACCATGATTAATGTAGCCAATCCAAGAGCTGGACAAGAGTTAAAGATTTTTTAAAATTTATTTCTTACTACTTGAGCCTAGAAGATAATCAACTATCTATTTGCAAAGCAATTCTGTCATATTGCTACTGCTGCAGAAGGAAGAAGATACATACAGTATTTATATCTGGATTGGCAGTTATAATTTGCTTCTCAGCAGGTAAAAACTTATTCTGCTTAAATTCCATGTCACCTGCAGTAAAATAAAAACCTAGATTTAATATTCAGAAAACAACAGGAACTGCTGTCTTTCCATATCTCACACACATCCATACATCAGTATACGAGTGTGTGTCTGTGTAGATATAACTCCATTTAATATTTTAATATGAGAAGTGGGAACACATACCGCTGGCCCTGAGACCAGTAGTATTTAGCTGCTTCAGATTCATGAATCGTGTTATTATTATTATTATTATTTTTTTTTTTTTTCCCGTACCACGAAACAACTAATGCCGACTTGCATCTTGTAGGATAATCAAGGACTAGACCTATGGGTTAGTTTCAGAGTTATAGACTACCAATGGGAAAATGCAACTAGATTGATATAATAAAGTCCACAGGCAGGCAGGTATAGTACCAATAGCTCTTGCAAGATTAAGACTGCCATTGACTCGTCCTGCATGTATAAAACCGCCAGCTTTTAAGATCCTCTCTCTCTCAGCCTCGAGGTCAGGCTTGTGATCTCTGGAAAGGTTGTATGCCTGCACCCCCAAAAAAAAAAAAATAAATAAATAAATAAAAAGAGAAGAAGAAGAAAGAAAAAGAAAATCACATTGAGAAACATAAACACATCTCATTTTAAATCTACAACATACAAAATATTTCAATAACAAGCGTATATGTTCTACATACATATAGTTTTGGATACACCTTAGCCTGTCTATCCATTACTAGTCAACTGGATAAAAATAAACTCCCTCCGTCCCAATTTAAGTGTCGCTTTTGGGTAGTAGTAATTTTTAAGGGGACATGTGGGACATGCATTGTCTCCTTGGAAAGTTACTAAATTGCCCTTTTAAGTTTTGAATATTTAAGTTTGAAATTTAAAACTCAAAGGACATATATGGAAAGATGTGAAATATATTGTTTGAAAAAGGAAAGTGGACAATTATTTTGGGACAGAGGGAATATATTTTTAGAAATGTGATATGGTCCTTGCGGATCGGATCATCCATACAATGTACAAAACGAAACTTCAGATATTATATAATAATACTAATATTATTTTTCATTTTTCATCAAATTAAGAAAAAAAAATCCAGGATCACAATAACTAATGTACACAGCAATTCTCTCATTTAAGAAGAGAGAGAGAGAGAGAGAGAGAAGAAGAAGAAGAAGAAGAAGAAGAAGAATGGGCTGAAGTATAATTTCTGAACTCCCTTTATAAAGTTTGGGTTGAAGTAGAATTTCTGAAATCCCTTTATAAAGTTTGTTGCAATCTAAATCCATATCTAAACAAAACATTACAGCTGTGTGAAATGATGAAAGAGAGAGAGAGAGATGAAGTAGAATTTTTTAAGCCTCTCTAAAATTAGGCCTTTTCATCTTTTTGTTGAAGAAGAGGTAAGAGAATTTCATTAGAAAAGAAAATAACATTTAAAGAAGGGGAAAAAATAAAGAAAAAAATAGCAGGACAAAGAGAGAGAGAGAGAGAGAGAGAGAGGCAGAAGAGTGAGGATTTATTGAAGACACGGCTTGCCAACAGTCATACTTCGATGATCAGTAGTAGCAAGTTCAAAGCTTGGTTGCAAAAGAGAGCAAAACTTTTACCTTTTTTTTTTTTTTTTAATGATCTTTTACAGTTTCAAACAAGTAATAAGCATGAAAAGATCAAGTAAATAAAATTGCTTGAAATTTTTCATATAATAAATATTTTTATTTCTTATTTTATACCTTCAAATTATTGGAACTTTTCAATGAATTCCACATATTGTAACCCATACTTTCTTGAATTTTTAAAAATATCTCCGTATCCTCTGTGTGCCAGTGTGTCCAAAAGGGAAAAATATTCGGACACATTTTTTGGCGTGTCTAACAGAGATACTTCTACCTTTTAGCTGTGTTCAACATGGATACTTCAACCTTTTAGGCGTGTCCGTGCTTCCTAGGTCAAGAACCACAGTTCATAATTTCTCTTTTTCTTTTTCTTTTTTCTCTTAGGAGGGGGTTGCATAAGTCAAATTTTAATCTACATAGAGCATCCTTTACTAGCAAAAATACCATCCCTATAAGAGTCTGAACATGAGAAAAACTTCATAAATTTATGTATTACCTGACCATTCCTGGATATTACACAGCGAGAATCACCAGCATTTGCAACAACCAGTTGGTTGTTTCTAATAACTGCAACACAGGCAGTACTCCCAGAGGTTGGTCCAGAAAAATCAGAGTGAGGCCCCTGATTGCAATGTCTAGAGTAATTAGGTAAAAGTATACACGCCAAAAATATATAGCAGAGTGAAAAATGACAACTCATCAGAAAAGTTCTTTACATAATTTCCAATTGACATGGGAATAAAAGTTGAACATCAGAAAAAAAGTATTACTCTCACAGGCCATATGATATTTACTGATAAAACTGTGGTACATTATAAAGAGGCATTGCATAGATATAGACTCTTCCGTTTGAATAGCAGATCATTACAAATTTGAAGCTTATTTGTTAATTCCCCAGGCTCCAAACTAAGTTCTAGGCTTTGAGCAGAGAAAAAAAAGTTCCGCAGATATATGCTCCAAATTTTCAATATGAAAAAAATAATCAGATGTGCAAAAACTAGCTTTCTATCACAACACTTACAGAAGTTTGTAATAAACTTTTACCAACAATAGGAAACAGTATGCCGGTAGATAGACATATATTCAAACACAGAGAGAGAGACTGCTTCAATAATAAAAGCGTGATTACCCGCCACCCGGTGTTGTCCCCATTCCAAAAATCAAAACAAACCAAGGACCTAATTACATACATCTGAAAATAAATACATCAAAGATATCAAAAACCACCTATCCACAATTCCCACCTATCCACAATTCGGTTGATGTCTAATAAGAATGCATTGTATAATTAAAATGAAAGCCCCTCCCGAAAAGTTGCTTCAAGGGGAAAAGAAGATAAGGATTCAAAATACTATTTTGAAAAGAAAAGGATGAAGTACCTTATACAGCAGGCATTAAAAGATAAGAAAATAGTTTAATGAATGTAAATTGTGTAAACCCTCAATTTGGATGATGTGCAACGCAAGAGAGAGAAGAGGAGGGAGATATACCCATTGACAATAAGCATAATTATAACACATGTACAATTGCTGGGGTATATATTTACACGTGTCTCCAAATGTTCATTTTCGGATGGAGTTTGAAAGTGGGATAGAGGATATCCGATAATCCATTAGAGTGAACGAGATGAATATCTATCTTGTTTGGCAAGCGTAGAGAGAGAGAGAGAGAGAGAGAGAGAGAGAGAGAGAGAGAGCAAACATGCAGTCAGAGAGTGTTATCATACTAGATTGAGTTAGAAGTTGCTTTGTGACTGAAAAAAATGAATTTACTGTGAAGAAAAATGTGTTGATGTAGAAAAGAAACCCTTCTAAAACTCTAAAATCTTCCACAAGCCACATCTACTTCCTACATCCCTAGCTTAAAGCTTTAGAAAGGGAAAAAAGAAAATTTGCACAAACTATACAAATGAAAAGAAAAATGCATAAAGCAAATCAGCATTGGTCCTAAAATTAGGACAATAAATTGAGTATACTCGTTTGGTGTGAGCAGATACCTCCTCAAAAGCCCAGTCATCAACTTGGTCATTCCCCTCACCAGCCCTTGGAGACCATATCAAACCCTCTATCATACCAGTAAACTTGTTTATCTTATCTCCCAAAACAGCTAGCTCCCTCCAACCTCTTTGTCCACGCATCATTTCATCCATTCTGCACCCAATAAAAGTAACACTAACTGGAACGACATAAAATGCATCACAGGCAAGTACTTGATATTAAATAAATAGGCTAAAGATAGCAGACCTTGACTACCATTGAGTACCAGACTACCAGTTGTGACAACAATCTTTTCTGCAATCATATAAATTTTACTTGCACATTTGCCCCTTTTTTTTTTTTTTTTGATAAGTAAAATCATATATAAAAGCGCTCAGAAGGGGAGCGAAACCCAAAAGGAATATAAAAACCCACAAAGGGCCACTAAGCCTACAAAGAGGCCAGGAAATCAACAATCTCCTCAAAAGATATATGATCTCTCCCTGAAACCCAACAAAAAAGAATAGAAAACTTAAGCAAAGAACACGACATCTCCTTTCCCTCAAAATATCTTCTATTCCTCTCAAGCCATAAGCACCACCCCACACAAAGAGGTGTAGCCCTCCAAGCATCCCAAATATGGGCCCCCACTTGGCAACCTCTCCAAGTCTCAAGAAACCCTCTAACGGTTCCCGGCATAACCCATAGCATCCCAAACAGCCCAATCATTAAGGCTCAGCAATCACGAGCCATGGTACAATGAAAAAGAAGGTGATCCACTGTTTCCTCATCTTGAAGACACATATAGCAGCGATTGACCACCACATGGTTCCTCCTTCTCCAGTTATCCTGGGTTAAGATTCTTCCCAGAACAAAGGTCCACGCAAAGAAAGCCACCTTGAGAGAAGCCTTAGAGTGCCAAACAGATTTCCAAGGAAAGCAAACTCTAGGATCATTTGAAAGACACCTACAGAAAGATCTCACCTCAAATCGCCCCTAAGAGTTGGCAGTCCAAGTCCAACTATCAGACTCCTCAACCACAATCTTCTGGTGATACAATAACTCCTAGAAACGAATGGCCTCCTCAATCTCCTAGTCCTAAAACAATCGCCTGAAACGAACATCCCAAACCAGTCTTCCACTATTAAGATGATAACAGTTGACCACCAAAGCCTGCCTATCTGAAGCAAATCTGTAAAGCTGAGGAAAAGCACGGGCCAGAGGATCATCCCCACACCTAACATCCTCCCAAAAACTAATCCTCCTCCCATCCTTGAGTCGAAAACGAACATGTTTGGAGAAGAGATCCCACCCCTTCCGAATAAAATTCCAAACCCCCACCCCTCGAGACCCCCTCACTACCAAGGAGTCCAACCACCTCTCAACTCCCCAAACCGGCTCACCACAACCCGCCTCCAAAGCCAATGCCTCTCCGCACTAAACCTCCATAACCATTTCCCAAGGAGGGCCTTATTGAAAGGCATCAGTCTACGAAGACCCAAACCTCCAAATCGAATTGGCTTACAAACCTGCTCCCAACGAACAAGATGAAACTTGAACTCTTCTCCTCTATCCACCCCCACCCCCACCCTCAAGAAAATTCTGCTGCAATCTCTCAATCCTTTCCGCAACAGAAGAGGGAATCTGAAAAAGAGAGATAAAATAAGTAGGAAGGCATGATAGGGTGCTCTTGATCAGAGTAACCCGGCCTCCTTTGGAGAGATACTGCTTCTTCCACCCCGCCAATCTCCTCTCAAACCTATCCACCACTGGGTCCCAAACCCCCACACACCTTGAAGGAGCTCCCAGAGGCAACCCAAGGTAAGGGATGGGAAAAGAGCTTGTGCAGCAACCAAGAATGTCAGCAAAAGATTCTAACTCGGGGACCTCCCCCACCGGCACCAAGACACTCTTACCAACATTCACCCTCAGGCTAGAAACAACTTGGAACCAAATCAAAACGCATCGCAAATATCTAAACTGGGACACATTCGCATCACAAAGAATCAAAGTGTCATCAGCAAACATCAAACGAGAAATCTCCAACTGGGAGTCAACATCCCTTCCCACCAGAAAGCCTCTCAAAAAGCCCAACTCAATCGCCCTTCTCAACAATCTGCTAAGGGCCTCCATCACAAACAAAAAACAGGAAGGGAGAGAGCAGATCCCCCTGTCTTAAGCCTCTCGAGCTAGAGAAAAAACCGGAAGGAGCTCCATTCACAAGAATCGAAAAACGAGCACTGGAAATACAAAAGAAAATCCATCGCCTCCACCTGTCACCAAACCCCATCCTCTCCATAAGGTAAAGAAGGAAACTCCAACTCACATGGTCATAAGCTTTCTCTATGTCAAGCTTACACAAAACTCTTGGGACCCCACTACGCAACCTGGAATCCACACACTCACTAGCAATAAGGACTGAATCCAAAATCTGGCGGCCTCCTACAAAAGCATTTTGAGAATCCGAAATAATGCCATCCAACACTTTCCTTAAGCGAGAAGCAAAACCATCGCCAACAACTTGTAGAAACACCACCCCCCCCCCCCCCCCCCCCACCCCCCCCACCCCCACCTTTTCGGAATGAGAATGGCATTCAAGCTCTTTCAAAAGGCCCTTGAGCATGGAAAGCATGAAAAGAGCCTATCACCTCCCCTCTGACCACCTCCCAACATTCCAAAAGGAATCTCATGGTAAACCCATCTCGACCTTGGGCTTTATCCCCGTTACAACTCTTTAAAGCAATCAAGACCCAAACACTCCTCTCCAGAAATAGTGGCAAGCTGCAACCCCTCAAGCAAAGGTCTCCACTCAACCAACTCTGTGAATAACTTCTCAAAGAATTCAATAAATCCTTTGCAGATCTCATCTTCCTTGCAAAGAATCACTTCCTCCAGCCGAATTCTCCCAATATGATTGCCCCTTCTGTGAGCATTGGCCAATCTGTGAAAAAATTGTGTTTCTGTCCCCCTCCTTGAGCCACAAAGCTCTAGATTTCTGTCCCCACGAGATCTCTTCCATGATAGCAATCTCAGCAAAAATCAGCCTGGCACTCCACCCTTCTAACCTTCAGAGAGTCCGCCAAATCCCCTTGGCCTTCCATCCGGTCAATATCAGCAATCTCAGCAAGAACCCGATTTTTCCTCCATTCCAGATTCCTGAAAACCTCTTTGTTCCAAATCTTAAGATTCCCTTTTAAAAGACGTAAACTGCCTACGAGCACATGACTTTGGGTGTCAACCACCCCGAATCCCTCCCACCAAAGGCGAACCCTCTCCAAAAAACCTTCAACTCGAAACCACATATTTTCAAATCTAAACGGAGAACGTCTGCTACGCAATCCACCACAATCCAACATCAACGGAACACGATCTGAGATAGGACGAGCCAACGTAGCCTGAATAACATCAAAAAATCTCTCCTCCCACTCCCCTGACACAAGGAATCTATCAAGCCGAGAAAGGGTAGGATGAGATCTGCCACTAGACCAAGTAAACGACCCTCAAACCAAAGGCAAATCCACCAACCCAAACTCATCAATAAACTCCGAAAAGAACTCCATGTCAGAAGTCCACCTCCCCCTCGTAGATCTCTCGAACGGAGAACGAACAACATTGAAATCCCCTCCAACACACCACGGTAGAACCCATCAACATCTAACCTCCCCCAACTCCTCCCAAAGCAAATGGCGCTCACTATCCTCCGTAGGACCATAAACACCAGTGAAAACCCAATGAGAACTATCCTCGAGCAGAGACAGAACACAAGAAACAGAGAAACTCCCAACCTAAGAGTCCACCAGAGACAACCATCTGTTATCCCACATGATCAGAATACCCCCCGAAGACCCAATAGCATCCAAAGCCATCCATTCCACAAATCTCCCTCCCCATATGCTTCGCACCATCCTATCTGACATCGAAGCAAGCTTAGTTTCCTATAAACAAACCACATGACCACCCCCTTTACGAATGACCGACTTCACCACTTTTCTTCTAACGGGGTCATTGAGACCTCGAACATTCCATGAAATGAAATGTAGCTTCATAGGGAAACAGCTGAAGAAGCAAACCCACCCCTCCTTCCACCAACCCTCTCCCTGGATCCCCTATTCCTCCTTTCATATGTGATAAAATCATTGGATCCCTGCATCACTAACTCCTCCACCTCCTCCTGCACCCCTTCCCTACCACCCTCCCTTTTCCTGAGATGAGAATCAAGAACATCAGCGAACAAACACCTCACCTCAGCCTCCCTGCCCTCGAATGACACTCCCAACAGGCCCCACATCCATACCATTCTCCCTCACCCATTCCTCCTTAAAGTCATGCCCTGAACCGACATCATTCTGGCCCCTCACCCACTCCCCCTCCGGAAGAACAGCTGCCAACGGGACTGCCAAATTCACTGCCTGCTCTAAATCTTCCAACGGAATCAAACCCGATTCCCGATCCATGGAGGAACCTTCAGCGCCTTCCCAATCATCAAGGGCCAAAAATGATTGAGAACAAAAACGTGTATCAATCTCATATTCAAACAGCACACCTCTAGCATCAAACTGAACACCTTTCAACCTCAAATAATCCCGAATCTCATTCAACAACACATTAGCCGTATCATCATCAATGCTCACCATCACATCATGTCCCACACACGTCACCCCCTTACAATTATTCTCACACAGCCAATAGAAACCCACCTTATCAACAATACCCCTATCAAGAACGCCCTCCAACTCTGACTCCCTCTCCACTGCCGGAGCCTAGTTAAAAACAGAGTCAGCCCCAGTGTCAACCCCAGTGTCAGCCCCATCCTTCACCAACCCCAAGGACTTACTCAAACCCCCCTGAGAAGGAGAAGAAGCAGAGGGAGAGAAGAAGCAAGAAGGAGGTGCTCCAAAAACGACAGTGGACTTACCCGGATCAAAATCCGACTACACGGACGCCACCCATTTCTGTTTATCTTTCCATGTCCAACGTTTGCGTAGAGCAGGAAGAAAGATCTTTTTCTTAGGCAGACGTTTTCGCAGCACTAGATCCCTTGATCGCCGATCTTCCTTGATTCTTCCAGAAAGATGCGAGCCTCTGCCGACAAAAGAGAAAGTTAATGGCTCAAATCTGTTCTTCAAAGTAGGCCCAGAGAAAGAAGACCCACCAACCGGCCCACTTTTCAATCCAGCAAGCCCACAACCCGAACCATCATTAAGAGAATGGGCAACCGGCCCACCATCTGACCCATCTTTAAAAGAATGGGCAATCGGCCCTCCTTCCATCCTCAAACTACTAACGGGCCATCCAATAACCGGATGCCTCTCAACAGACCCACCAGAAGAAGTGCAACCCTCACAAGCTACTAAAGCCCCATTCCCCGACCCAATGCCAGGCTTTGGATTCTTACTAACCCAAGAAAGTGAAGGATCAAACTTAGCAGAATTTGAAAACTTCTTGGATACAGCTGTTTTCCACTGTGAACGGGCATCTCCTAGGAGCCAACCACGTGGTTGGTCAGCATTCCTCCCCCTCCCACTCCCACGCGCTTGTTGCGCGTGAACACCAACACGAAACCTTTTATGATCCCACCGCTGCAAAAATGGCCGACGACCCATCCCGGTGGAGCCTCCATTCCACTGCATCTGCCAGAGACCTTCTTGTCGGCGACGGTTCAACCCAGACGACAACCCATCCTTACGTTTCTGAACAAAAAGCCTTCTAAAACATTCCTTATTACGGATCCACAGCGCATCTCTCCAAATCTTCCATCTTTGGAACTCTACCATCCCCTTCTTCCCCATGGATTCCCACCTCAACCATTCTTTTTCCTTAAGCAAATGCGAACCATCACCTCCTTCCAAGCTATCCGTCGTCGGAACAAGCTTGGGTTGCTTTTCCTCCCAAACTGCCACTTTATAACAGTACCGGTCATCATGAATGAAAACAAAAGGTGGACAAACCTTCCCATCAGCCACTGTAATACGAACTCTTTCTGCATCAATGGCCTCATCGGCATCCACCCAAATAAACCCGCCGCATAAATCGCCTACCATCACAAACAGAGCATGGCTCCACAAGTGAAGGGGAAGATCATAAATTGTCACCTTCTTCAACCCCTTCTCTTTCAAGACCTCCGAACACCCCACCCTGAAGCTCCAAGCATCCCACACGAAGAGTTGCCTTCCCCCAGTCTCGTCGACCCTCGTTAAGGACACGAGTTGCTTCGGCCGCAGAGGGAAGCTGAAACAAAAGAAGCAAGTCCGGCAGTGGCGAGATCGACACACCAGAGGAGACCTTCTAAGCTCTCGAAGCCCACGCCGCAATCTGAGCCCCATCACCCACTTCCTTATCAAATTTACCCGCCAAGCACGACCTAAGGTCTTCTTTTCTCCTTCCAACCGAGTCGTCATCCAAAAAAATCGATGGTCCCCTAAACGGATTTGCAGATCTCGCAACACCACCTTGAAACAATCGAGGCAGTCTAGCAACCTCCAAGAACGAGCGCATGACAAAGATCACCGGATATTATCACACGCTTGGACTCCTATAGATTACTTGCACATTTGCCCTTAGGGTCCTAAATTCAATATTATGGTGCTTTTAAATCTTATAATAGTTGAACGCCACTTGTTCAAGGACAAGCATAGGATGAGCGGCTTTCAACCCACAATGATAACTCACTTGCAAAGGTAAAACAAAATGAACACGCAATTTTGACAAAGTGCTTTACATATTTCATTTAAAACTTACCTGAACAAAAGGATGGTGTGGCTAAGACTACACAAGCATTCATAGCTGCTAGTCAAGTAGTGTGTGGTTTTAAGCCTAATTCTGTTCACTACCTAAAAAATCAGAATTATAACCTTGTAAAAATTATGTGTACCCATATAGACCACAGGGCTTATTATATTAATGCACACACAGGTTAAGGTTCACATATTTGCATAAATATATTGGTTATAATTTAAGGAAAATTTCAGAAAACCCCCTGAACTATCTGCAATTTGCAAATAACCCCCTATTGAAGCAACCTGCACTCAATATAGAAGGAATTTTGGGTAAAATATTCTAGCAGGAACACTTGAGAAGGTGGGCCTATACATAAGAGACATATATTGTTTGGGTTGGTATATAGATTACACTAATAACCCATTTTCCATAGCCATTCACAAACGGGGTTGGTGTATGGATAAAATTGATCCAAGGGCACTTCTGTCAATAAAAGGACATTATTGTAATTTTAGATCACAAAATGTATATTCTGTCCATTTTATAACAGTGTGCAAATGGCAAGGAGTGAATTGCAAGTTTTCGGGAAAGTTGAAGGGGGTTTATTGCTAAAATGATAGTACAAGGGAGTTATCTGTGACTTTTTTATAGTTAAGGGGTTATTCTACATTTTACCCTATAACTATTTAAAATTATATTTGGCTCCTCTACTGACTACTTCATTCTTTGGAAATGTAATTGCATTGTGGTTAGATGTCTCCAAACATCCCACTTTTTGGAGCTTTGTGAATAATGACTAAAATCAAAGCAAAAACAATAACCAAGCCATTTTCCCAACTACTTGGGGTTGGCTACATGAATCCTATGTTTCCATTTTGCTCAATTTAAGAGCATAACCTCATTCAATCCATATGCTATCATATCCTTCCTTGCTAAAATCAAAGCATTGAGACAATAATCTTGAATTGAGTCTGTGATGAGAGAAGCCAGAGACACTGAAGGAAAAAAAAAAAAAAAAAAAAAAAACCAGCTTTTTTAAGCACATGAGAAAGTAAAGCATAAACCCTGGTACTATGCCGGTGGTTTCCAATGATCTCAAGCGCTTACAATTCCTTAACACAGACCAAAGTCAATGAGATCATCAATCTATAGGCTTTGGTAAATTAGAAGTATATAAAAAATAACAATTATAATAAATAAATAAATAAAAACCCAGCTTTTTTAAGCACATGAGAAAGTAAAGCATAAACCCTGGTACTATGCCAGTGGTTTCCAATGATCTCAAGCGCTTACAATTCCTTAACACAGACCAAAGTCAATGAGATCATCAATCTATAGGCTTTGGTAAATTAGAAGTATATTATTATTACTAAATGAATTTCAAAATACAATGAATAATGAAACGTGATCCTGACCATTATTTCTTTATGAAAAGAAACAACAATATTATTAACAATCAAAAAACAATACGCATCAAAACCATGAGTGGATAATAGTCTGACCTAATAAATATCCAAATAAGAATAATAATAAATTTTAAAAGAGAAACTATGAAAAAAAATCCAAAAAAAAAGAAAGCTATATACTGGTAAAGCAGTGAAGAGAGGTATAAGCATCTGGTGGAAGGGCTAAAACCTGAGGAAGGCTTTCTGAACTGAGGTTCCTATATCTCCAGCTGAATATGCTTCTTGTTTGAGCATTTGCTGATGAAGAAACTTGGCACAGAACTTAGAGACAACCTTACCTGCACTTTAATGAACTTAGGTTAGTATTACTAATAGAAATGTGGCTTGTTATAATCTTATTGTACTGGAATTAGCAATAAAAAAATTACTTAAAAGGTCATCTTATAATTCAAACAGACCAGAAACAAACTCTGAAGTATGAAAAGTAGTATCCCACAAATGTGTCAAATAAACCGAGTCCACTAGGTACAAAAATAAATCAACACAAAGGACATATATCTATCCAGATTTTTCAGGTACAATAGCCTTGGGCTCAACCTAACGACTAAAGTGCTTAAATAAATGAACCTATGTCCTGAATATGAAGATTTATCGTAAATGCAGTTAAAAAATACATAATTATCCTTTCAATCTTAATGTAGAATGACAAATTGCAATAAACTATTTTGCCCTAAAAAAAATTCAAACCGTTTTATAGAACATGAAAAATCAAAGTATAAATGCATCAGAAGAAATATAAAAAGAAGGAGAGAATAGTGTGAAGGCTTGAATGATATAAATCACTCATTCACAGCTCTAGTATTCATAGATAAAAAAAGAGCACATGCTCATATTACAATAAAGAAAATAAAATCAAATCTAAATCAGATCACAGCATATTCTATAGCATATGGCATATTCTATAGCATAATCATATCTCTACTAGTACGGTAAGTCATTCCATAAATCGTGGCTATCATATTTGCTAACACTCCCCCTCAAGTTGGTGTGTGGATATCTGAAACGCCCAACTTGGACAATGCATTCTCAAACACAATCTTGCTGACGCCCTTTGTAAGAATGTCGAGCTTGTGACAAATGGAGTACAAATTTGACCAGAGATGATCTTCTCTCGAATGAAGTGACAGTCCACCTCTATATACTTAGTCCTATCATGCTGAACAGGATTTGCTTCTATGCTGATGGCAAACTTCTTGTCACATTAAAGTGAGAATGGAAGTGACACTAGAAGGCACAAGTTTGTCATCGAGGTTTTCAGCCATAGCACCTCACATACCCCAAGAGCCATGCCCTATACTCTGCCTCTGCACTAGATCGAGAGACAACATTCTGCTTCTTATTGTGCCAAGTAACCAAGTTACCACCAATAGTTGTACAATAGCCCAAAGTTGACCTCCTATCTGAAATGGATCATGCAAAATCAGCATCTGTCCAAGCCTCAACACGCAAGTGACCATGATTGGCAAACAAAATACCATGGCCCGGACACCCTTTTAAGTAGCGAAGGATCCGAATAGCTGCATCAAGGTGAGGGGTATGAGGAGAGTGCATGAATTGACTCACGACACTCACAACATAAGCAATGTTAGGTCGAGTCATGGATAAATAGATGAGCTTCCCAACAAGTCGTTAATACTGACCAACATCCAACAACAACTCCCCCTCAAAATCAACCAACCGATGATTCTACTCAATCGGAGTATCAACAGGACAAGCGCCAAGCTGACCAGAAGCAGAAAGCAAGTCAAGAACATACCTGCGCAAAGAGATGAAAATACCAGCCTAGGAGCGAGCCACCTCAATGCCCAAGAAGTACCGAAGGAGCCCAAGATCCTTAATCTCAAACTGACGGCCAAGATAGCTCTTAACCTCAGTAATTCCGGCAGTATCATCTCCGGTAAGAACAATATCATTGACATACACAATGAGAGCAACTGTCTTACCGCCTGAATGACGTAAAAACAAGATGTGATCAACTGCACTCTAATGGAAACCATGGCAGTGCCAAAGCAATCAGACCAAGCTTGAGGAGACTGCTTGAGGCCATACAGGGAGCAACGAAGACAACAGACCATACCGGAATGAGCAAGAGAACGAAAGCCCGAAGGGGGAACCATATGCACCTCCTCCTGCAAATCAACACTAAGAAAGGCATTCTTGACATCTAACTGAAATAGATGCCAAGATCGAATCGCAGCAACGGAAAATAATACACGAACGGTATTCATCTTGGCAACGGGGGCAAAAGACTCCTGATAATCTATACCATAAGTCTGAGCATAACCCTTGGCAACCAACAGGGCCTTGTAACAAGCAACTGACCCATCTGGATTATGCTTAACTGTAAACACCCAACGACAACCCACATCCTTTCGTCCAATAGGAAGCAGAACCATGTCCCAAGTATGATTTTTCTCAAGTGCTTGTAGTTCTTCTGTCATAGCATCACGCCATTGAGGTTGTGCTAGTGCATCTATAACACTAGAAGGAAGAGGAATCGGGGCAACAGAAACAAGAAAACTCTTATACGAGGGTGAGAGAGCACAATCAGATACAAAATTAGAAATAGGGTAACTACAAGAATGTTTACCCTTCCGAAGAGCAATGGGGCGATCATTAAGCGAAACAATAGCTTGAGAAGGCGGAGCTGGTGCCGAAGGAACAAGGCAGTCGTGGGAGTAGAAGCTTGTACCTGTTGTCTCTGACTATAAACCTGTGGAAAAGGAACAATTCCCCGTGCTAGAGGGGTATCATGAGACGGAATAATAGAAGACGAAATAGGCAAAGGTAGAGGAGTTGAAGACCGAAAAAAGTGATCATCAATTGTATTCAATGAGAACCATTCACTTTGAGAACTAACTGAACTACTATAGTATGGTGTATACTCAAAGAAAGAAATATCCATGGATATAAACTGCCAACGACGGGGAGGATGGTAACCCTATAACCTTTTTGAGAGTGAGAATAGCCCAAAAACGCACACGTCAAAGCCTTGGGGTCAAGCTTTGTACAAGTCTGCCCCAACTACTGAACAAAGCACACACACCCGAAGACTCGCGGAGGAATAAAAAAAAAAAATGACTTGGGATGTAAGATTGAGAATGGGGTTGCGAAGTTAAGAACCCTAGAAGGAGTTCTATTAATGATGTAGACAGCTGCAAGAACTGCATCTCCCCAAAATGATTGGGGAACATTCATGCCAATGCAGATTGCTCTAGCTAAGTCAAGGATGTAGCGATTCTTTCTCTCAGAACGGCCATTCTGTTGAGGGGTTTTAACATTAGACATCTGATGCTCAATCCCAAATTATGTACATAACCGCTGTACCTCCCCATAATTGTACTCCGTACCCCGGTCAGATCTGAATTTTTTTATGGTACGACCATATCGAGTCTGAACCATCGTTATAAAATTTTTAAAAATGGTGTACACCTCATTTTTTGTTTTCATAAGATAAACCCATGTAACACCTATGATCATCAATAAACAATACAAAATATCAAAATCCAAGGCTAGAAGTAACTGAGCAAGGACCCAACACATCTAAATGAACAAGATCAAAAGGTGTTAAAGCAGATTTATTATTACTAGCAGGATAATTGGAACGAACATGTTTAGCCAGGTGACACCTCTCACAGGATAAATCTGAGACTGTCACGTTACAAAATAAGGAAGGAAACAAATGTTTTAAATAACCGAAAGAAATATGTCTTAAATGCATGTGCGGCATGTGCCAACGCATAAGCTGAGCTTTATTAGATGAAACAAAATTGGATAATGAAACTGAATGTGCTTGAGGTGACAAAGGAACATCCAACAGGTATAGGCCATCCACTTCACGCCCACTGCCAATCATGCGTTTCGACACCAGATCCTGAAAAATACAGTGACTACAATTTAATTTTTTAGTAACACTACTAACAGAAATAAGATTTGTAGTCAACTGTGGAACATAAAGTGTATCTGACAAAGTTAATGAAGGAGTAACTGATATGTGGCCCTTCCCAGCAATGAAATATGGAGCGCCATCCACAAGGCGTACCTTGTGATAGCTAGAACACATACCGTAAGATTGGAAGAATAATGACATACCAGTCATATTGTCTAAAAAACCAGAATCAATGCTCCATGATGTCGAAGATGTAGATACGCTATGTGCAGACGCAATAGTACCTAAGTGAGCTTAAGTGGAGGTTGGCTGAGATGATGCCTCCATTTGAGTGAAGAATTGTTTGAACTTGTCCAAATCAACTTGAGTCAAGCTAAATGTGGCAGAAGATGTTGAGGCAGAGTTGTCAGGAGTTAACAAAGAGACTGGTTGTCTAACAAAATGGGTAAAGGATCGAGGCTGTTGTTTCAATTGCGGTGGGAGTCCATGTAGTGCATAACAACGAGATTTCATGTGACCAATTTTTCCACAATGGTCACATCTCCCACGTTGTCGTCCTAGAGGAGGACCGGTGGTAGAACTCTGAACTGACTCGAATTGTACAGTTCCTGAAAGGTTGGAAACCCGAACTGCCATAGCAGAACGATCAACAGAAGCAACACCTGATGGATGAGTCCGACGACACTCATCTAACAACACATAGGAGTATGCATCCTCAAGAGTAGGGAATGAAGATAAGCCCAATAAATGAACACGAGCATACTCAAACTCGTCGTTCAACCCGGAAAGAAATTAAAACACTCTATTCTTCTCCACAATCCCTGTATATAAAACTGCATCATCTAGATCCTTTCAAGAGTGGAAGGAATCATAATATGACATCTCCTCCCAAATAGCATGAAGCTTGGCGACGTAACCTAAAACTGTCAAGTCACCCTGAGAAATCCTGGTGATATCTCGCCCCAATTGGAAAATCCGTGCATTATTCTGCCTCTGAGAATAAGTGCGTTGAACTGAATCCCAAATCTACTTAGCAGTCTTCATAAACATATAGCCAACGGCTATGTCTGGCTGCATCGAATTGACTAGGCAAGACAGAATCATAGCGTTATTTGGAAAACACTGTGGATATGCCTTCTTCGACTTAGCTGGCTCTTTCCCATAACCAGTAATATAGCCAATCTTGCCTTTGCCACCAATGAAAATCTTGGCAGACTGTGCCTAAATCAAATAGTTGGAGCCATCCAACTTCACCCACAATTGGTGATTTTCAAATCAAATAGTTTGTGATTTGAAGCCCTGGATTTTCTGATGAGTTGATCGGAAAAATGGCACCACCACCAATAGAACTTGAGCCAAGAGAATTAACAGTAGAGGACTTTAAATCTACCATAATCTGTCACACGACAATACACAAATCCAAAAAACCACAAATTCTGTTAATAGATCAAAGGGTCTCCTTAGACCATAAACAATAACAATGTCTCCTCAGACCATTCCCAAAAAGTCCAAATACAAACTTTTTTAAGGACCGCTATACGCTTACATATAGCCGGACAAACTCCTCCTTAATATCCGGAACCTCTCTATAGACTAAAAAATTTTTACCCAAGCCCTTCTAGGTATTGGAGACCACCTATCCCAATTTACCTAACCCTAGAAGAGTAAAAAAGAATTTGTAAAACTTAAAAATACCTGTTTTCAATCACAAAACAGCAACCCAGAAAAACATGTGTATGCAATGTCACACGATGTCACAAACAACCTATGATAGCTATCGCACAAGTATCAAGGCTGCTGAAAGATATGGAAAGGTGTTGGCTCTGATACCAAAGAGAAATATAAAAAGAAGGACAGAATTGTGTAAAGGCTTGAATGAGATAAATCACTCATTCACAGCTCTAATATTTATAGATAAAAAAATATCACATGCTCATATTACAAGAAAGGAAATAAAATCAAATCTAAATCAAATCACATCATATTCTATGGCATATTCTATAGCATATGTCATATTCTATAGCATAATCAAATCTCTACTAATACGGTAAGTCATTCTATAAATCGTGGCTATCATATGCGCTAACAGTATCATATAGTCATGTATCGTATATATCAAATAGTGTATCATATAAACATTCAACATGAGATACGTATTGGAAATACAGGTTGATTTTATCTCTAAAAGTTATCACAACATATGTACCATAACATATTTTATATATAAGTAAGATTGTATTAGACAAAGTTCAAACAAGGAATGCATCCCACAAAGCTACACAAGGCCAAATGGGGCCCCTAAACTCTCAAAGAGTCCAAAAAATCAACCATCTCCCCCATGGATCTACAATTTCTCCCAAAAATATATTATATATTGAACCCGTACGAACACAAGAAGTACATCGATGAATGGGAATATTAGCAAACCTGATTTCAGACCACGGGCCAGATTAAATCCCAACCATTTAGATATTGTTCGAGATAATGTAGAACCCATTTCATGTGCTTTTTGTTCCAAGTTTTATATTATCATTTACGACAACTATTGGACACACTTATAGGGCCACGTTCAAAATCGGGAATTAAATGCAGTTTCACAATAGAATGATAGAAGAAATCAAGTGTAGTCTTTGTTGAAGATAATGCTAAGGAAAGGAGAAGACAACAACTACATGGATTGAAATAATTTGAAAAGATTTTACCCGGTCCGTGTGGGTGGGGTCGCCTTGCACAGGTCCTCGGGGATTAGTCGGGGCAAAGCCCCGGATACCTCGAGTTTCCAAAAAACAAAAAAAATAATAATAATTTGAAAAGATGTGATAGCATGTAGTTTAACTAAGGTTATGGTCTTAGCGAGAGCGTAATAGTGAAACAAGATTCATTTAACCCACCACAAATAGTTGAAATAAGACTGTTGAAAAGAGTATTTCTGAAAAGGATAAATGCTTCAACTTTCGAGTGGAAGAAGCCTTTTCTTCCAAAAAAGAAGAAATTCCACTATTCCTATTCCCTGGTACTTATTTATTTGCCTCTATGCAGGGTTTGTCGACCATTTCATTTTAATCCACACGATAATTAATACTTGGGGCCGAGAATGTGAATACGTGCTATCGCTTCCAAAATAACGTTATCTATGTCTTCTCATAAGAAATATACATATGAATTATTTCATGATTTTCTACTTTTACAGGATCCTCTTTAACTTTTACAAGTTCTTTTTTATCTTCTTCAGTAAAACAAAATTTAAACTCCATAAAAGTTCTAGATTTAAAAAGTAAAACATTTCTTTAATTATTGAAGAGCTCTAACTGGATTTGTATGAATTGCAATTGCTCTCGGACTTCTTTAATGTCATTACGTATCAATATCCATTATAGCCCACCATATACTATGTTACCAATTGTTACAATCCTGATTATCATGGTAACAAAAATAAAAGACGACTATAATAACTCAGGTGAGGTATATTCCAACTAAATGGCTTCAAGGCTGAATAGCTCTAACTACAGCTCTATGGGTTCGTTTAATAATAGATCTACGCCCAAACCGGTCCACACTCAACTCAATCATACTCGTGTGCATGATTGAATTCCAGATAATGTAATTTTTTATCAATTCAATGGTTAAGCAACCAAACACTTCTAAGGAGTAGTTGTGTCTGTTTTGGAAATGTGCCAATGCTGACATTTGTCGTTAAGTACTTCTGGCTATGTATCAAACACATTTTGGACATATCTATGATCTAAAAAATTTCTTAATTTTCAGCACATGGTTAACACTTCAAGATCATTTGCCAAAATGTAACTGAGGAAAACTTATATTGATCAGGTCAAATTAATCCATATTGCATTTGTATTTCTCTACGTTTAGATAAATAACAATCCAGATAAAATACTAAAAAATGTGAACCAACAAGTACTTACCTCCATGGCCATCATAAACACCAAAGAATGAAGTGGAAGCATCCAAATCAGGAAATGCAGCATGCTAGAAAACAAAGGAAAAATAATAATAAAGCACCTCAGTATATAATTAATTATATAATATAATCAAGTGTTAGCCCACACTACAATACATGGACTTTTCAAAAGTAGTGAAATACCCGCGTCGGACACATATTGCACGGAAATGGGTCGACACTTTTGGTTAGACATGTACTTAAAAAACATATCCAATCAATCAATTTTATTATATTGTTACTTTAAAATGAGTTAAATGCCAATATTGAATGATATTTTACATGAGAACATTATTTTACCCTAGAAAATAAAATAACATGAATATTTAGCAATGTCCATGTGTCCTATATTGAGATTTGCACATCATGTACCCGAGTCCATGTAATATTGGTTACGAATGCATTACCATACAACTTCCACAAATTCTAATTTATGAAAAAACAATATCCCTAAAGAAACCTATGCCAGTGATTATCTAGTATGAGACTAATATAGAAACAACAATCGAGCTAGTATTCAGTTCAAGGGAGACATCATATCATAATAAACAACTAAAATCATTACTAAATTAGCTCGCAAAACCAAATACGTTCTTGCAAGACTAAGCCAACTGTTTCAAAGGTCACATTTATGGATTGTTCAATTAACTCTCACAGAATGTGAACTCTGGGTACAAGCAACAATACTGTAATTTGTTTGAGAGGTAAAGGAATTCACCTACTTATCTTGATGGTACATCTATACACTCACTCAAAATGCAATATCTTTTGGTTTAGAAATCTTGATAAATTTTGCCATGCATTATACATACTGCATACAAGAGATAAACAAAGACAAAGCAAGTAATTGAACTTGAACACAAAAAATTGATATCCTTAGGACACAATCATTGCTCACAGCGTCTTAAGGACACAATGAACACAAAAAATTGATATCCTCAAAAAAAAAAAAAAAAAAAAACAAATAGGAGGGGGTTTCATTGATTACTCACAGCATCTTCCATTGTTGCACGCCATCCTTGCATGGATGATAAACCATATCTAAGCCCAGAATTATCACCGTCTTCAGAGAATTTTTCAGTTTTGGGAGTACTGAGATATATACCCATCTCTAGCTGAAACCAATAAATACCTCAATCAAAAATCAGTTTACCCAAAAGGTTCAACTAAAAAATACAAAAATAAATATAAAAAATAACATATATATAGAATTTCTTTCCAACAAAAATTCAAGCATCTAACATGCTACCTGGTTATTCAGAAAATGTAAGGAAGAATATGAAATTCATAAATTTTAAATTTCATTAATACTTTTTCTCACCCATCTGGCCATCTCTAGCCGATACTAAAAAAAAAATAAAAAATAAAATAAAAAATAAAAACCTCCAGTTACAAAAGCATTATAGTGACCCAAAAAGAGTGTATCATTCTTTTAAGCCCAAACTCCTATTATATTCCCGATAAAATGTAGGGAAAAAAGAAAAAGGAAAGGTAATTTATAAATCACATCTTCTTTTTCTTTTTCTTTTTTTCTTACCCTCCATTTTAGAACAAATTAAACATAGAGTTAATCATCTATTGGCTGTTGCTGTAAAAAAAAAAAAATCAATCTCTACTAAAAAAGACTTGGACAAACTCAATCTAACATGGATCCAAGGTCATGACATTCATAAAAATAAAATTAAAAAAAAAAAAAGTAATAATCATAGATCACAATAATCAAGATTAAATTATACCCAAATAACAAAGAGAACCCAGATGCTAAATCAGAATTATAAAGATGATATAACACAGAATTTACATAAAAAGAGACGAATCCACAAGTTCTTAGGGCATGTGATTTACTTGGCCAATTGGGTGTCGGTGGAATGTTCTTAAACAGGAGCCAAGAAAGAGAAAAACAGCAAGTGAATCCAAATCTTTACCGAGAATTATCAAAAACCCAGAAGATTTTTCACGTTACATGAGAGAATAAAACAAGAAAATGAACGTAATAGACTGAGAAGTAAAAAAATTAAAAAAAGAGACAGAGCAGCAACAACAAAAACAGAGAACGAGACCAGCATACGAAACAAGAAAAAGTAGAGAGAAAGAGAGCTGTACGACTTTTTGATGACTGAATTGTCTTTTAGACTCTTTTGAGATTCTGATGACTGATCGATCTTCTTGAAACTGTTTGGAATATATTTTACAGGCGAGTTAATATAGTCGTTCAAAAATGCTCTCTCTGTGAGAAGTTACTTTGATACCATGAATGAAGGATAGTCTTGCCAAAACAAAGAATTGGACCAAAGACTCTTAGCAAAATAAGACCAAACTAAATTACATATTTGGTTTTTATATTATTTTTTTCTTTTGTTTTTTTTTTTTTTTTGATAAGTATTTTTTCTTTTGATTTTTAACATGACAAAAAATTCACAAACCCTTTCTTGTCTTTACTTAAATTCTGAATCCTCTACTTTAATAGAAAGAAAAAATACCACCAACTTAAAGAATTGATAGAAAAAATTATCCATGGAATCGTATTCCTTTATTGCTAAGATCAATTTAGTACATGTCAGATTTAAATATTTGTTAATCGAGTAAGAATCGGTTTAAGAATAGAGTAGTAATATGAAGAGAGCTCACTCATGTTGTAAGTCTTTATGTAAAAAGCAAATAAGTTACTGCTCTATAATTAATACATTTTACATTTTTCAATTATAAGGATGCTCCCTTAATAACATAACAATTAAGAATTATACTAATATTAGTAAATTATCATTTTCCTGTTTTCAATCTTTTTCAAATTTTTTATAAATTCAATCACAAAACTAAGAAATCTTTGCATATAATTCTTAATTCTTTTTGTTTATACTAGTATTTTTTTAAAAAGAATATCTTAAACTATTTAGAATTTTTTTTTTTTTTTTAAATTACAAATAAGCACTAAGTTGGGATGAAATATTCATGAGTTCGAAATATAAATGAGTTTCAGACTCAACCAGTTGACATCCTAATTGTCATCTTATATTAATAGCTTGACTTGCATCTGATGCCGCATCCATCCTCTAATATGTGTGTGTGTGTGTATGTGTGTATGTGTGTGTGTGTGTGTATATATATATATATATATATATATATAGTGTGTGTGTGTGCTTTTAGTAGGTGCAAACTGCAAAAGCATTGGAGCTGGGGAAAAAAAAAACAAGTAATAATCTGAAGAATGTACCTTTGAGAGAGTGTAGAAGAGAGGGACCCAAGGTACACCATTTAATTAGGGGTGCCCTATTATAAAAGCAGATTTGACTCTTTTAAACAAAGAAGAAGACTAAGTACCTACGTTACCAATTCTATCAACTAACTTTAATAATTTACACAACAATTGAATCAACTACCACTAACAACTACTTACAGTAGTTGTAGTCCTTTGTTTTAAGATGCTATTTTGATAGAGCCAACCGATAGCGTATATGTATATATTTAGCCATATCGTGCTCACTACTTAATATATTCCTTTTATTGTGTAGTAGATTCCAATCAAAGAATGAAACAATTTATTTATTTGTTTTTGTGGCAAAAAAAAAAGAAAAGAAAAGTTGCTAATGACAGAATGGTTGAGCAAACATTGTTTGTCAACTTGGCCTAAATTTGTCTCTTTCTCTTTTCCATAATTGGGCTTTGTTTTTTTGTTGCGCATGAGAGTACTAAATTAACGTTTTGAATTGAAACAATTTAGTTTAATATTTTAACAAAATTTCATTCAATTTTAAATATAAATTACTGATTCAGTAGTTCAGACACAGCATTAAAGTAATTGAATGGGAGTATAAGTATAGTTTTTTTTAGGACGGATTTTATTAATTTTTTCTATGAATATGATGCTTTGTAAGGAATTAACGTTATGAATTGAAACAAATTTAATTCAACATTTTAACAAAATTTCATTCAATTTTAAATATAAATTACTAATTCAGTAGCCTAGACATAGCATCAAAGTAATTAAATGGGAGTATGAGTTAAGTTTTTTTTAGGAAATATAAAAAGAGCTGATAATATGGGTAACTCGGATTTTATTAAATTTTTATATGGATATGATGCTTTGTTTTTGTTGTGTATGAGAGTAATGAATTAACATTATGAATTGAAACAAATTTAGTTCAACATTTTAACAAAATTTCATTAAATTTAAAATATAAATTACTGATTCGGTAGCCCAGACATAGCATCAAAGTAATTGAATGGGAGTATGAATAAAGTTTTTTTTAGGAAATATAAAAACAGCTGATAATATGAATAACTTGGATTTTATTAAATTTTTCTATGAATATGATGCTTTGTAAGGACAAAAAAATAAATAAAATAAAAAAAGAGGAGGTTAGAAGGTCTAAAAATTCAAACTACCATAATTGTTGTCGCTTAATTTTGAGTCTCTGTGGCTTGTAGTTGTGGTAAAACTTTAATTACATTCTGCTGCCATAAATATATGATACATTATCCAAATAAATTGTATTTGCATATGATGGAGGTGGGATTCAAGCCGCACAATCATTTTTAACAGGTGTCGCTCTCACGTTTCGAGTGCGCTCTGCGCGCGTTGTGACTCAAATTCTCACTATTTATGAATTAATTCTATCGTCCTCACGCTCATGCTCTCGAACTTGTTGTCGCTATCACTACCGTTTTATGTGACTTAGGATAAGACCAACTTTGGCCCAAAGAGTTATATTTCTTGAGTTTCAAAATTTTTGTTCAATCTTTTTATTTTAGGATGTCCAACATACACGCCTTATTCCAAAAATAGATGTGCTTTTTTGTATAACATTCCTAAAGGTCTTTTATTAAAAAAAAAAAAAAAAAGAAGTTGCACTAATTGCTAAATATTATTTTGTTTTTTAACAAATATATATTTAAAAATTCACTCTTACCATACAAAAAATATATATTAAGACTAGTCAAGAATTTTGGGTCAGAACAAGTATCATGTAAAGAGTCAATTGTTGACAACAAACAGCTAAATCTTGACAATTAATCAATCTATTATAAATATAGGAGCAACACATAACACAACAAAGTTAATGTAAATTTTCACCGCAATTCTATTTATTTCTTGATACATTCCTCCACACACACACACACACACACACACACAATATGTAGGCATTTTATCGACTCAATCTTTCATATTTATAAACGGGAATTATCTGTGTTGACCTCTTATTTACAACAAAACGGTGTATATCGACTTAATAATATGTCGTAAAATGTAAATGTTCATGCTCAAGAATAGAAAAATTCGTGATCAACTTTTACTTCCTCTAATGATAAAAGAGTGTAATGGTCATTAATAAAGGGTATAATTTCATTCTCTTCATACAAATACGTAGTATTCCAAAAATAAATAAAATTGTACACACTATGCGAAAATTAAGGGCCATTTGGCAATTGATTTTATTTTGTATCTTTTTTTTTTTGTTATGGATGGTGTACTGTAACAGAGAAAAACACGAGAGAGAAAAAATAATAATAATAAAAAATAAAAAAAAATTGTTTGGTAAATTTTATTGTGATTTGAATAATATTGTGTTTGTTTTTGAAATTAAATAGTACCGTGTTTGTTTTCGAAAAATAGATCAAAATCATAAACATCAAATGGGTGTTCCATAATGTGTTCGCAAGTAGCCCATAAAAAATTAAATAAATAAAAAAACACTATAAATGACTTTTTTAACTAGTCATTTTATTTAAATTTGTAATATTTTTGTACCAAATATGTTTTTATATTTTTGTTTTAAAAAATTTTGTAACAAATTTTGCATTACGAAAAATGCTTTCAATCACTATTGAATACAAAAAAAAAAAAAAAAAAAAAAAAAAAAAAAAAAATTGCCAAATAGGTCTAAGAAATTGACAAAATAGGTATATTTTCAATCACAATCGTTCAGTGAGTTAGTATCTTCGATAGATTTGAGTGTCAAATTTCGATTCTCTACAACTAATCTAACTACTAACACTTTTTGCTTTGAAGAAAAAAAAAAAAGACTTTCTTGTAGAATTGACAAAATCTTTTGTAACATATATATGGTTAGCATACGATTCCTAATCCAAGGTTACACGAGTTTGTTCTAAAATCCAATGCTGAGAATCTGTCTGACCAATGGCCAATATAATAATATATATTTTTATATCTCAAATAATATATATTGACTCATCGCTTGAATAACTGAAGGAAAAGAAGATTGATTTGATGTATTAGTTACTATTTGTCTTCAAAGTTCAAACCTAGATTGTTAAAAAAGTGTCAACATTAAGCAAAGCTTCAACTATCTTTTTGGGGTATCTTCATATCCTCTTAATTCACCCTTTAAGCCTCTAATCTCTAACCCTTAGCCAGCACAAAAAAGAAAAAAAATAATTAAAAAAAAAAAATCATTTTGTAAATTAAAATTGCATGAAATCTCAAATTATAAAAAATTAAAATTTAAGTCGAATATAGTCGATTTAGTTTAAAATATTTGGACATGAATCTTCTCCCTTCTTTGTTTTTCACTTGTGCATTTAGTAAATAACAATCAATTTCACTTTTTTATTATTGTCGTGACACAAAGTAATTAGTTGAAACACCATTTATATATATATTAGTAAAATACATGTATGATGCACGTTAATAGAACTGTGTGTATAATTGTAAAGTAAAAAAATTATAAATGTTCAAAAAATATATTTCAGAATAATTTTTCATTGTTATTTACTATATAGTTATATATTATTTATTGGAATAAATAACATTCTAAAATTTTAAAATAAATTATAAAAAATTAAATATAAAAATTATTTTCTATAAAAAATTCTCAGTTTAGGATTTTATTGGAATATTTTGATATAGAATTGTTGTTATATATTTATTGAAATAAATTATATATATATATTTTTAATTAGATTTCCTTTTACTGAATTTCAGTATTTTCGACAACTATATTATTATTATTGAATTAAATAAATAAGTTATATCTATCCCATATTAGTAGTCCAATATTCCATTTTAGAGTGTCCTAAATTAATTGTCCCATTTTACAAGTCAAAGCAAAAAAGTACTATTTTTTCATAATTTTTCTTTGAATTTTCAAATATTTCCCAACTTGATAATATACACATTTAAACTGAAAAGGATACTATAATAATTTTTAAAAAATAAAAAATAAAAAATAATGCATTAATTGCATATTTCTTAAGAAGTTCTAATTTCAAAGATAGACTCCCCTTAAGAAGTTATAATTTCAATAATGGACGGACAACTAAAATGTGAGGAAATGAGTGTGTGTGTGTGTGTGTTTATATATATAAATGAAAAAGAAGGGGATCCATGGTTGAAGTGTTTGCCTCCAAATCACTAATACATTTTTTTAGTTTTTTAATGGGACCTAGTCACCTAGCACAAAATTTATCATGGAGACAAATATAATAAAATACTCTGTCCCTTGAAATCTATGGAGTCAGTCACCAAGGTTGACAATCTCTCTCTCTCTCTCTCTCTCTCAAACCAAATATACAAAACCAATATTATAATAGAAAGGAGTAGATATATTGTGAGAAATCTATGAATTGACCTTTTTTTATAAAATTAAAAAAAAAGAAAGAAAAAGAAAAGAAAAAAAAGCAATACAATGGGCGGATTGTGAAATGAAACTGACCTGTCTATAAACAAATGATAGCGATCAACCATCAAATATGTACTATTAATATTTTAATGTAACATGGTGGATGGGTTGTATTTCATGTCTTTTGCCCAAGCTTTTCTAGGCAGCCTACATCAATGCGTATCAACACAAATATTAGAAGACGTTCGGTAAGAACAAACAAATGGTCTTTTAACCGAATGTGATTTTTTCAAATTAGGGTACCACTTCACTAATTATGTCAAAGATATGTTTTCTGCGGGAAGATTTTACCATTTTTGCTCGGTTTGTAAATTCAAAATTCAAGGAAGGAAAATGATAGAAGCACCGATGGACCGGGATGTCAAACACTGGTTCAAAACATTATAAAGAGAGAAGAAAGTTTTATTTGATTAATTAATGTGCAAGAGTCATTGTCGGAGACTTGTCACTGACGTCATTAACCAACCACTGCTATAGAGAAAATCAATGGATATTTGTTGGACACTGATTAGTGGAGTCCCCGGCATCAAGTCGTATAGAGATTAAATCAAAGGTATTTTCCATGTCTCCTCTACTGGGCCCGGTGTCTATCTTCTAAAGAACTTATTTATATTTAGTTGGTACCAAGAAGTAATTCACACGCAACATGGCTTTTTTCAGAAACAATTTAAAAAAGATATTTAATGACAATTAATGTGGACATGACAAAGCCTTGCGACATATTGGAATGGAGCTTCTTGATTTAAGTGTGACACTATGCTTACAGGGATGTTTGCTGTGTGGAGAAAGTAAAAAATATCTTACGCACATCTGGCACCACAACCTAGATGGTATAAACTTTCCTTCTCTGGTGAGTTGAGTATTCGGAAGGCTGGGGCAGAAATAATATATAGTTAGATGTGTGTTTTTTTGAACTTTCGAAGGAAAAAAAAAAAAAAAAACCTTTTGGGTGTAAATGCAAGCCAACATGTTAATTCAAAAACAAAAGAACAAAGCTCCCAGTTATCTGTAAGCTGGATGATAAAACATCCAAGCCTAGAAGGCTACACTGCACAGCATCAATATAATGAATGTGTGTTTTCTTGAACTTTCGACAAAGAAAAGAAAAGAAAAGAAAATAAAATAAAAAATAAAAAATAAAAATAAAAATAAATCTTTTGGGTGTAAATGTAATCCAACATGTTAATTCAAAAACAAAAGAACAAAGCTCTCAGTTATCTGTAAGCTGGATGATAAAACATCCAAGCCTGGAAGGCTACACCGCACAGCATCAAGATTTGATTTGTGGAGTTATTGAAGAGAAACCCTTGAGAACTTGCTTCATGATCTTATTGCATCTTGGGTGAAGCAAAGCTGCAATAATATAGAGTCTGTTGGGCTGTAATCAAATATCGAACAGGCTAAAGCAACTGAAAATTACAAGTTTCAAAGTTCAGACCCCATCCAATTTAAAAAGCTATAGGACAATCTTGAAAGATAACTTGAACCCCATTGAATAAAAAAAACAGACTAAAAACAATATCTGTGAGAAAAAATTGAGCCCATGAGAAGCAAAATCCAAAATTATACCGTACATATAAATTCAGAAACTAAAGTAACCGGATCGTGTAACTCACCCCTGAAATACTGAAACTCGGATAGAGTTGAGAATCAACACTTGAGGCATTTTGTTAGATCCCTTGATAAAGAAACACAAAATCCTCGAAAAATATACAACTCATCGGAACAGGGGGCAGAGACTGAGTTTCTGGCAGAACGATTCGAACCAGATCGTGTAAAAAGAAACAGTTTGGTTTTTAAGCAGTTCGATATCAGTTTCTCACATCACAAACTGTAAAAAAAAAATAATAATAAATAAATAAATAAATAAAAAAGGACAGTATTGAAAAGAAGATAAAATTTGCAGAAAATAGAGAATCGCGTCATTATGACAAAGCCTTGGTTTGGATCAAGAGAGCAAATTTTGACAAACCATAATATCAGCCCCTTGCATTATTGCCTAGACTCCTTGGAAGGCCTAAAATAAATGCTCCCTATAGCGGCATAAAAAATGGCTGATCGGAATCTATCATCTTCCACCTTTTTCAAAACTTCAACAACCACCTTAAAGTCCAAACCCCCAACCATAACCAACTTCCCAACAACCTCCCCAAAATTATTTGGTGCTTTCGGCAAATCAATGCAATTTAATCCAACTTGGAGGCTTATAAAAGAGGTCCAGTTCCTATGTTTCTGGTCATCAAAACTTTTCTCTTAAACATAAATTTCAAAAGCTTTATGATTGGTTCTACAAAAGGGGGCTATTCTCCAGTGCAAGGCAATGGCTTTTTAAATGACCTCAGGGTGATATGTTGAAGATCTTCCACACACTGCAATGCTTCATCAAGAACCCGAACACAATATATTCCTCTAAACGGGAATAGTTCTCCTAAAATATATGCAAGATTCGATTTTGTTGCAGGAGCCTGTGGCAGGAAGAAATTGCAAATGGTGCCAGAGAAGCAGGCTTAAGGTTTTAACTTATGGGTTCTACTCCTGAAACAAAAACAGAAGTTCGGGTAAGGGGACTGCCACATCTCTGCAGCAGGGTTTTTCCAGTTACGAAACCACCACCTCCTAGAGGTAACAATTTTGAATTGAGGGGTGCCGACTTCCCGATCAAAGGTGACTGGAAACATCTGGCAGACTGAGTAGGACCATAACCATCACCCCTTTGGGACTAGCATCCTTTGCTGTAAATGAATCCTGCTATACCCATGCTGTAGTGCAAAAATGTATGTTTTCAAAAAGGATAATTTTTGAGAGACGAAAAAAGGAAAACAAAATATTCTGCTTCAGCACCCCCTCATCACCGTCCCATAAAACAATGACAAATATTTGAAGCCAAAATGATCTGACTTTTTTTTCTCCCAAATTACTCAGATTTGAGTTTGAGAAAAAAATTAAAAGGCATTGAGGTAAAGGATTATAGGGTCTTGAGATAAAGATTAAAGTTATTGACAATAAGTTTAAAAGGTGTTTAGAACAAGATTAAAGCTGTTGAGAACCAGATTAAAATTTGTTGAAGTGATATTAAATGTGTCGTAAACAAGATCAAAGGGTGTTGAGAAAAAGACTAAAAGGTGTTTAAAACAAGATTAAAAGTGTTGAGAAAAAAATTAAAAGTGTCAAAGAATAAGATTAAATGTATTGAGAACAAGATTTAAAGGTGTTGAGAAAAAGATTAAAAAGTGTTGTAAACAAGATTAAAGATGTTGAAAACAAGATTAAAGGTGGTGAGGTAAAGATTAAAGATTTTTCTAAATACCTTCAATCTTTTTCTCAACACCTTTTAATCTTATTCTTAACACATTTTAATCTTGTTCTTAAAGCATTTTAATCTTGTTCTCAACACTTTTTAATCTTTTTGCTCAACACCTTTAATCTTGTTCTCAACACCTTTTAATTTTTTTCTCAACACTTTTAATCATGTTGTCAACACCTTATGAGAAAAAGATTAAAAGTGTTAAGAATAAGATTAAATATATTGAAAACGAGATTTAAACGTGTTGAGAAAAAGATTTAAAAGTGTTGTGAGCATGATTAAAGGTGTTGAGAACAAGATTAAAAGTGTTGAGAAAACTATTAAATTGTGTTGAGGTAAAGATTAAAGATTTTTCTTAATCTTTTTCTCAACACCTTTTAATCTTTTCTTAACACCATTTAATATTTTCTTAACACGTTTTAATCTTATTCTCAACATCTTTTAATCTCGTTCTCAACACATTTAATCTTATTTTTAACACCTTTAATCTTTTTTCTCAACACCTTTTAATCTTTTTCTCAACACCTTTTAATATTTTTCTCAACACTTTTAATCATGTTTTCAACACCTTTAATCTTTTTCTCAACAGCATTTAATCTTGTTCTTAGCACCTTTAATATTACATCAACACCTTTTAATCTTATTCTCAACATCTTTTAATCTTATTCTCAACACCTTTATCTTTACTTGAAGACCCTATAATTTTTACCTCAATGCCTTTTAATTTTTTCTCAAACTCAAATAAGTCTACCACAACAACATGGACTTTGTTTCCCACATATTATATTATCAGGTCACTTTGGCTTCAAATATTTGTTATTTTTTGAAAAGATAATGTCCAATGTTTTAGAAGTAAATACTAATTATGAAACTGCTTTTTGAACAAGAATTTCATTCTTTTTTTTTTTTTTTCTAGTTGGGTACTCACACACATGCCTTCACGGAGGCTCGAACCCCTAACCTCTCTTTGAGAAGTAGGGGCTTGGTACTGCTAGGCCATATATATGATTCATAATATATTAGCATCTATATTTTTCAAAAAAATAGTGGACATTGTCACACTCCAAGACAATAGGGCGCGATTAGTTAGGTAAAATCGAAAAGTGGAACAACAGTCCTCTGCTAGAAGAAAAACAATTTGTGCAACGGTTGATAAAAAAATTCATGAAAAATTCAATTTCGAAATTTTAACATATGAAACAAGTAGAGATAAATATAATTGAAATTTAAGGAATTTAAGTCCCTATGCTTGGAAAGATACCTAATTAAATCATTCTCAACACATTTTAATCTTATTCTCAATACATTTAATACTGTTCTCAATACCTTTAGTTGGATTCTAAAAACCTTCTAATCATTACTTCAGCACCCTTTAATCACCTCAACACCTTTAATCTTTACCTCAACACGATTTAATAGTTTTCTCAACACCTCTAATCGGGTTCTCAACACTTTTTAATCTTTTTCTCAACACCCTTAACCTTTTTCTCAACACCTTTAATCTTGTTCTTTTTCTCAACACTTTTAATCTTGTTTATAACACATTTATTCTTTTTCTCAACAACTTCAATATTTTTCTCACCACCCTTTAATATTGTTCTCGATACCTTTAATATTACCTCATCACCTTTTAATTTTATTTTCAACAGCTTTAATCTTGTTGTCAACACATTTTAAACTTATTATCGACAACTTTAATCTTTACATCTTTACCTCAATGCCTTTTAATTTTTTCTCAAACTTAATTCTGAGTAATTTGAAAAGGAAAAAAAAAAGGTCTACCACAAAAACATGGACTCTCTCACATATTATATTATCAGGTCACTTTGGCTTCAAATATTTGTCATTGTTTTACCGAACGGTGATGAGGGAGCGCTAAAGCAAAATATTTTTTTTCCTTTTTTTTTTTTTTTTTTTTTTTTTTTTTTTTCTCTCTAATTGGTAGTTTTCTCTCTTTTTTTTTTTTTTTTTGGTAATATTTTTACCGTAACGTCGTTCCTTTTTTCCATCTCAATAAAAAATGATCCTTTTTAAAAACATACCTTTTTGCACTACAGCATAAGTACAACAGGACCCATTTACAGCAGAGGATCCTAGTCCCACCCCTTTGACATTTGTCAATATCAAGCCCAAGCAACCCCGGCATCTTCCTTGTACTAGGAATACCAGGCATCATACTCCCAGAGCTAGGTCTAGTAATGGGGAAGCCTCCCGGCCCCATTCGCTCAAGTGCTCCCATGTTATGACTTGCGACCATTTCTCGTGTTCGCAATTGCCCCTGGACATAACCCTAGATTTGTTTCCGCCTCTAAAAGGATTTCAGTGTTGGTCATTGCTTCCATCAGCCAAAACAATTGTCGAATAAGTTCATTTAGTTATAACTTTCCTTTTGTTTTTTCAGGATAAGAACAATCAAATAAGATATTCAAACAATAAAAGTAAAGCCAACGTAATCATTTGCGGTTATCAAACACATGGATAGTAAACACCACATAATAAGGTGAAAAAGTAAAAAGCGCCTATAATATAGCATAACAAAATAAGTAGTCGGCGTAACAAAATAAGTAGTCAATGAGATAAGAAAAGTAAACCTCTTCATGTCTAGGGACCCAATAGTTGGCCCACAGGTCAAGATCATCATGGGACCATAAACCTCAACTGTGATGCAAGTTGGGGGTTTGATGATGTCAGCTCCTTCAGCCTGCTGAAATAGATATCATTGACTCGCCGAGATTTTGGGCTCTCATGTAGCTGCATTCTGCATTAGAATGATAATCCATGTCAGCATTCATCCTTATGTTTTACTTTGCAATTTTATATCAAATGTCTCTAATAGGATCTAAATATATGTAGGTCCTTTACGGGAATCTCAAGCTCATTAGATGCCCACCTAAAGCCCACACATCGCTTTATGTCCATATTTACAGCAAGTACACATACTTGAGTGCCCCACCAAGAATTAGGACAGTTATGTACAGTTTACGTGTATGCGTAAGAATGCGCACAAACACACGTGCCATCAAATTATTTTTACTTCACATTTTCTTAAAGATAGAATATTGTGGAGTTATAATTAGCATTGAAAGAAGTGTTTGAAACTTGACTACCTTCACAAGGAACTGAGCATTTCTCTCTCTATTTTTACCGTCATAAACAAAATCATGTTTCAAATTTGTCCCCAAAGAATCCATAGTTTACATGATTAAAAAGAAAAAGTGCTATAGAAACCTTTAGAAAAATAAATCCAATTAGGAAGAGAACATCCAATTTGATGAACTTTGCACATATGGAGCTGACCCAATAGCCTAGACTAATCTAATAAAATCAAAGCAGCATGTATATACAAATGCACAAGCAGTACATATATTATGCTCAAATATCTGACATCATAAACTTTTGGTCATCATATGCAATTCAAAACCATATAGAATTCAATCCAAAAACTGAATAAAGAAAAAGGAATAGTGAACCAGACCAAAAATGAATAAAAACAAATATATAATCCTTACTAATTAAATTATAACACAAATATAATCCATATAGGTTAAAATTTAATTTAAGAAACATTAAAAATAATAATAATAATAAAAACAGAAAAATTGAAAACAAAAAACACCTAAGATCTGAAAAGGGAAAATCTCAGGGTCTTTGTACCGACCTTGAAATTGCATGAGGCAATGGGAAACAAATTGGATGAAGAAGTGGAAATGAGATCAAAAGCGGGTCTGCTATCATCCATTCATCCTCTCTAGGGTCATCTACAGTAGGTATATTTACCAATTCAAAAGCATCAAATCCAATGAAGTGCACGCCCTCTATTATAATCAGATATTTTCAATTAATGAAATATCTCTTTATTGAACCAAATTCAAGAGAAACTCAGTTGTAAATGATATGAAAATACTCCAATGAAAAAGGAGTTCTATTTGTCGGTCTACACGACTCATATGGCTTTGACACATGGCTGCCAAATAATTTCAAGAAAAATATGAAAACTGAAATGATTCTTGACTAACAAACATGTCTAGTATTCTACTTATGAATTATAATCCATTTCAGCATTCAAAACTCTCACACAATATGCTATCTTCTTATGTGTTATTGTGCAATATAATTACCAATCGTATCAAGTGTCTTCTAATAGGATCTAAATATATGTAGGTCCTTTATGGGCATCTCACTCTCACTAAATGCCCACCTAAAGCCCACACATAGCTTTCTGTCCAAATTTACAGCAAGTACACATACTTGAGTGCCCCACCAAGAATTAGGACAATTAATTTACATATATGTGCATGCATGAAAGTAAAGACTCGTGTACCATCTAATTATTTCTGTTTCAAATATTCTCTCGAGTGTTATCTACATGTATTTAGTAACAATTCAATAACCATCGCACCCAGAAATGCGCTAGTTCTTGACTAAAATATCTATTTATCCAACCGAATTCAAGAGAAACTTGGTTGTAAATGTTATGGAAACACTCTAATAAAAGAAGTAGTATAGTTGCTGGTTAATACTGTACTAAATGTTGACTAGCAGACATGTCTATATTCTACTAAAAATGATAATCCATGTCAGCATTCAAACTTCACACACAATATGCTCTCTCCTTATGTATTACTTTGCAATAAATAATATCAAATGTCTCTAATAGGATCTAAATATATGTAGGTCCTTTATGGGCATCTCAAGCTCACTAGATGCCCACCTAAAGCCCGCACATCGCTTTCTGTCCATATTTACAGCAAGTACACATACTTTAAGTGCACCACCAAGAATTAGGACAATTATGTTCAATTTACGTGTACTCGTGCACACAAACACAAACACCCCATCGAATTTATTTTACTTCACATTTTCTAAAAGATGAATATTGTGGAGTTACGATTAGCATTGAAGGAAGTGTTGGAAACTTGTCGACCTTCACAAGTAACTGAGAATTTCTCTCTGTTTTTACAATCATAAACTGAATCCCATTTCAAATTTGTACTCAAAGAGTCCATAGTTTACATAATTACAAAGATAAAATACCAAAGAAACCTTTAGAAAAGGAACATCCAATCTGATGAACTCAGTACTTATAAGTTGACCCAGTAGCCCAAACAAATCTAATGAATCAAATGAACATGTCTACACAAATGCACAAGCAGTACATATATTCTGCTCAAATATATGTAAATAGACACCATAAACTTAAGGTTACCATATGCAATCAAAACCATATAGAATTCAATCCAAAACATAAAAAATAAAAAGTTACTAGCAACCCAGACCAAATGAACGATAATAAATATATAATCCATATCAGTTACATTTTCATTTTAAAAATTTTGAAAAAAAAAAAAAAAAATCAAACAAATGAAGTGAAAAAAAACTATGTAAAAACATAAAGAAAGGGACCAAAAAACAAAAAGATCGAAACTTACTGGCACGTAAGATCTGAAAAGGGAAAAGCTTAGTGTCTTTGTACCGACCTTGAAACCACCATGGGGCGCAGAGGCAATGTATTGGATAAAGAAGTGGAACTAAGATCGAAAGCGAGTCTTCTATTATCTTATTCTCTTTAGGGTCATCTAACAGTCAGGTATTTACTAATTCAAAAGGCATCACATCCAGGGAAGTACCTCAACACTCTAATCAAATAATTTTCAATTAATCAAGTATCACTTAATCCAATCAAATTCTAGAGAAACTCAGTCGTAAATTTATGAAAACACTCAGATAAAAAAAGAAGTTAGAAAGACTTTAGACTAGCAAGCATGTCAAGTATTTCTTATATATTAAAATATTACCGTTGAATATAATTACAAATCACATCAATTGTCTTCTAGTAGGATATAAATATCTGTAGGTCCTTTATGGGAATCTCACGCTCGCCAGATGCCCACCTAAAGCCCACACATTGCTTTTCGTCCATATTTACAGCAGGTACACATACTTGAGTGCCGCACCAAGAATTAGGACAATTAATTTACATATATGTAAATGCATAAAAACAAAGACACATTAACCATATAATTTATTTTATATCACATTTTCTGTAATAATAGCAATGAATTAAGTGCTGAGAACTTGTCTACCTTTAAAGTAAACCAAATAGAGAAGAGCTTATTTGTTCCATAGCAACTCATGAAATTTTTTGCCTTTTTTAAAACATCCTATTCTATTTGGTTTGGTTATTCTAATTTTCTGGCTAATATTAATTTTCATCACATTTTTCAAATGTTTACAGAACCAAATGTGACTTCTCCAGTATGTCTCCTCATTGTTCTTTAACTAAGTATTTCTCTCCATTTTTTTACCATTATAATAAAACTGTGTGTCAACTTTGAACCCAAAGAGTCCAGAGCTTGCATGATTAAAATGAAGAAAAAGAACATCATACAAGCCTTTAGAAATTGAACATCCAATTAGACTAACTTTGTAAAAATGGAGCCGAACTGAATAACCCAAACTAATCTAATAAAATCAAAACAGCATGTATATACAGATGCAAAGGCATTTCACACATATTCTGGCTGAAGATATGCAAATAAACAGACATCGTGAGTCTTGGGTTCCCATATGCAATTCAAAACCACATAGATTTCAATCCAAAAACTGAATAAATAAAAAATAAATAGCAGAACACATAAAAAATGAAGAAGAATAAATATACATTCAATATCAGTTACATTCTAAGTTAAGAGATATTACACAAAAAAAAAAAAAAAAAAAAAAAAGGACAGCATAAATGGATTAAAAGAAGGAAAAGCTGGAATATTTCGAAACAACTAAGATCTGAAAAGGGAAAGAACTTTAGGGTTTTGGTACCGACCTTGAACGCGCCATGAGGGCAGAGAGGCAACGAATGGGATGGACGAAGTGGAAGTGAAACCGATAGTGAGTGTGCTGCACTGCTGCTTCGGGTAGCAGCACCGTCACTTGGTCTGAAGCTTATCACCGTCTGATATGCCTACATAACCCAACATTCTAGAGGGAGAAAAGGTGGCACTCGCATCAGCATAATTTTAGAGAGAGAGACCCACCATCTTCTCTCTTTGCAAGAAGAGAGGTGCCTCCTATTGCATAAGAAAGGGAAACCCTAACCTGTAGCAAAGAGAAAAAATTACAAGGGTAAGCCGAAGTATAAGAAGCCAATAATACTCTTATATTATATTACATTTTATACAATGAAATAACAAATTTATCATTTTTAAAAATTTAGTCAACAAATCTGTGGGAAAGAAAGCTTGCAGAGTCATTGAGTGCATTCGCCAAATTTCAATGAAAATTAAAGTAATGGACTCTTCCTTAATAGTTAATCTGATGTCATGCTAAACACTCGGTTTGGTAGAATCTAGATGTGTTTCGAGTTGATAGAATGGTCCGATCGCAACAAAAACGTTGCGAGTTTAGGTGAAGAAAAATGTCAGAGATACTTCACATTATATCTAAATGAGAAATAAAATGAATATATACTAGTTAAGTATTAATTCCACCTAATAACTTATTTTTGGATCCAATCACAAACTACCTTACCCTTACATTATGTGAGACGGTGAAAAAGTATTTTTACAAAATATTTGAAGAAGTAGTAACAATTAGGTCAGGTATAAATAGAGAGTTTTAAATTTATTAAATTTTAAATTTGAAGAAGTCCTAACAATTAGGTCTTCTTTTTGGTCTCACTCTTTTGAATTATCATAACTGAGTGGTACATAGACTGAACCATATAAACCTGAAGATGCAACAACATTTACAGGAAAGTTTGCATGAAAGAAAAAGAGTCGAAGAGGTCTACCGAAAATAATATGGAATAAAGTTACCAGACATTATTTTAAATCTTAAATATAGCAAAAGAAATGAATAATGAAAAATAATAATTAATGTGACTTGTCCATTTCACATGGGATAAAAAACAGTATTTACAAAGTCCGACTATGACTTTGTAAATATTCATGAGCAAGATCAATGTCGGCTTAATCAACACTACAAGTAAATTCCACAAGAAGTATGGCTATGAGAAAAGCAATAATAGAATGTTAAAAATAACTGGAGTCATTAACAACAAACAGATCCATATAGTACAAAAAATTGAGGGAGAAAAGTGTTGATCTTGAACTTCACTGAGATTTACAGATCATGTCAAGAAACCTTAAAAGGCTGAGTTGAATCAGTACACAACTAATTAGGATTTTATTTCTTGGACATAATACAGAAATGCTGCAACATCTGTACCATTGATTAACATCTTATGCACAACTGCTCACCAGGAAAACCTGCTAAAAAAACTCACAGGGTGTATTAACAGAAAAACTAAAAGTTCCAAAATCTCTGGCAAAGCTTGCTCAAAAACTACGTACCAAAAAAAAAAAAAAGCCCCATCTACCCTAAGCGACCAAGCTTTCTAAGTAGCCACTTCTTTCGAAGTGTGGCATCCAATGCCAAAAATGTCTTTGCTTTTCTCTCATCTTCGAGAAGATCGCAAGCATCCAATAAAAGGTCATCGTCTATGTCAGGTATCGCTTGAAGTGCATCAATGGCGTTTTCAATTGAGACGAACTTCTTGTCTGCTTTCTTACCCACCAATTTTGCAAATACATCGGCCATGTCAGTAAAAGCTTCTTGCATTTCCTCCTTGCCAGTTTTCTGCACTTTGCTAGAACGTCCCGAGACTGATGGTGTCACAGCTGGGCGCTTTTTGCTTTGATCACACGTCTTAATTCCAATATCTTGGAGTTGTATATCTCCAGGAACTTCTTTGATCCCCATAATTAGGGAATTATAGTCAGTTTCTATCCCCAAGACTTGAAAGCTCAGCTGTTCATCCGTTATACCGCTTCCAAAAATCATGCATAAATCATTGTAATGTCCCAAGATTTTATCTTTGTACAAGATTGCATCAGGGTGGTCCTGCAAAGGGACACGTGTAAGGTACTTGCAACAAAGAGGGTAAACAATATACAAGAATCCGAAGATGACACTACTTCTAATCTTCATTCCCTTTATCAAACTGCAATCAACATTTAGTGGTATTTAGTAATTCGATTGCATTGATCTTCACTGAAACGAAGTGCAAAGCTCCCGACCACATTGTAGAGCATTCCAGTTGGAAATGAATAAGCCATATAGATAAAATTTGGTTTTGAAGTGTGAGAGAATTGCACCTTGATATAAGCTTCCCATGCATCATCATCAGCTGCAACTATTTGATGAGCTTCATCCCATGCAAATCCATTCTGATTGAGAAGACTGCTGATGTCAATGTACTGTTTCATCAAGTGCATATACCGATTTTCTAGCACACATCTGTCGTATTGAAGCCCAAATTTTTCATGAAATGACACGATCATGTGAACCCAAGCTTGTTCGTTGAATGTATGCTCAACTTTATTCCCTTGATGCAACAGCTCTAACATAAGGTCAATAAAATGGCGGTCCATTGGTGGGGTCCAATCTATCATCGGATCTGCCCTATTAGCAGGGAATTGACCATCCTCTGCTTCACCTACAAATTGAGAATAAAACACTTATATGGATGAGCTTGCATACCACAAAAATTAACATAGTTCCAAATTGTCCTGAATAGAAACCGAGAGGAGTCTAGAATGACTGATGTACTTGCATTCATAATGTTATTACAAGTTCCAAAGTTTCCATTTCTAGTGACAGCTCCAATATTTTTCCATTCTATTTTGGTGCATACCGACTCCAAGAATGAAGTTTACTCCCAATTCAGATTCCAATGCAATTCCATATGTTCCTTACAATTTTAATAGACTATTATTTCACAAAATAATAGATACATCAGTTAAAACTAACCTTCCCAAAATTATGACATCTGTTATTGCTGCATAGTAATGCACCAGTACAGTTAACATGTAGGCATCGTTACCAGTGTTATTAAAGGCCCAAGGCGCTAGAGGTCCTTTGGAGCCTAGGCGCGAGGCGCACGGCGAGGTGCGCGCCTGAGTGAAGTGAGGCGCACAATTGAAAATTTAAACTACCATAATAACATTCATATCTCATAAGTCATATCAATATTCTAAAAAATTAATATCAAGTATAAAAAAGTACATCCATCAACTATACAAGCATCCAACAACCATAAAACAGAGCACACATTTGTTTTCTTGAAAGGCAAAGCAGAATGTGTTTTCTTGAATGGCAAAACAAAGCACAAAAAAAATAAATCTGTTAACCAAAAAAAAAAAATTTGTTAACACGAAAAAGAAAAAGAAAAAACAGAGCCAAAAAAGAAAAAGAAATAGCATAGTTGTTAAAGGCTCAAGGCGCACAAAAGCGCAAATGACTCCGGGAGCCTGAGGCGCAAGGCGAGGAGCGCGCCCGACTGACGGAAGGCGCACGTTGAAAATAAAAATAAAAAAACAAAACCCACCCAAGGATGTGATATATTTTCAAATCAAATCAATCTCATTTTTTTTGGTTAATCTTCAATTCAAAAGATTATTGGTGGCTGATTTCTGAATCAAAGGATCAATTATGGGTCTAAATTAAACATACAAAACTCTCAAATACAAAAAATTCAATGATAATTTGCAGTAGGGTTCGTGAGATGGGTGTCTTATAATCGGGAGCCTAGGATCAGCCAATTTATTTTTGTTCGAAGTTTGTTAAGAATTCTCCATGTTTCATAAGCTTAATTCTCACCAAAATCCATCAACATTGATTGAAACAAAATGAAAAGAAAGAACAATCCAAGCATGACCCATTTAGTATGTTTCAAAACCAAAAGAATATCATCAGTACTTAGAAAATTATGGATGGCAAATAATAAAGAAAAGAAAACTACAAAATTGGATTTCTTTTTATTTTTTATACACGTAATAACAACACTTGTGTTGTAAGACAAGTAATTACTTGGTGAAAACTTGATCATAGACAATATGATGGTGGTCCATCCGACAAATATACAATATGAAGTGAACAACATATTAACATGTTAGACAGATAGAAACTTAGAATGGAAAAATAGTGATCAACAGTCGTCACAGTGAGTCCAGAGTCCAGACTCCAGAGAAGAAAAGAAAAAAAAGAAAAAATAAAAATAAAAAAATAAAAAAAGAAGAAAAATAAAAATAAATCTGCCAAAGACTTGGCCGAGAGAGCCGAGAGAAGAAAAGAAGAAGAAAAGAAGAGAAGAAAAGAAGAAGAAGAAGAAAAGAAAAAAAAAATCTGAGACCGGTCACCGATCCGGCAGATCCGAGAAGAGGAGTCTAAGAGGAGAGAAGAAGAAGAGAAGAAGAAGGGAAGAAGAGAAGAAGAAGAAGAGAAGAAGAACTAACCTTAGATCCGGCAGATGATGCAGATCCGAGACCGAGAGTCGGAGTCCAAGTCGTCACTCGTCTCGCTGCCTCTGTCAGTCTGTCTTCTTTCCTTTCCTTTTTGCTTCTCTTTTTTTTTTTTATGTTGCAACTTGTAGCTTTTCTTTTAACTAGTAACTAATAAAATAATATGATAATAATATAAACAATACATAAACAATAAACAAACAAAACCATGGAAACAAAACCAGTTAAAAATACATTTTCAAGCAGGCGCGCCTGTAGTCTCGCGCCTGTGTACAAAAGGCGTACGCCTTCTTTCAACCATGCGCCTTAAGTCAATACAAGCGATGAGATGGTGCCTGGAGGCGCCTTGCGCCTCAGGCGCGCGCCTTTAGCGCCTTTGAGAGAAGAGAACTAGACGAAGAGAGAGATGTAAACAAAGATAAGAAGAGAGGAGAGATCTAGAGGAGGAGAGAAAAAAAGAAAGAAAAAAAGAATTGATGTGGCTTCGTCGTTCATCTCTGCAACTAAGGCTTCGTCTTCGTCTCACAATCTCATTATATGTTCGGTTAACACATTGACTCTTGGGATTTCTTATTTTGTTATTCTCTTGAACAAAAGTAACTTCTATCGTATGCTTGGGCTTTCTTTTTTGTTTATTAAGTTGCCAAAAGTACCCTAATAGAACAATTGTATTTTTTAAAACAAATATCAATAAGGCATGCCTCACAAATAGGGCGAGGCGTAACCGAGGTGCGCGCCTAGTAAACATCAGCGAGCCTGGGATGACAACAGGCGCTAAACCTGAGCCTCGAGCCTCGCGCCTACAGCCTAGGCGTGCCTATAACAACACTGATCGTTACTTTACATAATCTCGTGCATATTTCTAGAAATGAGTCCTAATCCATGAAAAAATAATACAGGTCCCTTTAATGCTTAAAGTTTGCGTACGCACGTGTATCTGCATGTGTGTGTGTGAGAGAGAGAGAGAGAGAGAGACTGATATAACTCTAAGTCAGTCATTTTCGACATGTACACAGCTTGAATTGTTTTTCGGTCAATTTTATCCATGAATGAAGTTAAGGACGTTTATGATTTACGCATTATGTTCCAATGACTTGTATGCAGCATATGTAAGCTACTAGAAACTGGGAGAATAAAAAATTAAAATGAAAAAGTGAATGATTATGAGATCAGAATTAAGGCAAAAAAGAAAAAGAAAAAAAAAAAATGGTAAAAGCTTATCCTAATTAGTGTTAAGAAATAAACCCTGTTCCAAGTTCCCTGGAGAACATCTGCGAGTGTCTTTAGAGAAAGGAAATCTTCATCAAGAAAGTTTTCATGGCAATAAGTAACTAACTCAAACTCCAATGGTGGCTTCTTAAATTGTGTTTGTTGTATTAGGACCAAACACATTTAATATAGAAACCTTATGACCCATGCTTATCAATGTACTTGTTATAAACCTCTGGCATTATATCAATTTTCAAACTGCTGTAGAGCAAACTATGACCATTTTTTGGGTCAATATCGAAAAACAACAGACGGCTTTATGATGCTCTAGCGACGCGTCTCACAGTCCTTGATAACAATTTCTCCGCCTACAGTCACAACTCTTTTGAATATATGGAAAACGTTCATAGCTACGTACAATCTGTTTGGAGGTGGAGATGGTGAAAGCACAAGTGCTGAAGGTGGTGAAAACTAAAGTAAGTTTTTTTAATGATTTCTCTGTTTGTCAACTAAGTACAATATTTTCTACATTTTTACATATATAGCATGTTGCTGCATAGTTTTGAAATTTATAGATTTTAGGAAATATGTTGGAGCAAATTTTGAATTTACATTTGATTATTTTTAGTTTGTCATATGCTCCATAAATGATTTGATTTGATTGTTAAGATTGAAATTGCCAAATATATGATTTATTTATTCTCACATAGATATAATGCACATTAGTAGTGTTATTTGTATTTTGCAGCTCATAATATCTATCAAAGAAGATCATTAAGCCATCAAAATCTCAAAAGTTTGACAAATTTAAGTCTTTCTAAATTTATTTTCTATGTATTGTTCATCTTGTGGGTTTTGTCATGAAATTGATAAAGGAGGATATTGGTAGGTCAATAGGAGTTAGGTTAGCTAATTTGTACAAACCAAGAATCTGTATGTTTTAATTTAACTCTTGATGTTGGGTTCAGATATAGTTAACAGAACGAGTTAAATGATGAGGGTTCGAGTCTCCAAAAGAGCAAAGTGGGTGTGTAAGTGGCGGCAAAATTTAAGTCCTCGTACTAATCAAAACGTGACCTAATTTTATACTTATACAAAAAGAAAAAGAAAAAGAAAAACAGAGCGAGTTAACTCACTCTGTCCAAGGTCAAAACAAGAATTCAAAGCTTCAAGCAGGGGCACAAAGGTAACTTCAACTCTTAATTTGCGCACTCGCCAAAATTAGGGTGCATGCACATGCATTCATATTACTATACATACAGGCGTTTAAATTTGCATGTTTGATCCATAATAGAGAGAGAGAGAGAGAGAGAGAAGAAAAAAGGAAAAAAAAAAAATTAATTAGATGTTATTAGTCACGGATATCAGAGCACTAAAGGAAGGGTGGATTGCATGAGGAGCAAATTTGATAATTGTCAGCAGAGGGCCGTTTGGTGTGAGTCTGGATCAGAGGTAACTAGGAGATTCTTGGAATGAGAGTATCGTAACCTTGTTGTAAATCATTCTTTGCACATTGAATTTGATCTGCCTGGATTACGTCCTGTGGTTTTTCCCAATGGAATTTTCTACGTGAAAATTTCGTGTATTTTTGTGTCATGTTTTTCTTATGATTTTTGCTTTAAACTCTGCATCATCCCTATTTTTACATGCTTGATTGATAGTTACGATTTGAAATATGGTTAAAGTTGTTAAATTCTAAATTTATGTTAGAATTTCATTATTTAGCTGTTAAGACCTATTCACCCCCCTCTAGCTCTAGTTTGGCCCATTTGCGTACACTGACAATAAGAGCCTAAGATTCCAATCCTTATTCTTCATGATTGTACCTAGGTTTTATTCATCTTTCTTTTATCCTAGTTGAGTCAAGTTATTCAAATAACGTCATGTTTTACTGGCCTGGACTGTAGTAATTGGCCACAGTTTTTATTTTGTTGACTGGTAAGCTTAATTATGAAAATAAAACTCAAAACTTTGGCCCTAGTAATGGATATTTTGTTGACTGGTAACCCAATTCCATGACTAGTGACCCAAACCATTTTACTACCCTATAAGCCATTTCTAGAACGTTCAACATCCAAAAGTAGATTTTGTATGTTAACTCCCCCAACAAAACTTTCGGAACTTTCAGGGATTACAAATCATAACATCCAAAAGCCTATTTAAATCCCTTTTCAATGGATCAAGTAAAATAACTTTTCTTTCAACCTCTAAATCCAAATACTTCAGGTTGTCCATATTTCAGCCCACAAAATTATCTAAGAAGCATTATTCAAATTTCTTTTGTATTATCCTACACAAGGCAGTGTCAAAACTGGTGAAAATCTCTGGGAAAGAATCTTAAAACAAATCAAGTATAAATATGGGGGAGCACCAATCATGTTTGTTAGTAAAACATTGAATACGAAAATAAAGTAAAAACACAAAGAAAGCATATATCTTCATCCTAGTCATCTTTGGAAATCATAATAACTCAGGAAACATGCAGAATATCTAACACATAGGAAGAAAATTCATATATTAAATATGAGAAAATCAAGTGTGTGCATGTTGAAATCTGGTAAAACTCAGGAGTCACTGGCAAATGAAAAAAGAAGAATTGCAAAGCAAGGAAAACTTGGCATAAGATTCAAACGAGTTTCAAGTATTATTTGAAGTAGCATAAAATAAAACTCCAACTTCTCTTTTTCAAACTTTAGCAAAACTCATACTTGTTCTAAGAGGAAACTGGACTCACTTCGTCTTCTAGAGATGACACAATTAGTCATTGCAGTATATAATCTTATACAATCATCGCAACCAATAGACATGTACCTGTTGTGATAAGAACAATTTCATTGTCTGGGTCGACATTGAGAGCCAAACGACTGTATCTTCCATCAGAATTATTTTGCCCATAAATGATACATAATTTGTGATAGCTTGGTGCGGTTTTAACTCTGTATGATCGAGCATCAGGATGTGCCTGCACGCATTATATTTATACAATAAAAATCAATCTAAACATAACAATACGAATGAATGAATAGCAGTTCACCTTGATATAAGCATCCCAAATGTGATCTTCAGCTGTCACCATCTCTCGTGTCTCATCCCAGGAAAACCCGCTCTGCTCAAGAAGATTCTTAACATCATTGTACACTCTCCTCAAATGTTTGTATCGGTTCTTCAGAACATCTCGATCATGGTGAGATTTGAATTTTGCATTGAATGATTTAACCATGTGAATCCAAGCCTGCGTAATGAATGTCTGTCCAATTCTATTCCCTCTATGCACCTGCTCTAGCAACAAGTCAATGAGATAACGATCCATCGGTGGTGTCCAATATGTTCTTGAACGTGCACTACCTACAAACACAACATCTTGTTTTTAGGAGTAAACCTTCACTGAATAAAAGATTTTAGGGTTTCAGAGAACTATATTTGCAAGTTCATCAATGACCTTATTCATGAAATTCAAGTTCTTAGTTTCTCAACCAAAATTAATAACTACTCTCCTGAACACATTTGGAGTGAGCCTAATTGGTAGCATCAACAGCCAAAACGAGCTAAACAAACTGCTTCCAAAACCAATGGGCTTCCCCTGTATTGTAATCGAGCCCAATACATTCAAAAGTCTTAGGTTTTACTTTTTCCAGGATTAGCAGATAGACGAAGTTTGTAGGTGATTGCATGCACCCAAAGGGATTATTCTAGACTTGGAATGGGCTTCAAAACACCTTTGCATAACCCAAAGAAAGGAAGTGAGAGATAAAAAGAGAGAGAGCAAAACGAAAATAATAAACAGGAAATGTAATTGCATTAAAAGAAAATGAGGCACAAGATAGACGGCCAAATAGTACCATAAAACAGAACCAAGAGATCTTGAATAGAAACACAAATATGCGAAGGGAACTAATGCGGTAAAAAATGGCCCTAAAAGTTCTCTTCGCAGGGCTTTTAGCATAAAATGGAAAAATCTATCGAAACCACAAAAAATTTAAACATTCTCATGAAAACGGCAAATGCCCCATGCAACTATGCGTCTGTTTTTCACTGATAAAATATTGAACAAAGCAAAACATGAGCAACTCTTGGTAAGTTTTGCTCAGTTCCCTCTTCACCCAAGTCTCTCCTTGACCACAGGTTATCATGAAATTTCCATAAGACATTACACCCAAGATTCTTGTGACCCATCCAAGAAACAAAAAGATTCCAGTATTGCATGTAATAGTGAAAACATAGTAATCTAGGTTTTTTTTTTTTTTTTAAGATAAATAATAAGAAATCCCAGCTTGGTTATAGAAAACCAAAACGCACCAGTCTTTGTTCCTGAGATGTCATCTTTAAAATCTTTGTCCTGATGTAAATCACTCTGAATTCCATCGTTGATTGCATCTCCAAAAATCAATCTCAAAGTTTTATAATTCGGCAACATTTTTGTTCTATAGGACCGCGCTTGTGGGTGTGCCTACACTCATATAATGTAAGCCACTTATCAACAAGAAGGAAGCACAAACTTTGAACGAGTATTGAGCAGCATACCTTGGTATAAGCATCCCAAACACCTTCATCAGCCACTATCATTTGGTGTGTCTCATCCCAGGAAAAACCATTTTGTTTAAGCAGTAATGTTATATCACTGTAGTACTTCAACAATTTATTGTATCTGTGTCTCAAAACCCTTCTGCTATGTTGGGGACCAAATTTTGCATTGAACGAAGTAAGCATATCCGTCCATGCTTGTTTGTTGAATGTATTATCCAGCTTATTGCCTCTTTCTTGTTGGTTAAGCATCAGCTCGATAAAATATTCATCCATCTCAGTGGTCCACTCTGTCCTTGAACGCTCACTATTTGGAGGGGCTAGGCTACTGATTCCATCACCTATACCAAGAAATTTATTAGTAAAGGTAGTCAATCCTTCACTATAACATATGGTTCCCAAATTGATGAACAAATGTATTCTCTGAAGTCTGGAAATATGAACATCACAATGGCTATCTGATAACGCAATCACATTTTAGAGTAAACAAAATAAAACAGTCCATAAATTGCTAAACTGGAAGAGTATGCTCAACTTCGCTTGGGATAAACTCCAAGAAGGTTACCTGATATGGCAAGACAGCAGCGAATGGCTGCCTGCTTTGGCTGAAATGTAAACTTACTATGCTTTCCAGACTATTCGAGAATTTCTTAAAATTTTTTTTTGAGATTCCATGTGAAAACAGTGTTGAAAACTTCTTGATCAGATTGTGTAGTAAAGCATGATGGGAAGGTGGTGCACAGTGGTGGAGCCAGGAATTTTCCTCAGAGGGGGCAACCATTAACAATAATATGATAACAAAATTTGAACCAAAATAATAAATAAGTTCTTCTGAATTTTTATTCTAAAAAAATTTGTGGGACCCACTGGAGGAGAAAACGCAAGGGAGTTGTCTAATTTTGAAAATCGTATGGGCAAATGAGTTAGAAAATGAAATATCTTATTGCATTTTGGAAGTTTTTCTTAAGGTCTTTTGTGAATTTTTTAAGAGTTAAGCGGGGGAATTTTTATTTATCAAAATTTGGGTATATAAGTGCAAATATCATAAAATTCCAGTGCGGGCAATTGCCCCTACTGGACCCAATGTGGCTCTGCCACTGGTAGTGCACAACTATTAACTTGTTACTTACACTTCTTATGAGCTGAAACTTCCATTTTCAAGAATTAGCAGCACAAGACCGCATGGTTATAAACTAAATATCGACATGTTATTTTTCCAAGGGCAACAACTAATCTAACCTTAATCTAGGTCCAAAAAAAGGAAAAAGGATACACACCCAAATTAATTCCTTGGAGTTCATCATCAATATCCATGTCATGACTTGAACGGCTGTATCTTCCATCAGCAGTTGTATAACCATATATCAAGCATAGATCATTAAAGTTCAGCAAAGATTTGGTCTTGTATGTCCGTGCATCTGGGTGAGCCTGCATGTTGCTCACTGTTAATTAACAACAACGAAATAGACAAAATTACAGACAAACCACAGAATGTAATGCACCTTAATATATACATCCCACACAAGGTCATCAGCTACCACCATTTGCCGTGTCTCATCCCAAGAAAACCCACTCTGGCCGAGAAGATTCTTGATATCATTGAATTGCTTCCATAAATTTGTATAACGACTTTTCAGAACATCTTTGTCATATTGAGATCCAAATTTTGAATTAAACACAGCAAGCATATCTGTCCATGCTTGCTTGTTGAATGTATGGCCAATCCGATTCCCTCTATGCATATGCTCCAACATAAGATCAATAAAAAACCGTTCCATAGTTGGCGTCCAGTATGTCCTTGAACGATCATTGCTTGCAGGAGCTTGGCTACCCATTCTTCGGATATTAAGAATACAATTTAACCATCTATCTGCAAAAGGAAAATAGCATACAAATCACCTCTGCATCATTGGTTAATGAGTTGAAGCAAACAGAAAAGGGTTAAAAGATAGCATGCCAGAAACAGAGACGTAAAAGAATTCTATTGCTCAAGACAACAAATCTGCAGTTGTGCATGGCAATAATAGGACCACATACTTTAATTTAAATTAACCATTACCCAATGTGGTTCTCGTAAATTGAGGTGCTAAGAGGGTCAGATCTCACGAACACCTCACCTTCAGTATTTTTAGCACAACGTAGGTGCCCTTAAACTTGGGCATGCATTTTCAAACTTGGCTGCCAGAGCTTTCGCTTAAAAATCTATCACTCAATAAATTAATATTGTAAACCCCACTAGAGGAGTACAATTAGCTTAAATTGACACTGCTTTTCAAGGATGCATGTTGATTAATCTAAAAAATAATAAAATAAAAAAAGGAATATGAAATTTTGTTGGAAAAACAAAAGTTTGCTGAACTTGATAAAGATAGTAATAAAATTGAAGATCCAGTGAAGTATGTTAAGCAATCAAATAAGAAAAATCTTCTTCTTGATAAAGTTAAATTTCTAGAACAGAAGGTGACAGATAAATTATCAATAAGGCACTGGAATTGATAATATAAAAAATTGGAAATTGAGCACAAGAAGTCGAATGAAACACTCTAGACTTTTATCCATGAGGCAAATAGGCTGGAAAATTTATTGAGCATGTCAAAATGTTTTTATGATAAATATGTTTAAGATTCAGTGGAAGTGGAGTCTTTGATAAGTATAGAATTGTTTGAAAAAAAACCCTAAGAATTCGTTTGATGAAAAAAAAGAGTTGGACTTGAGATCAAAATAATAATAATAATTGAGAAATGAGTCTTAAAAATTTGCAGGTCTTGCTACCATGTCTCAATCTCAGAATAAGAAAAAAATAAGAGAAGTCAAAGGCATCAATTTAAAATTCTTTGCCTAATATAGTTCACAAGGCTTGTAATATAAAAGAATGGAGAGTGAGAGTTTATGTGGCCAACCCAGTTCATATGAGATAAAGGCAAGGATGATGATAATGACGACGACGATGATACAGTTCATGCATCTAATGTAAAGAGACTTACAACTGTTTGAGTCAAATAAAATTAATAATAATTTGTTAGGTCTCTTGTCATCCACACTACATTTAAAGTTATTAACTTTGGCGGTTGGTATTTTGACAACCGGTGGTGTTTTAGACAAGTGACTAGAGCCAAGTCATACTTCACTAGAAGAGTGCTCGGGTGGACGTGACAGTACAAAGATTTCAAGTTTTTGTGAGTTTGGGAGACGCCCTATATGTTAAAGGTTTTGAAAGAAAATCGCTTAACCAAAAGTCAAATCTGCGATGATGATTTTGAGGCAAACTTTACTCAAGAGAATTGATTAGTTGTTTAGAAAGATGGAGAATACCTTTTGAAAGCTCAAATTTTGCCTTCCCATGTTTGTTATAGTGCATTGCTTAAATTTGCATCTTCACGGATCAAAGATTGGGGTATGCAATATAAGGATTTGATCAAGTTGTTAAAACATGGTCTATTTAGAACTTTTCCGAAGCTAGACAAACCTCATAATAATGTTTTTGGTCCTTGTCAACTAGGAAAGCAAATTAAAGTATATTAGAGAAGATTTTGCATTGTTGCTCAACGAGGCCCTTGGAGTTGATCCACACGGATCTTATGGGTCCAACTAGAACTGAGAGAATAGGTTGTAAGGCGTACATTCAACCTATGGTTGATGAAATCTCCAGATTTACTTTTGTTGCATTTTTTAGAGACAACTGATGCCTTCGCTAGTTTCAGGTTTATTTGTCAAAGGATTCAAAATAAAAAAAATGATACTTAACAATTGCAATCAAGAGTGATAAGTGTGAATTTGAACCATCCAACGTTCATTGAATTTTGTGATCACATTTTGTGCATAAGACATGGATTTTTAGCACCAAAAACACCTTAGTAAAATGGTGTTATTGGCTTAAAAATAGAACAATTCAAGAAATGGCCAGTCTAATGGTTCATTATAGTGGTTTAATGTTTTTGGTTAAAGCTATGAATACAACATATCATACTCTAAATAGAGTACACCTTAGATTGGGAATGCTGAGGTGGAAAATGATATGCTCACATATGAAGTTAGGAATCGTGGGAGAATGTTAATTCGAATGGCCCCAATCCTTTTCCTAATACAACTCATCGTTGTTATGATCCAGAAGTTGCCCTTGAATAAATGCAGGGAAGACTAGTCCGATTAGGTCCAAAGCCTAGTTTGAAAAGGCCAGGGTGTAAAAAGATCATGCAAGTCCACAATGAGAGCATAGATGCAGTTGTCATGACATTGACACAAGCGACATCTTTTTAAATATTACAGTGAGTCGGCTTCCATCATCTCCAACGATAACCAAGGTAGAGAAGATGATTGAGCCCAATGAGGAGGACAAAAGGCAAGGAAGAGCCTAGCGAGCATTTACCTCCTTGTGTCCTTTCAAGAGCGTTTACCTTCTTGGAACACAGAGCTTGCTCAATGTGAATCTCCTCAAGTTTGACAAGGAGTCTTTAGATAATGGTGCGGCAACATGCAAGCACAGGCTCTTAAATAGCATCTGTCTCCAAAGTCTACTTAATTAAGAGGTTAGTCACCTTTGATACAGACATTGTGAATGCCTGTACTCAGGTCATCAAACTAAGATGGGGATTCAAGATGCTAATCAGAACAGCATTCCATTTGAGTCTTGAACCAAACTTTCTGGTAATAATTCAGACTTTTCTTTCAGATGTAACCAAAGCAGAAGGGAAACCAATGAAACTTAAATAATTGAAGTATAAATTCATTAACTTGAACTGGGTTCCAATATTTTGATTGATTGATACACAGTGATTGAGGTTCCATTAAATTTGAATTGTTCTTTCTGAAAATAGCATTGTAAAGCCAAGAAAAAGACCAAATTCAATCTAACCAGGAAGCAAAGCAATCAAAATTTCAGGAGAGAGAGAGAATTCAGACTTTTCTTTCAGATGTAACCAAAGCAGATGAGAAACTAATGAAACTCAAATAATTGAACTATAAATTCATTGAATTGAACTGGGTTCCAAGATTTTGATTAATTTGTGCAAAGTGACTGAGCTACTACAAAAATTCTATCAAATTTGAATGGTTCTTTCTGAAAATAGCATTGTAAAGCCAAGAAAAGGACCAAATTCAATCTACCCAGGAAGCAAAGCAATCAAAATTTTAGGAGAGACAGAGAATTCAGACTTTTCCTTTCAGATGTAACCAAAGCAGATGAGAAACTAGTGAAACCCAAATAATTGAACTATAAATTCGTTGAATTGAACTGGGTTCCAAGATTTTGATTAATTGATTGAGACGATTACAAGAATTCTATTAAATTTGAATTGTTCTTTCTGAAAATAGCAATGTATAGCCAAGAAAAGGACCAAATTCAATCTACCCAGAAAGCAAAGCAAGCGAGAGAGAGAAAGAGAAGCAGGAAATTGAAACGCAAAGCTTGAATGAAGATAGAATAAATAAAAGAGAAAAAGGTATGAGCTTTTTACCAGTTTGGTTTTGAGAAAGTGATGGTGCAATTTGGCGCCTAAGAAGAAGAGATCTGGTAGGGGCGAAGAGTAACCCTACTCCGGAATAAGGGCAAATCTCCTTTCAGCTGTTTGGTTACAGAGGCAACCTCTCCATTCACACATTTCACACGCTTATATTGTGCATGTGTGTGTAGGACTCTTAGATTTTCAAATCGGGTTACTGGGTCGGGTTTACTGGGCTTAAAATTCAACTTTTTGTGGTGAGAATCAAATTTTGATTTCGAATCCTTAGGATCTTAATTCTTAAATAATTGCAGCCAATGATAAGCTCCATAATTAAAATCAATGATATAATTACATGATGTATAAATCAATTAAATAGGGATGTCAATTTTTACCGCCCTGTCGGGGTCCCGCCCCGTTAATAACGGATATGGAAACACTTGTTATACCGTTGGGGCGGACATGGATACAAATTTTGTACCCGTCGAGGGTTACGGGGCGGGTAAGGGTTCAATATACATATCCTAGGGGCCCCGCCCCGCCCCGCATATAACTATATTTAATATATATATATATATATATATATATATATATTAATAAGTTATTTTAGCGGCTTACCTAATTACCCATCTCTTATAATCCTAATTTGGGATGTAAACTTGGTATTAAATTTGCTTTTGTTTTGGTTATGGTGGAAGTTGGAGCTTAGAACTTCTTGTGATTTGGTTGTATTAAACTTTTATTTTTGTTTATTATGTTGTATTAAACTTTTATTTTTGTTTATTATGTTCTCTGAATTATTTTATGTGCATGTTATTTATTTATTTTTTTATTAGGATACATAATTTTATTTATGTTGTGTCATTTCTAGGCTTTGCACATTTAAATAGCAGGAGTTTAAGTTTCAAAAAGTGGGAGAAAAAAAATTGGTAGTGGGGCGGGCACAGGAGCACAGTATTTCCTAACGGGGCGGGGTTGGATATGAAAATCCAACCCGTCGCGGGTCTCGGGGTGGGCATGGACTTGACAAAAATTAAAAGGGGTGGGGCGGGATTTAGAGAAACCCGCTCCAAACCCGCCCCGTTGCCATCCCTACAATTAAACCATTCATATATATATATATATATATATTTTTTTTTTTTTCTTTTTTCGGACATATCTATATATAGATCCAATTAAGTACTTTACTTTTTATATTTAATTTTTACTTAACACTTAAAAATTTCAGTGCTTAAAATTTAGCTCTTAAATGTTTTAGTACTTATTTTTTTGTTTTATCAAACAACAGCTTCCTTTATATAAGTCTAAAGATTTCCCAAAAAAAAAAAAAAAATGGATTTTCATTTTTTATATACATGTTTTTCTTAGACATTTATTTTTCAATGTCTATTAGTTCATTATTGATTTGTTTGCATTTTTATAAATAATTTGGAATATACTTTTCGTTTTACTATGATATTTGTTATATGCATGTACCCCCATTCCTATTGCGAGTACCGCTCACACAATTGTATACAAACTAAAACAAATTTCTTATATATTGTCTTCTTTGCTCAAAATTTAAATGAATTTGAATTTGGTATTCTATACGTAAGTGCACAAAATCTTGGACCAAACACTAATATCCGATCACACAGAACCTGATAAAAGCAAGACGATGAAAGATGGGAAATACTCAACCACACGTAGGCCGTCAACAACTTGATCCTATTAGGGTCATTTGCCCATACTTCCAAAAAAACATAATGTTGTGTTCGGTAGGAGCGTGCGAAGGAAATAAGATGGGTGAAAGAAAATAAAAAAGAACGAATAAATTTTCTCTGTTCGGTAGAAATTATATAAGAAAATAAATGATAATAGGAAGAATAAGTCATTCTTCCTCTTTCACAAATTTTCATCCAAGATAGGAGGGTAGACAAATGAGCCTATTATAGAAGTTTTAAATTACTACATCACCCTTCATAAATATTTAATAAATCCCATAAATAAAGTAAGTAATGGATTTAATGGTAAAAACAACTTAAAAATTTATCTTTCCTTTTATCTTACTGATCAAATTAAATTGTAAATTTTTTCCATTTTCTTCCATCTAACCAACTTAAAATTTTATCTTTCTTTTTATTTTACTTATCAAATTAAATTGTGAGTTTTTTCCATTCTCTTCCATTCAACCGAACAAAGGATGGTTGAGAAATTAAAGAGATTAAGAGGATGGTTGAGACATCTTATGGAAGAGATTAAGCGCTTCCCTCTTTTTGTTCGGTTGGATGGAAAAGAATGAAAAAAACTAATAATTTAATTTGAACACTGTGATAAAAGAAAAGATAAAATTTTAAGTTGTTTTTACCATTAAACCCATCATTTATTTTATTTATGGGATTTGTTAAATATTTATGAAGGGTGATGTAGTAATTTAAAATTTCTATAATAGGCTCACTTGTTTCTCTCATATCTTCTGCTCATATTTTGAGGCCAATAAAAATTTGTGAAGGAGGAAAGATGAATTATCGTTCCTATTATCTTTTATTTTCTTATATCATCTCTACCGAACAAATTACTTCCTTTCTATTTTTCTTTCACCCTTCTTTCCTTCTTACCAGAGTCCTTTTAGGACATTTCCCCTCATTCTACCAATCACTCCCTGATATCTTGCTATGTTCTTTTCGTGCACGGATCTTTAACCGCGTCGGACAAGAATTGATGGTGGGCTGGGATGGCCTTGTTGCTTCACTTGGGCTGCTCGACTTGTATGATATGTTGAACCAGACAAAGTATTACACTTCTGGTGACCTCGCCTTTATCGGATGAAATGGGCTTATAGTACTTGGCCCTCTCATATTGGGCTTGCTTCTGGGCTGAATATCTTGCATGTGGGCACCCTTCGGTTAGTAAAATTTCCCTCCACACTATTTGACAACAATATAAGTTGGCATAAATGCCGTGTGCTCAATTTATGAGACGTTAAAGATTTCCTCCCTCATTCTTATGTCTTGGGGATGATGTTGGTATCTCAAGATATTAAGGGCTTGTTTGGTTTCTTAACCATTCATATGACAGAAAATTGTTTTTAGATAACAATCTTTTATAGTTATATGAAAATAGACATTTTTATAACTGAAACTGAACCAAGTAGAGATTTTTGAACTGTTTTCTGATAACAGAAAATTGTTTTCATAGTTACAAACCAAATAATAGTCTCACTCCAAAAGGGGTGAAGATGAAAAAAACTTCCTTACACCTTTAATACTTTGTTATCTGTGCCTTCAACCAATCGTATCATGTCACATAATCAAAAGTGCTTTATTTTAGTTGATCCTATCACTATGAGGTTGGTTAGTCGGTCTTCACTACAACAATACAACCGGCTCAATTAAGTTTTTCTTGGGTGAGAATACCCTTCATTATATATAAATAAATAAAATTACTAGAATTAACATTAAAAAAAAAAAAAGGTTGGATGCATGTGTTGTGTATTCTTACCATGATGCTTGCTCCGGTCTCTAAAAGTTTTGAAATCTTGTCTAGATGTAGGTAACATTTAAAATATACAAGCGATCCACAAAAAATTGCCAAAATTAAGTACAGAAAATATAGTTTATCACAGCATCTTCTTCTATTATGTTATTCTCCTTTACATGAACTCAACAGTGTACAAGAACAGCAAAATGAATTTTTTAAAATAATACCAAAAAAAAAGATGCAAACTCTTAAGTAACAAATGTAAAGAGACAATGAACGACTATAGAACCTTTCCAGCACAATTTCCAGATTTGCCTCTCAAATTCAATATTGGCTCGGTTATCTTCTAAATTTATATTTGCCGTAGATGTTGAGTACTCAAATTAATTTGAAAATGATGTTTCCCAAGGCTACCTTCCATCACCATTGCTAACAAGGGACACAAGTTCGACATCCTCAGTTTCTGGAGTTGCAGTACCTTCTTTTACACCCGGTATATCAGCTGGAAGAATCGAAGAGCTGGGATCACTTCTGGGCACCAGAAATAGCAGACAAAGAGGAGCAATTCTCAAGATGTTCCGGACCAAAATGGCCAGCCAAAGTTTATCAAATTGTGTTCGGGTAACCTTCAAGATATGGAGTAGAAAGCCTCCTCCCCATGAAGATGAGAGAAGGCCAAAGTTATCGATTGACATAAGCAAGGCAAAGAAAGTGCCTTCAATGCCTGGAGGACAAAGCTTGGCACTGAGGACAAGAAGTGGCATCCATTTAAGCCTTCCAATCATTTGATAAACACTTTCGTCAATAACCACAAAGAAGTAATCAGGTATGCCAAATTTCAAGTTTAAGCGTAGCACGAGCATCAAATCCAGCATTCCTGATATGCCAAATAGCAGCTGAGTCCAGAAGAGCAGATCCCTAAAAGGATGGTCTTTTAGACCATACTGATATAGGATTGCCCCCAAGAGTGAGCCAACTGAACCGATTGATAGAATGTAACCAACAGTCTCCTGCATTTCACAAAGCACTTGAATAAATCAACTTACTGGCATTGCAACAAAAGTTGTCTGAATCTTCAAGGCCTCAAATTATATACAACTCAAAACTATGCTTAAAATGTTCATGCATAATTAAAACATTGAGAATGAATTGACTGAGGGAGGAATTCTTAAATTTCATATTTCATAATCATGACAATTGCTTTGGTTATACCATTTCCATTACCTTTTTAACCCTTCTAGCAAACATTTTTTTTTTCCAGAGCCTTTCTAGTAAACATTAGTTTATCTTGTTAATGTTCGGTTGGAAATATATTGAAAAAATACAACTCATTAGTTTGAATGCACAATAGAGTCTAAATATAAAATGGGTCAAGGAAGCAAGAGAAATGTGATGGCTTATGATCTAGCCATGTATATGGCCCCTGATAGATCCAGGATGGTGAAACAAAATTCATTTGGCCCCTCCAAATAGTAGAAATGCAGCTTGGGCAGCCAACTCTAGGCCAACCTGATTTTTCAGTCATGAGGGCAGTGTTTCCAAAAACTCGGGCAGGGCTACAATTGAAATTTTCAACCCGAACTTGATTCAGGTTGAGCTCAAGTAAGGTGTCAGACAACCAGAACCAACCGAATCAATCTTACCTGAACCTGAGATCTAAACCAACTTCATATATATTTAAATGATGAAAACTTCGAATTTTTTCTTGTTATGACATAATTAACCATTTTATATCTCAATCTCTTTTTACTCGATACATTTGGTGGAAACAATTTTTATTTTTTTAACTTTTATTGCGGTTGGACAACTAATTCAAATTTACCCAAACTAACCCGAGGCAAACATAAATTACAACCCGATTTTTCCAATCGGTACACTAGTTCAAAGATTTAGAATGGTTCAGGTTTGGGTAGGAGAGCTTGGGTTGAAGATCGGATTGGTTGTGCTTGGGTTGATGTTTCATACCATGGGTTAAGCAAGGGTAACCCTTCTTCAATCCTTGCAACCCGCCCAAGTTGCACTCCTACTAAGTAATTGGGGTTAAGACTCTCTTGTTTTCCACTATAATTTGTTGTTTCTAGCTTCCAACTATTTCATTATATTTTCATGATTTATTCCTGAGTTTTTATCTACATTCGTTATTATTAACTAATCTGCTGTTGTCCTTCTTTTCTTCTTTTGTAGTTGTCTAATCTGTAGTTGCACTATTAAAAGAAAAACTGTCAGATGTGATGACTTCGTGCACAGAAAAGTAGAACATATTTACCTGAGCGAAAGATGGGCCAGCTTTTGAGTCCGTGTACCAATAGAACATCCCTTCGTAGATATTCAAACTCAATGCAATCGATGAGTACATATATACACATGGCCTCCACACATTTGGGCATTTCAATGTTGTCCACATAGCCTTAGCAGCATCAAGAAACTTCTGGTTTACCTGGTACCAGGACATAACATCAGACTTTGGGTGTTGATGGAATCAAAGAATCAACAGAAAGCCATGACTACCTGTTTGTAACCGTAGTTTGGTGTGTGGGGTTCCTTGAGCACAGTTCCAACTAGAAGTACTAATCCAAATGGGATTATCAGCAAGCCAAACACCCCCTTTGACATGTTAAAAAAAAAAAAAAAGGTTCCAAAAGGTAAAATATCATAGTTTCTAATTAATGCATAATTACAAAACCGGAAAAAAAAAAGAGTGACGTTTTCGCCAAAATAATGGACATAAGCTAACCTTTGGGCCAATTAAGTGAACAAATATGCCACTTAAAAAGAACCCCACTAGTGCTCCGATAGAGGAACTCAAAGCACATAAGCTTTGCATGTCAGCGGCGAGAGAAGGATGAGTACCACTGTTCTGTGCCACACATGCATCAATGGTGACATCTGCAATTGCAACCCCAGCACTTCCTGCTGTTAAAGACAACAGCGCTAATACGATATGCAGCTTCTCATGCATTGATATAAAGAGCATGGAAATCACACCAAGAACACCTGAAATCAACATTAAGCAATTTATTTGGTCAAACAACTAGTCAATGAAACAATTCTTGCAGGTTTTTTTATTTTTTATTTTTTAATCATGTCAAACAACCAATCCTTTGCATGTAGGTTTACTATCTGAAAATGATATGGTAGCCCACAAAAAAAGCACTTCAGAACAATTTGGGCACAGGGAATCTTCACATTCGTAATTGCATGGCAACCACCAATTTGGGGACACATAAGTATGAAAAATAAATAAACTGCAAATTATTTAACAACGCATTCTTTCTCTCTCATTTTTTTTTTTTTTTTTTTTTTTCAGTTTTTTATGGGAAAGAATTATTTGTTCCTCAAAGGAGAAGTAATCAAACTAGATCTTTTCCATCTAGACACTTTGCTGCTGCAGTCCCTAAACGATGGAATGAATGGGAAATGGCAATAGTAGCAGTTTACTCATTAGACTATTAATGATCCCCAGGCCCCAACTATGAATATAATATTCCATTTGGTCAGCATATATTTCCATTGTGTAATATATATATATATACACACACAGTTATACACACACATGAATTGCTATGGCACTCTCTGAAGTAGTCTTGTGTAAATCATCAATTGTGTGAACTTAATAAATTTACATTTATAAATACCATATTTTGTGCTGCTCATACATCTTTGTTGTTAATTTACATTCACGGACATGAGAAATCTTTTTCTACTTTTTCTAATCACTAAATTCTTTTAGCTTCCGAAGCTGCAGATCAATGTCCTTCTATACTGTATCTAGAATGAGAACCATATTCCACCAAGCAATTAAGAATTCTGCTTCTGCACAATTCCTACAGTTCCCTATTAAGAATGCCCAGCCAAATAAAATAATACAAATTTGGTTTCAAGTTTGATGCAACTATAATAAGTTTTTAATCCTGCTCGTAATATTGAATTATGTATGTGGAAGTCTTCTTCCTATTGATCTTACTATTATGCTTTTAACATACATTACTGTAAATTCATTAAGAAGCTCCTAAAGCTTTGGAGATGCATAATGGAAATAATTAGTTTTTCATGGGAAATATCTATTTTATGCTGAACTCTCCACTAAAATCTCCAGGCCACTGCTCCATCAACCGATCTGGTCTAAACAATTTGCTTCTCCATGGTTTGTTCAATCCTTCAGCTTTGTTCTGTTCGGTTCTGTAGTCAGATTGTCTTTGATGTAATCCTTGCTTAGAATCCCTCGATCACATATATTGGATGAACTATGGCAAACCTTCTACTGAGAATCAAGGCTTGCCATATCTAAAAATATGATTCTCTCACTACATTGTAGAGAAGCTCCATGCTCTACCCTAGACCAGCTATAACCTCATATTTGTAGTTAAATATAAGATTCCTAAGTAGAATAGGAAGAGCTATTGTCCAGGATTCGATCGATCAAGCATTCGGTTGAGCTACTCTGAACTTCAATGAAAATATTTGGAAAGTTTTTGATTGATTAAGACATGGATCAAGCTCTAATTTTTGCAAAAAACCCATTTGAAGTATGTGAAAGTGAGATGGTTGTGGGGGGTTTCTTTATCACCTCTCCTATATATTAAGCAAAATTACAGTCATGCCCTTATCAAACAAACAATATTACAAGAAACTCTAACACTCTCCATCAAGCTGGAGAACATTCCCAGCAAAATCTGAACGGCATGAGCCCAAGCAAGGTTATTAACACCATTCAATTAATTGGAGGTGATCAACTTAGGCATATCATCATGATTGAGGGGTTATGGTTTATCGTTAGCCATGGCTAGAATTTGAACCAAAAGAGCAAGGCTAGAAACAAGAACAAATGTAAAACCAGAATATGATTTTGGTCTGGGAATTATGGAGCTAGATGTCAAATTCAAATGCAAAACTTAAAAGGCCAAGCATCCAAAACAAAGTTCAGAAGCAATTATAGGTAATTATAGGTTCAGGTTTTATCTTGGACACAGAACATCCAAAGTCGACTACCTTAGTGGAAGTCGATTAAGCTAAAAACTGATTCTAGATTCAATTAATCCCCAACCAAACACCAATCAAGCTCATTTCCTGTCTAAACAAACCTCATGGGATGGATTTCAACCAACAAAAATAGCTGAAATGGCTTTGAAAACCAGATTGAAAAAAATTGCGCCAAAAAAACCAAGAAAAAAGAAAAACTTTGACAAATGGAAACTGTGCTCAAACAACTGCTAAATGAAACACGGAAACTACCATAATTACCAGAAAATTTAGGCGAGCCAGGCAATGTGGTTTTCTATTTGTAGATGCTGACATCAGCGTCAGCATACTGTCGCATCCATCCCTTCTGATGTTCTGCAATTCGATTTGGATGAGTTCTGGGCTTCGATCAGCTGCTCTGGTACCAAGTGAGTGTGCGTGTTTTGGGTTAGAGAAGAGAAGAAGAATAAGAGAGAGAAGGGAGAAAAAGATTGAAAAGGAGAATCTGATTGTTCTAAGTTTTCTACACCACCTATCGTATTTATATTAAGGTAACAAATTACATTAATAATTAACAAATCTAAAAATCCCCAATTTGAGAATTCAATTATATCTTTGAGAAACTTTAGGATGGAAGCCTTTTTTGAAAAACATTATTAAAATACTATTTTGAGCCTTCTAAAGATCAATCCAGGTCAAACTTAGTTACATAATCTCACAGTTCTACTTCCAAAATTTGGTCTACACCTCCTTCAGGTATAAGCTTTCATTTATTACACCCTTATAGGCAACTGCCACAGGAAATTTAAATATTGCGGTTTTTCATTCAAATCACTCCTAAGCAAACCAACCAAGAACTAACCCTTAGGCTTCGATACTCAATTAAACTGCAACACTCCAAGGTATTTAACATGACCTTAATACCGAAACTTAGATCTCATATTCAACAAGCATCCCAAGATCAAACTTTCAGTTCTGATATCAACTTCAGCACGAACATTACCAAACAAATCTATATGTAATTTGCTAAGGTACATTGCACTGCACTAGAGTCAAACTAGACGCAACTTTCGAATCTATGTATTAGTATTAAGATTCTTTCACACATAAGTTGCATGAAATTCCTACTAAGAGCACTCCTGCCCTAATTATGAGATTATTTCAACCAATCAAAAGATTCAAAATGCTATCCAAATATAAATTCCTAAACATAAAATAACTCTAATTTAGACACGAAATAAAATAACAAATATGTTTGGAAACATGAAAACTGTGATAGTTGGATTTGAACAGGCTAGAATCCAATGTTCATGTGCGAAATTCTCCAAAATAAATTATGTCGCTGTAAGTAGATCATCCAACATTAACTAACATATGAGCACCAAAAAACCTCATATTTAGCAAACAACTTCTCTGCTTCTCATTACAGTCCAAAAATGCGTCCATACTCGCCCATTCCGGTTTTGAACCAGTAGAATAATTATCCAGAGAGTTGCTCACCCATCATGGCATTTGAAATGTTACTATAATTTTATAGTATTAAATTTTTTTCTTTGACAATGTTCTAAAATAAGAACTCCTGCACCTGATTGGCAAAATAGGGCTCACATCCACAAATTAGAGAAGACAATTTTTATAATTATAGAGATATTACAATTCTTACGAAAATCATGAAAAGCCCCATAAACCATCACTCTCCTAAGCCTCAACTATTAAAGCGCAAGTATGTACTTATAAATTTTCTAAATCCAGCTCCTTGTTTGGTAATAGTACAACATTGTAAATTACATTTACCAAGAGAAAACTTGACAAAATAGGAAACTTGATGTGGGGATTTGAGACAAATCTAAACACTGTTTGTTAGATTCTATTGTTTATTGTCTATTAGGATTAGGGTTAGGGTTAGGGTTGGCTGTCTTCACCCACTCTCATTACCATATATAGGGTTTACTTGTTCTCCACACATGTCCTCTCCTATATAATCTCCTCTGTACTCTTACATTATTACTACAATACAATATCATATTTTTCCATTCCCTTTTTTCTAACATGGTATCAGAGCTTTCGATTACTGGTAAACAGTTTATTTGTTTATTGTAGTCACCGCCAAGGATGGCACCATCAGCCCCATCCCCGGTGGCGGTCAACCAGCAAACTCACGTTTCTGCACTCCAAGATTTTCATGTGTCCCATCTAGGGAAGCCTCGTTGCCTTAGTTTTCCTCCGGGAAACCCAACGAGATGCCTCATTTAGAAAAGCCCAGCCTAGGGATGCCCCATATAGGGAAGCCTCGTTGTTTAAATCTTCCTCAAGAAAACCCAACGAGATGCCTTGTTCAGAGATGCCCAGCATGTCAGATTAGCTCCGTCACTGCACCACCATGTGCCTCAAGTGGTAATCCCACTCTTCCACGCGCTTTGATGCGCAACAACGGTAATCCCACACTCCAACGTGTCAGATCAGTTCCGTCACTGTGCCACCACGCACCATTAGTGGTCATCATGCGCTCACATGCGCCTCAATGTGTTAGATCTTCAAAACTCCGTCACCGCGTCGCCACGCGCCATCAATGGTCATCATGCACTTCCAAAGCACCATCAACGTGGCGGACCTTTACAAATTTGTCACCCATGTGCCACCACACCTCAATGTGCCTCAAGTGGTATTCACGCTCCACCATCTCTTTTATGATCTCGTCCCCAAACTTAAGCTGGTTTCATACTTACCTTGAGTTTGAGAGGGGCTGTTAGATTATATTGTTTATTTCTATTAGGGTTAAGGTTAGCTGTCTTCACCTATTCTCATTACCATATATACCATCCATTACCATATATAGGGTTTACTTGTTCTCCATTCCTTTATTTCTATCACTGTTTATAAGCTTTACAAAACTCAATAACACAAAAATATATCATAAATACTCCTAAAAAGATTTCCTTATATTTAGTTTTTTTTCCCTAAACTACTAAAACTTCTCAAAAAAATATGATAAAAGAATTGGAAATTTTTTTCGTAACATCGTGCAAATACCAAATTAAATAAATAACTATGCTACGTTTTGTAAGACATGTATCAATTACAGGGACCTGGATCCTCTCTAGTACATCTATATTTTGCTTTGCATTTACATTCAGGATGCCAACAACAATGCAAAGGTGTTGCATTCTTGAAGAAAGTTGTTGCATTGTTGCATCTCGATGTAATTTTATAAGTGCGTTGAATCCTTGAAGTAAATGTGTTGCATTCTCAATGTAATTGTGTTCCGTCCAATTGCATCCTCGATGTAAACGAACAGCAAAGTACAGTACAAAGATCTGTACTGGAGAGGATCCTGATTCCAATAATGGTGTTTCCCATCTCTATGCTTCTAAGCATGCTATATTAATGCCACTACCCCTCTAAACCTCAATTTGCACCTCTACCCTATCACATTCAGGCGTAAAATACTCGCAGTTCCTGTGACAAAGGGGCAAATCTTTCAATTTTTTTCTGATAGGAAATCTAATAGGAAATAAAAAAAATATCCCCCATCACATTCGGGCATATAAAACACTATCACGTATACATGTTTCATGAGTATTTTTATTAATACTTGTACACATTGTGCCATATTAAGATACAATATACATAGATATATTTATAAGTTCAAGATCCTGCATGCTTCAAAGTTTTGACCTCCAAGGTTACCTACCAAAATCATATCTTGCTTTGTGAAGATATTGATAAGATAAATCACTACCAGCTAAGGGATAAGTCCAAATATCATTAATATGTACAGGAAATTGCTATACTGAACGGAAAACATTTATGTCACAAAATATGCATGCAGATACATGGCCAAGATGGTTAAAGCTAATGAGGAAGAAAGAAAGAAATCCAAAAGGCCTAAAAGGCTAAAACTAAAACGCGTATGTGCATGAATGCTTTTTTCAATCAGATTTCTTTAGCCTGTGCAGCTATAGTTCTAGCCTTTTAGGAGAAGGCGACGGGTCATGGATAGGAGAAGGTGGAGACCAAAACTGACATGGATTGAACCAATTAGGAAAGATATGACATGTGGTTTAACTCAAGCTATTGCATTAGATAGATTGGAGTAACAAAAAATTGATTCATGTAGGTGACTCCAAATAGTTGGGAAAAGGTTTTGTTGAATTGTTGGAGGGTTTAGGTTTTTGTTGAATGGTTGAAACCTATAGAACCCTTTTTGTATTCAGTGCCAATTAGTAGACCACATAAAGTATGCAACACCCAAATTCTTCAACAAGGTTGATAAACACAAAAATCTTGATGTAAAACAAGAAATGGTCTCAAAAGTTTAGACAATTATTATTATTATTATTATTATTATTATTATTATTATTATTATCAGACAAGAGAACAACAATTAACATTTAAAACAGAATGCAACCCTATACTTCTACAAATTCCAATGTAATAAGTAATAATCTAAAGAAGACATGTAAAATTACCTGCTAAAATGAAGTAAGGTCTCCTCCGATGCCCGAAAACAGGAACAACATCAGTGAGGAGGCCCCAAATAGGCTTGATGATCCATGGAATATTGATTATTCCTGAGTAAACCTGAGCTTCAGAAGGCTGTACCTTCTGCACATCCTTCATGTAATACTCCATGGCGACCCGAATCATAGCTCCACCCAATCCCTGACTTATTCCATAAACAACCACAACTCCGAAAACAAAAGTCCAATGCATTTCCATGGCAAGCATTTTGAACCAATAGATTGGAGCCCAGAAACAACCACGGATCCCTCCTCCTTTGGGTTCATTTTCCTCCACATCTTCGCCATTAATTGGAAGTTTCTCGTCCTCCACCATCACTTTCTTGGGAAATTTTTTCCAGAAACCAACAACTACCCAGCTCAGAAATCCGAGTTTCCTGAACTGGGCTTCTCAAACTTGATGAAAATTCCACAGATTTGTTTTTGAATTTCTGAGCTGGATATATTGAAAGCAACAACTACCCTTTTCACAGATCAATGTTTCCTGAAATGGGGATCCAGAATTTGATTGGAAGAAACTCTTGAAATCTCTGAACTGGGTGCTGATTTTTTTGCTTGAAGAACTTTGAAAAGTACAAACCTTTCAAATCTAAATGAAACCCATGTTTCCTCAAATGGTTTATTTGCTAAATTTGTTAGTAAAATCTATGGAAGCTCTGATCTGACTCCTTTCTTTTGCTATACAGTTGACCCCAAAAAATCCAACAAGACCAATACTTTTTTCAAACTGGTATTTGCTATTATCCCTCTAAATGCCCCCAAAGATTATCCAGCAAAAAAGAAAAGGAAGTTGCTTTAGATTTGTTTCAGATGGAAAATAAATGTTTTTGATAGATGTGAGAGAGGAGGAAGTTCCAAGGAATCAAGGATGTAGATGGGTCTCTGACACTATTTGACCAACCAACTAATATGTTTTTTTTTTTTTTTTTGTTTTTAACTCAAGAGGCCATTTGGTTGTCCTCTACAATCCAGTAATTATTTCACCGCCCAAAGTAAAAAAATTCAAAAAACTATGTATATATATAGAAATAGAGAAATAATGTTTGAGAGAAAACAAACAACTGAATTGGTGGGTCGAAAACCTAATAATTTTAAGACACCAATCGTTAGATTCATGAAAGTGTTAACAACTGGTTTTTTAATTCTATTTTATAGAATATTCCCCAAAAAAAGTTGATATTGGTAACGTGACATGGTAAAAGTATTAAAAAAAAAGTCACAGACAAAATGACATGATAAAGTAATTTAATGAATAGTTTTGTCACCAATTGTGTTTATGATTCTTTTCACTTTTGAAGCAGGGATATATTTGGCCCCTATTAACGATACTGATTAAGATAAAAAAAATTCTTCCAAAAGTAATGCTAAAATATTAAAAAGTTGCTTTAAACAACTAAGTAAAAATTATATAATATTTTAATAAACTAAAAATAAAGAATAGTAGTATGAGTTTATATTTTTTACTGTTACATCACAACGGATGATTAGAATTATATTCACGCACGTGCCAGTTTCACATGTGTGAATAATTTTAATCATTCCTATTTTTACTATATAAGAGCAGATGATCCAGTTTTAAAGAAGACAAGTTACAATGACAAGTGAACCTTTTAATCATGAGCAACTAAATGATATTTTTTAAATAATTGTTAAGTCTTTTGAGAAGTAGTCTCATAATATTGATAGATACCAAGTACAGATTTAAGTGAGATATTTTGTAAACTAAAATAAAGAAAACTCATGTCACGGTTTCCTTCATTTGCCATATCGTTGAGGATAATAATTAGATAATAATAATTGCAAATGAATCGAGTGATTCATAAATAAATAATTTAATTAGGTTTAATTAAGTCGAACTCGTTATTAAGTAAATGAGCTAAGTTTGAGTCTAATTTTTAAGTTCATTTTATAAAATGAGTCAATATTAATTAACATAACTCCACTTATATAGGCTTGTAAATATAAACTTGAATTGCCTCCTAAATGTTCAAGAACTCAAGTATATTCTTGATTTTCTTGTAAGATTTTTTAAGATTTTATCTTATGAAAGTATATTATATATTCTTTTGACGTTTCATATGATAAGATTGATCAATAAGCTCCTTAGGTAAACTAATTAAAAATGATCTTGGCAACTGTCGATTACGATATTAAGTATTCGAGTTTTAAAAGTTAAACCCGAACCGAATCGGACCAAACTTTCCTCTTTGTTTTTTTATTTTTTTTTATCCGATCCTGAGTTGAAGTATAATAGAGTCCAAAAAGTCTATTGCTTGACTTGGCATGCTTGTCTATTAATTTATTCTAGTACGATAATTAAGGCTCGTGGATTGGTGGGGTCACCATTCACCATCTGTTTTTTAATGCTGACATTAACATGTTTAGCTCATGAGTTTCTTGATTTAGTGGATGAGCTGAGCAAGAAACTTTCCATAGTAACTACGTCGTATTTAACAATATGGACACGTGTCACTACTACATTGGCACATGTATGAAAATTTCGTTATTACAGCTTTTGAACTGGAATCTATGAGTGTCTGATAAAGCTGGTACATAGGTGCAAGTGCAACGTAACAAAACTAGAGAAGCAATCAACTTACATGCTGTTTACTTCAACAAAATACAACTTCGAATCAGAAGTTGCCACGTAAATACTTGGATGAACTCGAATCTAACATCAATCCATAAACCAATTCACAGACGTAACCAGCACCAGAAGTTCCCTCACGCTTGGCTTTTTATATTTACAAGTTGACAACATGTTATGCTATGTTTCTTTAATTTCCTTACTGAAAAAGGAGAAATAAATGCTATGTTTTAAACCTTTTTTTGTTTTTTGGTTGAATATGCTTTAACTTTTGTGTCCAGATGAAAGGGTTAAAAAAAACAAAACAAGGTCATAATATTTGTCTCTAGGTAAGTCTTTTAGAATTTTTTATTTTTTATATTATTTTTAATTCGGTTATTTAAGGATACTTTAATCATTTTATCTATTTTATTTCGATCAAAGATAAATCTACAATCACAATACTCATAAGTTTAAGTAAGTTTAATTCATTCGCAATACTAATTATATCAAACTTTTGAAAAAATAAAAATAACCTCTAATTACATCAATATGTCCTTACCATTATTGCATATGAACCCTTTTTTTTTCTTTTTTTCTTTTTTTTTTCCAATTTACAAGAAAACTGGATTAATTTTGTAAATTTGGTTTAGTTACTAGTACAGATACAATAGCATGTATTTTGCTCTATTTATACTTCATGATGACAAATTTTGATATATTAATTAATAAGCTCTGGCTAGATGGTATAAGCTATCTTCCTCCTTTGGAGAAGTTGAATGGAACAAAAATTATACATGTTATGTGACTGTGTGGGGGTGGCATGGAATTAGAATTGAAAAAAAAATTTGGTTCAAAATTTTGAATTATTTTTTTTGAATTTTAATTTCAAAACTCTAATTTCATACCACTTTTGGAAACAACATTTTTATCTCATGCTATAGTGGATGGTGTCGAGGTATATCCAAATTTCAAAAGTGAAAAGAATTATAAGCAGAATTAGTGAAAAACTAATCATTAAATTGCTTTATCGTGTCATTTTGATTTTTGTATGTGTCTTATTTTAATACTTTTATCATGTCATTTTTTTTTTTTTAACCAATATCAATTTTTTTGGGACCATTCTATAAAATCGAAACAAATATCCAAATTGCTGGGATGAAGACCTTTCCTCCATCAAAACATTTCTTTTTCATCTGAAACAAATCTGGAGGAATTTTTATTTTTATTTTGAGGGCACTTTAAGTGATGTTAGCAAATGCCAGGTTGAGAAAACTATTGGTCTTGTTGGATTTTTTTTTTGGGGGGGTCAACTGCATAGCAAAAGAAAATAGTCAGATCAGAGTTTCCATAGACTTTAGTAACAAATTTATCAAATAACCGTCTAAGGAAACATGGGTTTCATTTAGATTTCAAAGATTTGTTTTCAAAGTTCTTCAAGCCAAAAAAAAAAAAAAAAAAAAAAAAACAACAGCACCCCAGTTCAGTGATTTCAAAATTTCAGTGGACTTCCAATCAAATTCTGGATCCCCATTACAGGAAACATTGATCTGTGAAATGGGTGGTTGTTGTTTTCAATATATCCAGCTCAGAAAGTGAAAAATTCTGTGGAAACTCTAATTTCTGAGCTGGGTAGTTGTTGGTTTCTTGAAAATTTTCCCGGTAAAGTGAGTGATGGTGGAGGAAGAGGAACTTCCAATTAATGGCGAATCTGTGGAGGAAAATGAACCCGAAGGAGGAGGGAGCTGTGGTTGTTTCTGGGCTCCAATCCATTGGTTCAAAATGCTTGCCATGGAAATGCATTGGACTTTTGTTTTCGGAGTTGTGGTTGTTTATGGGATGAGTCAGGGATTGGGTGGAGCTCTGATTCGGGTCGCCATGGAGTACTACATGAAGGATGTGCAGAAGGTACAGCCTTCTGAATCTCAGGTCTACTCTGGAATAACCAACTTTCCTTGGATCATCAAGCCTATTTGGGGCCTCCTCACTGATGTTGTTCCTGTTTTCGGGCATCGGAGGAGACCTTACTTCATTTTTGCAGGTAATTTTACATGTCTTCTATAGATTATTATTTATTACATTGGAATTGGTAGTAGTATATGGTTGCATTCTGTTTCAAATGTTAATTGTTGTTCTCTTGTCTGATTATAATAATAATTGTCTATAAATTTTGAGTGCATTTCTTGTTTTACATTAAGATTTTTGTGTTTATCAATCTTGTTGAAGTATTGGGCTTTGCATACTTTATGTGAGCAAGAGAGTGCTGATAAAATAAGAACAGGTAAAATACTCAGCAAAATGAGTTGGTGATAGAATTTTTTGAAGTTTTGTAGAAATTGCTTCTATTGATAAGAAAATTATAATCTAGCATCACTTTCTGAAACTAATTATTTCCATTACGCATCTCTGAAGCTTCTTAATGATTTTACAATAATGTATGGTAAAATTTAAAAGCATAATAGTAAGACCGATAGGAAAAAGATGACTTCCCAAACACAATTCAATATTACAAGCAGGATCAAGACTTTATTATAACCAAACTCGTATTATTTAATTTATTTTATTTGGCTGGGCATTCTGTAATAGGGAACTATAGGAATTGTGCAGAAGCAGAATTCTTAATTGCTTGGTGGAACATGGTTCTACATGTAAATTCGTTAAGTTCACACAACATGACATAGCAATTCACACACACACACATATATATATATAACACAATTGAAATTCATGCTGACCAAATGGAACATTATATTTATAGTTGGGTGAGCAAACCTATTTACCATTGCCATTTCCCATTCATTCCCTTGTCAGCAGCAGCAAAGTGTCTAGATAGAGAAGATCTAGTTCGACTGCTTCCCCTTTGAGGACATATGAATACAAATTATTCTTTCCCATAAATAAAATAAAAAAGAAGAAGGAAGAATGAGTTGTTAAATCATCCGCAGTTTATTTATTTTCCTACTTATGTGTCCCCAAATTGGAGGTTGTCATGCAATGGTGAATGTGAAGATTCCTATGCCCAAGTTGTTGTGAAGTGCTTTTATCATGTGCTATCATGTTGTATTTGGATAGTAAACCTGCATTCCAAGGGTTGGTTGTTTGACGCGATTGGAAAAAAAAAAAGAAAAATTAGAGACTGAAAATTGGTTTCAATGACCGGTTGTTTGATCAGATAAATTGCTTAATGTTGATTTCAGGCGTTCTTGGTGTGATTTCCATGCTCTTTATATCAATGCACGAGAAGCTGCATATCGTATTAGCGCTGTTGTCTTTAACAGCAGGAAGTGCTGGGGTTGCAATAGCGGATGTCACAGTTGATGCATGTGTGGCACAGAACAGTGGTACTCATCCTTCTCTCGCAGCTGACATACAAAGCTTATGCGCTTTGAGTTCCTCTCTTGGAGCACTAGTGGGATTCTTTTTAAGTGGCATCTTTGTTCACTTAATTGGCCCAAAGGTTAGCTTCTGTCATTATTTTGCCCAAAACCTGATTTTTTATTTTTCTTCTAGTTTTATTATTATGTATTTGAAAATATGATTTTTTTACCTCTTGGAGCAATTTATTTATTTATTTTTTTGGTTGTGTGAAAAGGGGGTGTTTGGCTTGCTGATAATCCCATTTGGACTTATACTTCTAGTTGGAACTGTGCTCAAGGAACCCCACACGCCAAACTTTGATTACAGACAGGTAGTCAATGCCTTCTGTTGATTCTTTGATTCCACCAACACCCAAATTCTGATGTTATGTCCTGGTACCAGGTAAACCAGAAGTTTCTTGATGCTGCTAAGGCTATGTGGACAACGTTAAAATTCCCAAATGTGTGGAGGCCATGTGTATATATGTACTCATCGATTGCATTGAGTTTGAATATCCATGAAGGGATGTTCTATTGGTACACCGACTCAAAGGCTGGACCATCTTTCTCCCAGGTATATATGTTCTACTTTTCTCCGCCCGAAGTCATCGCATCTAACTACAAAAGAAGAAAAGGAGGACAACAAAAGATTAGTTAATCAAAACAAATGTAGATAAAAAAACTCTGGAATAAATCACAAAAATGTCATGAAATGCTTGGAAGCCAGAGAAAAATCAACAAATATTAGTTGGTGTTTTTCAATATATTTCCTAACAAACATTAACGAGATCAACTAATGTTTGCTAGAAGGATTAAAAAGGCAATGTAAATGGTATAACCAAAGCATATGTCAGTCTTTATGCAATATTAAATTTAAGAATTACTCAATCAATTCATTGTCAATGTTTTGATTATGCATGAACATTTTAAGCATGGTTATGACTTATAAGTTGTGTATAATTTGAGGCCTCTGAACATTCAGACAACTCTTGCTGCAATGCCAGTAAGTTGGCTTATTCAAGTGTACGTTTTGTGAAATGCAGGAGGCTGTTGGTTACATTCTATCAATCAGTTCAGTTGGCGCGCTTTTGGGGGCAATCCTATATCAGAATAGTCTAAAAAACTATCCTTTTAGGGATCTGCTCTTCTGGCCTCAGCTGATATCTGGCATGTCCGGGATGCTGGATTTGATGCTCGTGCTACGCTTAAACTTGAAATTTGGCATACCTGATTATTTCTTTGTGGTGATCGATGGAAGTGTTGGTCAATTGATTGGACAGCTTAAATGGATGCCGCTTCTTGTCCTCAGTTCTAAGCTCTGTCCTCCCGGCATTGAAGGCACTTTCTTTGCCTTGCTCATGTCAATTGATAACTTTGGCATTCTCTCATCTTCATGGGGAGGAGGCTTTCTGCTGCATATCTTGAAGGTCACTCGAACACGGTTTGATAAACTCTGGCTGGCCATTTTGGTCCGAAACATCTTGAGAGTTGCTCCTCTTTGTCTGCTTTTTTTGGTGCCCAGAAGCGATCCCAACTCTCTGATTCTTCCACCTGATATACTGAGTATGAAAGAAGGTACTACTGCAGCTGCGGAAACTGAAAATGTTGAACTTGTCGCCCTTGTTACTAATGGCGATGGAAGATAGCCTTAGGAAACATCATTATCAAATAATTATAGTACTCAACATTGAAGGCGGAAAATATAAAAGAAAAAGATAACCAAGCCAAGATTATATTTGGGAGGGAAATCCAGAAATTTTGCTGGAAAAGTTCTATAACGTTGATTGTCATTTGTTCCTTTAGAGTTTACATCTTTCTTTATTTTTTATTTATTTTTATTTTTAAATTTTAACTTATTTTTAGAATTCATGTACCGATCCCTCAAGAAAAGGCTTTGATTGTTGTTGTAGTAGTAGTATTTTTAACTTCTTTTTACTGTTCTTGTACACTGTTGAGTACATGTAAAGGAAGAAAACGCAATAGATGTTATGATAAACAAATAAAGTTGTAGTTCTGATTTAGCCAATTTTTGTAGATAGGTTGTATAATATTTTGAAAGTTACTACATCTAAACAAGATCTCAATTTTTAGAGCACAGTGCATGCATCACGTGTAAGAATAAAACACATCCATCTAATTTCTATTTCTTCTTTTTCTTCTTATTATTATTTATTTATTTATTTTGAGGTTGCACCCACTCCCAAAAGGGTTGAGATTAATTTCTTGGGATAATTGCAATCATCCCCAAATCACAGGCATTGAGGGAGGAGGTCTACTCCTAGGTTGATATCTATCCATTTCATTTCACCAACCATGCCTTTTGGTGTACTCCTAGGTCAAGATTGGGTTCTATTAATAGAATTTTACCATGGAAGAAATGGCCTTGCTACCCTGGCAAATCTTACCATGGAAGAGGACCCATTCAACTATCTTGGTAATAATATTCATATATATATATATATATATATATATATATATACACATACAAAAAAAAATAATAATAAATTCTTTTCTTTTTTTTTTATTTGCTTCACATATATTCAGGAACTATAACTATGGTCCGGCAGGCAAGGCCTTGGGGTTCAACGGGCTTAAACATCCAGAAATAGTTTCCAACAATTCCTTGGTTGCTTTCAAAACGGCTCTCTGGTTTTGGATGACAAAGCAAAGCTCAAAACCTTCCTGTCACGACGTGATGACAGGACGCTACGTACTCAAACAAGCCAACTTGGAAGCAAATCGGACTGCTGGCTATGGCCTGGTGACTAACATAATCAATGGTGGACTTGAATGTGGCATGCCCAACAACAGCCAGGTTAATGATAGGATAGGCTATTTCAAGAAATATACCAAGCTTTTTAATGTGGACACTGGACCTAATTTAGACTGTGAGAACCAGAAACCCTTTTAAAAATAGGGACAATTATGTAAAAGACTTTTCTTGAACTACACATTCACTATATTATTTCGACGTACAAGAACCCTTAAGCCTATGTATTTATAAAAATTCCTTAAAAATATTCATTCCTTCGTAACATCGTTCATTACTTGTTATTCATTCTAATTTTTTATTAGGATCTGAAACTCTCAAGTCATATCACAAGTTAAGCAGTCTGATACACAAGTAAAATATCTAAAATACTCAACAAATATTTAAACAATTTAAAGATTCTCATCTAATTAAGATCAGCAACAAAAAGATAATGAAAAATCGGCAGATAACATCAAAAAAGAGAGTTGAGAAAAATCAAAGGAGACAGCAATTGTAAGCAAAAAATAGAGTACTAGAAAGTAAAATCAGATCTGGACATACCAGGAGCAGTAGAACTAATACTCACTGCCAAAAACAAAAAATTCTATTAATAGCAAGCATTTAGGAAACATGTATGATTCATACATAAAGCCCTAAAAATTGTCTGATTTTTCTTACTTAAAAAATCAATTGTGAGCTGTGTGATGATGACGGTTGTGAGCTCAAACGTCTGGCTGTTAAAGTGAATGTGAGTGAAGCAAGCTAGGTCGAGCCAGAGATTCGGTATTGAACCCTCTTCGATCGTCGGTCTATGATTTTAAAGATTGAGAGGCGATACATATTGAGAATTGTCGATTCGATTGTGGAAGTAGTCATTGAGAGGAAACAAGGTTTGTTTTCTGTCAAGAATATTGATCACAATCGCAAGATATTTATTTTATCCATTTCATTTCACCAACAATCGCAAGATATTTATTTTATCCAATATCTACTTTATCACAGGCAATCAAGGGAGGAGGTCTACTCCTAGGTCAAGATTGGGTTCTTGTTATCAAGTATAAGGGCATCCCTTGTGCATATCTAACAATATCTATCTATTTTATTTCACCAACTATGATTTTGCTATGCTGACAACTATCTATTTTATTATTTTATGTATATATTCCAATGACTATTTTCGACGGTTTTGAATGAAGTGTGGAAGGATGATAATTGAGTGAGAATTTTTTTAAAAAAATTCTTGAGAGAGAGAATTGTTAAATGATGAAAATTGTTGGTAGAATTAAAGTAATATTTATAGAGATTTTTTTTTTTAAAGATTTTTTTATAAAAAAGAGCTTGGATGAAATAAAATAAAATAAGTGAGATTGCAAACAGCTAGAAATCAAGGAGAGAGAGTGAGAGAGGGATCCACCAAAAAGTAAGAACAATCAACTTTTAGAAACTATACTTGATTCCTTGTTGTGGAGTATGTGAAAGATAATGGGGCTACATGGCTATTCCAATCAATCAAAACATGCGACTTTTTAATACCATGAATTGAGATGACATATTACTTTCTACATCATGGCCAAAAATGAACAATCATCCAATCATTTTAGTATAAAAGGACTTTGAGATCAAGCTTTTGTGAGATTGAAAAACGCAAGATAGTAGAGATTATCTTTAATGCCTTGTCCGGATTGAAATTATAAAAAAAAAAAAACAAAATTCGTACAAACTTTGAACTAAATATTCAATTCTAATTTCATTGCTCACAAACACAACAAAAGTAGTGCTTTTGATTCAAAATTGACAAGTTCACTTCACAAAAAAATGATTAAATTTGTCTGCCCTAGACTAGTTACAAAGACACCCTACTTACCATACCCAAAAAAATCTATAACATTCGAAAGTCTCCCCTATTGATCAATTGCCAGGGAAATTCTCAAATTTGCGCATTGAATAGGCATATAAATTATTCCAAATAGAAAAAACAAACTGCTTGGATATTTCAAAATTTACCTACATGCAAGTCTCTTGGTGCAATTTCAAATCATTGTCGCACATCACGTTTTTACATTATTTTCCCAAATTCCGACTCACTAGTGGATAAATCGCAACATTATCTACTTTACCAACAAATTTTCACCAAGAAGTGTTTTTTAACTTAAAAATGATATTCACTGATAAGCTGCAGGCCACTTGAGCTACCACAAACTAGTTATCCAGGCCCAGAAAATGTTGATATCGTCCATTAAATCGTATCAAATTATGAAATGAAGAAGTTTGATTCTCGGTTCCAGTAGCAGCAGCGGAGTTCCTTCCTGCATGAAGAAGTTTGATTCTTGTTCATCGATTCCCAGAATCCGTCAAACTCATCAAGCACCTTAATGCATGGGAATAGTGCCGACGGAGTACTCAACCTCCTGAAAATGAATAATTCTTGAATGTAAAAGGGATATCATGAAATAGTATTTGCACAGATGGAATATTTGAGAAGAAAAAAAACATTAAATTATTAACAGAAACATATAAAGTTAAAAAATGAGTGCAACAAATCAAGTTTTATACAAAATTTCAAATTTTCAGATGTCTTACAGTTGTACATATATAGATAATTTCATTTATAGACCACATCCAAAATTCAAAGAAAAAATGTGATTTCAAGGAGATAACAGATGATACAATAAATTTGAGGGTCAATGAATCATTTGTTGCAGTAATGTCATCGTTATGGGATGATCTAGACAGGTACCCAACTATACTATTCTGTTGATAACACACATACCATCTCTTTTTCCTTCCTTTTAATTGAAAATGCATTGAGTGGCAGAATTAAAGACAGATCCCCGAAAACAACACAGGAGATAATGGTATCATGCTTCATGCCTCAAGGCAACTGCTTTCCCAGAGCAACTCACCTTTTTGCAAGAACTAAACATTTCATACAGGTGCAGAGGTAACACTATTGCCAGAAGAAAAATGGCTGCTATTAGAGCAACTTGGAACTGTCCGACAGTTCAAATTGCTACGAGGCAAGCCGGCAACTAGTCTCCTCTGGCAATAATAGCAAATGGTGCAAAAGCAAAATCAAAACTAAAACTAAAACTAGTGCACCAATATATATTTAATATCCAAAGTTCAACAATGGCGAACAGAATTGTATGACTTACTTGAGCAGAATCTCAATTCAGAAATTTCTGCATTAGGTGATACTCTGCTTGAAAAACTATGATTTTGCGCTTTTTACTTCGAAACTTCCAAGTCTTGTTACTGTTTTATTAAAAGTTGCAATTCAACATTTGATAAAACCATAAAATAACAAAAGAGAAGTTCCATTCATCAAGAAATGTTTTTGGGTAAGCATCAACCCAAGAAACTTCAATATTTCGTTTATGAAATAGTTGATAGCGCAGGGGAAAAAATTAAAGCAATGAAGCAATTGAGCAAATATAGTAAGACTCGACATATATTTTTTTTTCTTAGTTGGTACTCACACACACGTGCCTCCACTGAGGCTTGAACCCCTGACCTCCCTTTGGGAAGTAAGGGTCTGATACCACTAGGCGACTAGCCCGTTGCTAGTAAGACTCGACATTGTTATATAGAAAAAGTACAACAATCTTGACTGTTACACGAACTGTTACTGCAGTTGTGGTGGTATCCAGTAGATGAAAATAATGATACTAGTTTACTTTTTTCTTATCTTTGCAGCTGTTTATAGGCTGATATTAGGATTCAACTGAAAAAACAAGATATAAGGAAGCATAAGCCACACATATTTTATAGCTTAGACAAAAGATCTAGTAATAATAGTTCCTCACCAAGTCAAAATTATTAAATCCTCTAATTCTGATACGCGAAAAATCACTGTAAGCGTATAATTATTTCTGCAGGAGGTAAGGAACTTCTACACCAACGAAAAGGACTAAACAGAATGACAGTTGAGTACAGGAATTAAACCTGAGCAGGGGGTAAGGATGAAACCCAGTCTGATGCGTGTGTTGGAAGAAGACCCAACGTGTTAAGCTGCCAAGATCAAATGAGTTTGATATGAATAAACAATAACATTAGAGATGCTACAATATAAAATGCAATTTATATCGGGTTAAAATATACAACCCACCTTCCAGATACCCAATGCTAGACCCCCCAAATTAAGGGCAATGAATAGTAATTTGGGTGCAAGAAGGTCTACTTTACTGTCCGCAAAGGGCTCAAAAACTGCAAAATAAAAATAACAATTAACATAATTGAGTTTAAAAAATTAAATGGAAAACCTGCATGGAAATTACAAAAGATTATGCAGATGTGAAAAAAAAATGTATCCTTTAAACTACAAAATAAGGCCACAGGTCGAATGCCTTCATATACACTTGCCAACTAGAACAAATTCTGAAAAATAGCAATCCATATGTAGCAAATATTTTTCTTTTGGTATTATGCTATATCAAACTGCTAGTGGAATGCTTGAAAAGGTGTTGTATTTATTTCGTGAAATATAATTTAACAGGCAGCAGTCATTAAAGACCAGTATGAAGCTTTATTAGAGCTCTGGAGACAACATGTAAAGCAAAATGAAGAATCAAATGGACGCATGAACTTGAAAATTGCACCGCTTAAGTTTTTTGCTGTTTGTTTTCTGGATAGATACCTAATATGAAAACACAGCATATAATAACACTAAATTATGCATTGAGCAATGCCATCAAAGCCTATATAGAAAAGAGTGAATAGTTATTGCCATGAGAAGAGCTTATTTTACATTTATAGTACAAGTGGTTATCATCCTAAAACACCGTAGTGCAATAAATAATTGCCGATAAAAAATAAATAATAAATAAATAAAGCTCCCACTTTCGATGAAATAAAATGATTCGGAAAAAAGTAAAAATTAACAAAGAAGTTGCAGATGAAAAGTTCAATATCGCTCTGGAGCCTCACCTTTCCCAACCCCTCGAAGAGCACTTATAGGCTGCCATAGAGCTGAAAATGTGATACCAATGCTAAACAAATGCACTGTGCTTCCAGCCATCCACATCATGAAACCCATCATTAGCAAATTTTTGAAAGGAGCTTGTGCCACTTCCCACGCTTTCTGCTTACACATAAATAGGTTATAAATTATGGGTTAAATTTATACTACCAAAAAGAGGTTAATGCAGAAAACTTCAGCCGGGAAAAGGTTGGAGAGACATATGAAGTAAGGAAACTTGATAAAAATGCATTTAGTAATCTAAAAACTCAAATAACAAGCAAAGCTTCCATTAGTTGTTCTCACATTGCAGCTGGCAAGATATTAGCACTGTATTTATAATTTTATACAAAAAAACTAATATTTCTAAAATCATCTTTAAAAATGCAGAATTCTTACTTTTCTAAATCTCCATAACTCCTACAAATTAAGGTAAAAATATATATTACCATCACCAAAAGCATGGCTATAGTGGCCTAAACGAGATCCTAACAACATCATAGCATACTCATAATTATTAACTGACTATTTTACATAACTGACATTGTTCAAATGCAACATGAAACCAGACTCTATGAAGCAAAGCTTTTTTCTCTAGCATGACTCTCTGTTTTCTTTCAGCTGGATCAGTTCTCAGTATTTCAATGCCTCCAGCCAACTTGGAGAAATCCGCTTAAAAAGGTAAAGGAGAAAACGCCATTTAACATGTAAAAATAGCACAAGATCCATCCTTTATTGCATGCCCTTTTTATTCATTTAATAATACCATGGATTTATTAGTCTCCTGTAAGAAACCAAGTCAGCTTAAACCCTAGACTAGTTAGTAGCCAACCATTGTTGAGTTCAGATCATCTATCATAAGTTGTTATTCTTGGAGAGAGAGAGAGTTCAGCTAATTAATCCAACTCAGCATGTCAAACGTCACTAATTATTTGAGTTGAACGACATATTGATTGTTCCCATAAGGTCATTTATCTGGATGGAAGGAAATAAAGAATATTTACAGAAAGAAAACGATAAAGGGGGAGGAAATATGTTCATTCAGTTCAGAAGTTCAATTATACTGCACTCAATTCTTCTTCACCTCTTCATTTTATTTTATTCTTCTTATTTCCTTTTGGGGAAAAAAATTTTAAAAAAGAAAAGAAAAAGAAGAGCACTCTGCACTATTTATGTGAAGAGTAGTCAACATTAGTAGAAGAAGAAGAAGAAGAGGAAGACCTGAAAAATGTGAAAATCTCAACTTCAAGTGTCCGCAGTGATACATAATTAGTATAATAACAGGTATTGTCGCAATTTTTCTGAATTTAAAATTTTGAACCATGATCTTTGAGCGCATTTTAATGAAATCTTAATTGTATGTAAAAAGTAAAGAAATAAAAATATATATATTTGAACTTTGATGTCGTCCTACACAATTTTAAACTTGTAAATAACATAGTTAATGTGAGGGCTCTGCCAAAGCTGCATTCTCAAATATATCACTAGGGTGAACTTGTTCCTAAATGCATGCTTCATATGTTTGTTGAATATTTTTATTTTATTTTATTTTTTGGTATTTTAGCCTTATTATTTGTTGTTAAGGAATTTTCTAAGTAGAAATCTAGTTCTACTCATTTTGAAGGATCTTACGATCCTCTATTCCTACGATCCGATCCCGTAAACCCTCCAACTGATCCAAGTCCAATGTTGAATCCCAATCCTGACAACCTCGACAGTGTTTGGTGTGGTAATACTTGTCGTCTATCATTATGGGATCTTCACAATGTGGCAATTTAGATAGTAGCTCTAGGAGAAAGCTGCTGAATTAAAAACCTGTAATGCATCACTCCAATTGGAAGAGGATGGAAGAAAAAAAATTTTGCAGAATGGTAGCATAGCACCCTGAATACAACATATGCAGACCCCAAAATTAATTCATAAATATTTAATTGGTCATCATACATGTCTGACAAATACGTTCCTAAACCCAGAGTCAAAATTCGGTAGAGCATAACAGCAGTTCCAACTTCCTTTCCAACCTAGGCACAAAAACACTACTCCAATGTGGAAATACTTTTGAGTGTTGGCAATGATTTGAGGAAGGTACTGTAATTCAGTTCTTTTCACATCTAAAAAAGATAAGGATTTCTTTTGGTGTATGTTTGCACAAATTCCTAAAATTCTTGAGGTTTATTTATTTTTGGGAAAGTATAGCATGAAGAACAGTTTCTTCATAGTATACTCATAATCAAATTTTATTTATTTATTTATTATTATTTTTTTTTATAAGGATCATTATAACTTCAATTAAATTGCAAACAAACCTTAGTAACTTTGATAACAATAATATTGAACCCATTAAACAACTTAAACATTACAGTCAAAAAAAACCCAAAAGAATGAAGAACTATTATGTGGGCACAGAACAAAAGATCAAGCAGACAAATAGCTAAAATAATTACAAAATCTGCAAGAAAGAAGTTAAAATCAAGTTAAAAAAAAAAAAAAAAAAAAACCTAAAAGTCCAGGTTGTTTTGATTCTGTCAACAGTTGATTGGAAATACCTGAGATTTCCAATTAGCTTCAGCATCTTTCTTTTGGCGGCTGAGCGTTGATTCATCCTACAAAAAAATTATCACCAAATCAATAAATAATAAACAAATACACAATCTATATAGAGAGAGAGAGAGGGATAACCTACCTGATCGTGAGAAGCTCGAACAAAGCCATGGGGATCTGGGATGTCGCGAGAGGAAGGAGTAGAGGAATTGTCTGTGAAATCGACAGCCCATCTACGACCTCCCGCCATCACTCCTTTTCCTTTCTCCATTGTTATTAACGGGTCCGAGTGAATCTCAATCTGTTTCTGCTGTTGTTTATTCCAATTTCCAACCCACCTCTTTCATTATTTGTTGTGCCCATCAAAGGGCGTGTTTGGTAAAATTGGTTATATCGCGTTATTAGATTACTTTTATTTTTTCATTTTTAGCAAGGGAGTTTCGATAGAAATTGTGCAAACAAATGCCTCTTTGTGTTTTTTTTTTTTTTTTTGTAAATTACAAAGGCACCCTCTTAAGTTAGATAAAGATTTTGATTTTAATTTTCACTTACACCTCAAATTAATATTTTGGCCTCGAAAACATACAAATTGACCATTTTACTCTCAAATTTTTAATACAAAATATCTTTATTCTTAAATAACATAAAGACCCTGTATATATATACAAAATATCTTTATTCTTAAATATCATAAAGACTCTGTACGTATGTTTATTCTTAAATATCATAAAAACTCTGTAGGTATGTATGTATGTTTATTCTTAAATATCATAAAGACTCTGTATGTATGTATGTATGTATGTACATACTATTATTGTCGATGACAACCACCACGACCACCAACACACCCATGCCACCACCACGACCACCAACACACCCATGCCATCGCCACCACAACTGGAGACGTCGCCGGTGACAACCACCACCACGACCACCAAATCCAAACCCCAAATTGAAAGCCAAGAACGCACAACAAGACTTCGCCGGTGGGTTCTTCACAACTCATCGACGCCATGAAGTGATGCCGGTCCATCGCCGAGGCCATTTTCCCTCTTCTCCGAGGCCATCATCGCCGGTGATTCACAACCGCCATTTCGAGCTCGCCCAGCCACTGCCACCTCCAATCCACAACCCAAAATCGATGCGGCCAACCCCAGATTCGTAGTTGCCATTCCGAGCTCGATTTTGTATGTGCGTGTGTGTGTACATATATATAGATAGATAGACATATATTTGTGCAATTTTAAGGAGTTGGGTTTTGTGTGGCTGTGTGGTGGTGGTTGTGGAACGACAAATCCAGTAGGAGGAAGAAGAAGAAAGGTGTACGTTAAGGGTAGTTTGGTCAAAAAAATAGTCAACAGGAGGTCAAAGTGTAGCATAGTCATTTAACACCTCAAAAGTACGATGACCCCACCAAAAATTGACATTTGGGGTGTAAGTGAAATATTAAACCACTAATTCAAATGTAAGTGAAATTTAAAACCAAAATGTTAATCTAGCTGAAAAATAAACTAACCTTAGGGGATGTGAGTGTAATTTACCCTATTATGTCACATGACACATTTTCCTCTCTATTAGAATGAATCAAATTCCATTCTGTTTAAGGAATTTTGTGCTATGGGGGCAACACAATGTAACATCTATGTAGTCCAATATATGGTCTAATTATACCATATACTATAGTATTTTTTATTTAAATATTATCTGAAAAGATAATGTATATATATATAATTATTATTATAAAATAATAATCTATAAATATATAATTTCTTATAATATATAGTTTAATATAATCGAATAAAATTATAAAATAAATAAACCTGATTAAAAATCGAGGCTAGAATTTGATTCTATGTCCTTAAGATAGATTCGCCCTACTATGTTGCTAACGGACTTAGTGGCGTCTATCTCCTAGGATACAACGACTTGTCTTCCTTCGGTAGTAGTACTGCAAACCAAAGGAATAGGCGAACCGGCTTAGTGACTCGGACTCAGAGTCACTGACTAAGGCCGGAACCCACATACTAGAGAGAGAAGGAGGAAGAAGAAAATTTAGAAGAAGAGAAGAATTCTCTGAAACCTGCATGGGTTGTAATGGTTCAGGTTTAGTGGTTAAAACTGAATGCAATGGTTCAGTTTAAACAGCATTGGTGCAACCCTTTTAAAAATAAACTGAAAATTAATTTTTAATTTAATTAAATTAAATACCAGCCCAGCCCAACAACTATTAAACCATAGGCCGAGCGGGTCGGGTCGAGCAAGCGACGCGCGCATGTGTGGTAGTTGGTTCGGACTCAAGCTTGCCTAGGTCCTTCCCCTCTTAAAAAGTTAGGTGCCCTTGGGTCCAAACCCAAATCTCATACTAGGCTTATTTAAACTCAAATTGGTTTTAATATTTTTCTGATGTGGGACAAGCATTTCCCACATTTTGCAAACTTATCAAGGACATTACTTTGAAACTAATTTCTCATTCATCCGGAAACGAATTTGAGAAAGTAAATATACCACGTTCATCTCCTTGCAGAGAGGAACGCGCTCGTCTATAGATCCGCAAACAATTCTTAACGGAATTTATTCCAAATCTCATCCAAAGTTTATGTTTTTAATGCCCCCGTTTCTAACAATCCCCCATATGAATGGAAATTTGTGTAAATTGCAAATGAAGAAGATACAAATACTAGAGAGAGTACTACTGGAAAGTAATTGCATCGGGATAGGTAGCTTTTGGCCTTGAACCTTCCCTAGTGTATTACTATTGAATTTACTGGCTAACCAGTGAACATGATGTCTTGAACTGTTCAGTCGTTGATGTAAATCAAGACAATAGCAAACACAAAGTTCCTTCCCACACAAAGTCGGTTCTCACGGTTGTGTTCATATAGCCCTGAACAACTCCTGGTATTTCATGAGTGCTCTAGAAAACTTAGCCTTAGAAGTTCTCATAGAAGCGGCTCCACTTCACACTCATATAGGTGACTTCTTATTAAAAATATCCTACTATATCCCACTTGAATTTTTCAAGGTATAAGAGTTATTAAAAACATAGCTTATCCTAATCATCGCTGTAGGTAGCACTGTCTCATCATAGTAAAGGGTAGAAGATTAAATCTTCCCAGTGCTTCTGGTGAGCCATTCAGAATTTCTGTTGTCCCTTTGAACCTAGATCCTGGGATCTCCAGTCAACTAGGTTGGGTTTCCATTAAGATGACTCGTTAGCTTTCGACTTTAATCTCATTCCCCTCGATGAACTATACACTTGCTCTCTTGTCAAACCTTTTGTAAACGGATCCGCTAAATTATTTTTTGACCTGATATAATCTATTGAGATTATCCCACTTGAGAGCAATTGTCTAACGGTATTATGTCGTCGACGTATATATCAAGACTTACCGTTATACATATTACTTTGTGCCCTTCCAATTGCTGATTGACTATCGCAATGTATACATATAGCGGGCACAGGTTTAGGCCAATTTGGAATATCTTCTAAGAAATTATGAAGCCACTTAGCTACTTCACCAGCTTTATCTAAAACAATAAATTCAGATTCCATAGTGAATCTGGCAATACACGTTTGTTTTGAAGATTTTCAAGATATGGCACCTCCTCCAATAGTGAAGACAAACCACTTGTGGATTTAGAATCCTTTATATTTGATATCCAATTAACATCACTGTATCCTTCAAGAACTGCTGGATATCTAGAATAATGTAATCCATAACTTATGATATATCTTAAATACCTTAGAACCCTGATTATTGTAGTCTAATGGTTCTTTCCTGGATTATTTGTATATCTACTCAATTTATTAACTGAGTATGTTATGTCTGGTCGTGTGCAATTCATCAAATACATTTAGCTTCCTATAATGCGAGAATACTCAAGTTGTGATATACTAGGATCAGTATTTTTCGATAAATAAAGATTTACATCAACAAGAGTCTTTACAAGACTACTATTTTCTTTACTAAACTTTTCAAATATTTTCTCAATATAGTGAGAATGAGATAATACTAGACCATCTGATGTTCTAGAAATCTTGATTCCTAGTATACCATCAGTTATGCCTAAATATTTCATATCGAAATTTTTGGTCAACATCTTTTTAGTAGTTTTGATTATAACATCATTACTACACATTATTAGCATATCATCCACATATAGGCACACAATGACATATCCATTTTGAGTGTTTTTCACATAAACACATGGCGAGTAGCTCATTTGTCCAACCACCATTCTCTATTGTTGCTCACAAGGTTGATTTTAGAAACCACAACTGAAAGATTTAGCTCTGATACATCAGCTATCAGCTTATCTTCCTTGGCAATGTGCACTTCAGTGGTCTTTTTCTTAGAGTTATGTTATATTTTGCGGCCACGACAGTCTTTAACTCGGTATCCTAGCTTGCCACATATGAAGCACTTCCCAGTGAACCTTTTGTAGTTTCCTTAGCTGGGACTTTTTCCAGAGTGCTTCCTCTTCTTATTTTTCTGCCTATCTTCCACTATATTTGCCTTTGACACCATTGAAGAATTCTCGGTTTTTTTTTTTTTTTTTTTTTTTTTTTTTTTTTTTTTTTTTTTTTTTTTCAGATGTGCAGTTATTTCTTCAATTCTGAGCCTGATAATCAGGTCTTCGAGCCCCATTTCCTTGCGCTTATGCTTCAAGTAGTTTTTGAAATATTTCTAAGTAAGTGGCAGCTTTTCGATGATTGAAACTACTTGAAAAGATTCACTTAAAATAATCTTTTCAGCATGAATCTCATGTAGAATCAGCTAGAGCTCCTGCACTTGGCTCATGACTGTCTTGGAGTCTATCATTTTGAAGTCCAGAAATCATCCGACCATGAACTTCGTCAAGCCAGGATCCTCTGTTTTATACTTCTTGTCTAGTGACTCCCAGAGCTCTTTAGCAGTATTTATTAGGCTGTACACATTATATAAAGTGTTGTCCAATCCATTGAGGATGTAGTTCTTGCATAGGAAGTCTTCATGCTTCCATGCATCAACAACTCCTAGCTTGGTAATGTCAGTCTCACCCTCATCTAGCACTGGGGCAGTCTCAGTTAGATACTTATTTAGATTCAGAGTTGTAAGGTAAAACATCATTTTCTGTTGCTACCTTAATTTTAAACTTTGCCCCATTAAATTTTTCGGGCTTCTCCCCATGACTGACGGGAATATTAGGCATAGTAGTACTTGTACTTGCTATTTGTCTGTTATATATTAAATATACAGACCACAGTCAAATTTACAGAAATAAAATAACAATAATATTTAAATAATTAAACTATAGTATAAGTCGATTCTGTCTTAAGATTGTAATCCAATATATGGTCAAATTATACCATTTACTATAGTATTATTTATTTAAATATTATCTGAAAATATAATGTGTGTGTGTGTGTGTGTGTGTATATATATAATTATTATTATAAAATAATAATCTATAAATATATAATTTCTTATAATATATAGTTTAATATAATCAAATAAAACTATAAAATAGATGAACCTGATTAAAAGTCGATGTTAGAATTTGATTCTATGTCCTTAAGACAGATTCGTCTCGCTATGGTGCTAACGGACTCAGTGGCGTCTATCTCCCAAGATACAACGACTTGTCTTCCTTCGGTAATAGTACTGCAAACCAAAGGAATAGGCGAACCGGCTCGGTGTAGTACTCTCTGACTCGAACTCGGACTCGGAGTCACTGACTAGGGCTTAAACCCAAAGACTAGGGCTCGAACCCACAGACTAGAGAGAGAATAAGGAAGAAGAAAATTCAGAAGAAGAGAAGAATTCTTTGAATTTTGATGTGCTTTGAAATGAACCCAATGGGGGTTTATATAGGCGTCATGGTGCCTTTTCCGGTGGCTTGAACCATCACCTGCATGGGTGCATAAGCCCAATTTGATAAAAAAAATAAACAGTTTTCACAATCAAGCCTAGCCTCGGACCGGGTTAGTTGGGCGACGCGCGCATGTGTGGTAGTTGGTTTGGACCCAAGCTTGCCTAGGTCCTCCCCCTCTTAAAAACTTGGGTACCCTTGGGCCTAAACCCAAATTCCATACTAGGCTTATTTAAACTCAAATTGGTTTTAATATTTTTCCGATTTGGGACAATCATTTCCCACATTTTGCAAACCCATTTAGGCTTATCAAACACCTTACTTTGGAATTAATTTCTCATTCACCCGGAAACGGATTTGAGAAAGTAAATATACTACGTTCATCTCCTTGCGGAGATAAACGCACTCGTCTATAGATCCGCAAACAATTCTTAGCAGAATCTATTCTAAATCTCATCCAAAGTTTATGTTTTTAATGCCCCTGTTTCCAACAATCTATTCCATGCAACGATGATGCACTGGTTTTTTTTTTTTTGTTCCCACCATGATGTACTGTATTAGTTAAGCAATATATTTATATCAGAGACACAACACTCATGAAACAAATTACATGGAATTCTTTAAAAATTGTTGCATTAATAAATTTCATGATTTTTTTGATGATGTTGGATAGCGCACTCACACATAAAGAATTTATCAAAAGGTAATTTGAAAAGATAAGATAAATTTTATCGTGGTGTAATTACCGCGATAAAATGACTTAATCAAGTTGTAACTAACAGATAAGCAAAAATGAAATGAGTTTTAAATAATTGGAAGGAAACAATTGGGTTTTAGAGTGTTGAAGATAACAAAAATGACGATTTCCTTGGAAATGGGTTTTAAAGCGTACCACCAGGAGAGGTATAGACATAATAAGTGCTTACATACCAACAAAGATTAAGATAGCAAGACAGTGGTCATGGAAGTGGAAATCCGCTAAGAAATGTGTAACGAAATGTGTAATAACTCATCCACTGAATCAACTAGCCCTAAAAATAGATGGCGTTGATGAGCCCGACCCATCCTCGGCCATCGGGGCAAGTGCCAGGCCCCGATGAATTGAAGGGCGCAAATCGTTTTGACCTTGGAAGACTCATACCGTAAAATAATTGCACTAGATACATGACAAATAGATAACGAAAATAAGGCACGGTAAGACCTTGATTCCTCCCTAATATCTATTAACTCCCAACCAATGAAATGTCCTATTTACTAACTTTTTTGAAACTTTAAAATATCCTTACTTGCCAACTTTTTGAAAGTTTGAAGAATTTTTTTTACCTTATTAGGGTGCATCTCTAAGGCTGTCTTCATTTTGCCCAAACATTAATGTGAATAAAATCAATTGAATTTTTTACACCAGCAAAGGCTGTAACATAATAATATGAACTCAACCTTCCAAGTAAGAAGTGAGAGGAATGTGCGATTTTCTTAAATTAAGTCTACTAGGGAATAACACCTTGATATTTATATCATCACTTTGCTGACGTTCACATTAGCATAACACTATTATTCTTGTTAGAGAACAACATATGAAAAATCAACAAAATCCTTCTAAAACCAGACCAAACTGAAACCTACGAGGCTGCGACTGTTAAATTGGGTTGATTTCTCATAATTGATTTTGGGTTAGGTTTGAAAAAATATAAGGTTGAATAGTTAACTGACCAAGATTTAACATAGTTAGCCCCAATAACACAAATTCCTCAACCCATAATTTCTTCCAGTTGATGATCAAGAACAACATTAATTCTAGGAATAAATTTGATATGATTTATTCACTTCTTTTCATTACACTATCATATCAAATGATAGGAAAAAAAGAAAAAAGAAAAAAAGGGGAACAAAAATGTTAAATTTGGCCCACAGGATATTCGATTGCAAAACTGAACAAAAATGGTTTAAGATGACAATGGATTTAAGTTGAACAGTATTGGTGTACAAAGCTTTTCTGGCTGACCAGCTCATGGAGATCATGGACAATTTTGAATACTGCATCTGGCTTTGCCAGCCTCAACGCGTTGTGCGACATTACCTTGAGCTCATCTGCTTTTGGACCAAACCATTGAGCAACAATATTAGCTATCTCTTTTGGGGACTTCGAGAATTTTCCGCATCCATTTTCCACCACGTATGGCACATTCCCGACTTCCTGTAATAATTTTTTTTTTTAAAATGATAATAAGTACACAATGCTACAGTTCCAAATAAGACTTCAATATGCAGAATTTCGGCATTGACCACATACTGTAATCTAATATACTTAAGTCAGACAAGAAATTTAAGCACACTACCATCCTTGGGGTATGTAAAAAATATGCCGTCATGGAGAAGGCAAGACAGTTCTGAAAAGCTCTTCTCACCTTAGCTAGTATCTGGTTTCCATTACCAGCTAAGTGTGTGGGTGTGGGTGTGGGCGTGGGTGGGTGCGTGCACATGCATGCAACTTAGGTGTGTGGGCACGGGTCAGCTAGTAATTAGATAGTATCCACTACTAGCTAGGTGCATGTGGGCGGTTGGGTGGTGTCATTATGGAAGTACTTTGGACAATGCTTTTGAACATCAACTTCAATTAAAGCACATTACGAGGATGTATACAAAGAACCTACTATTTGCAACCAAACTATTCAATCAAACTGGAATTAGGGCCAAGTCACAGCCAGAAATGGTTCAACAAAAATTGTCCAGGAAAAAAAAAGAAGAAAAAGTTATATAATCTTATAGATATCCAAATAATTCTCCCATGTAACTAGAGAGAACTAATTTGAGGATAAATAATATTTAGGGAAATATATTTTGCAATATCATGTGTAAGTTGGGTTTGGCCAACAAGACAATCACCTTCAAATCCAACACCTAACCGGAGAACAGTTCTCCAAACCCGGTCTGTCCATTTTCAGACACCGAGTAAGACATAATAATTGAACTTTAAACTGTGACAGGATTATATCAGCACAAATCCTCCTTAACCTTGCATAAGAAAATTGATTGCAAAACAAGAGAGAAAATTTTCATATTTGGTGAAATAATACCAAAATTGAACAATACTAAAAATATTACGCGAAAACTTCATGATCCATATTCTTTAAAAATGCTCACCACCCAAAAACAAAAAATACAAAAATAAAAGAAAAAGGTGTGCTATTAATGCGCTCCTTGTTTTGCTCATTTGTATATAATAATAATGTTGATGGACTATGTCTTTTCCTTTTCCAGGAAATTTTTAAGAATTTGAATGAACTGTCACTGGATCTGATTAGCTGACTATAAATTGCCTGTTAATTAGCTGACTCCTTATTCAGGGAGCACCAATGATAGCTTCACATGTTCAATATACATGAACTATATAAAACGTCACATTATGATTCTCTAAGTTATTGTGAGTTGTATATTGTGTTCTTTACACTTTACCTGTTAATGCATATATAGTTAATATATATAACTTCTCAAAGGGGAAAAAAATGTTGAATATATTTTCCTGAGAGAATTTAATAGGCAATCTATTATTTTTTCTTTTCATTTCCCTTCATTGGATTTCTTTTGGGTGGGTGCAGACAGGCATAGCCGTGAGAATGCCAACCTTGGACAACTAATTTGTCCAAGTCCAAAAAGGGTATTTTTCACATTAAAAGTACAATACAAAATCTAAACGACCCAAACTCAAACTCGAACACAAGCTTATGCCAAACTTCAGCTCAAGCATGGTCAGTGTTGTTAAAGGCACACCTATGTGCTCCAGGCTCATATAGGCACAACACCAGTGCCTGTTGTGTGCCTAGGTGCGCCTTTGACAATATTTGCGCCTTTAATATGGAATATAAATATGCTTTGATAGTAATTTAATTTTTCAATTGTGCGCCTCACTTCACTTAGGCGCTTGCGCCTAAGCTCCAAAGGACCTCTAGCGCCTTAGTGTGCCTTGGGCCTTTGATAACACTGAGCATGGTTCATTTCATTAAACTAGCTGAGCCAAGCCGAAGACTGAGCTTGTAAAACTTGTGGTGATCAAGCTTGAGCCCAACATTTGATTTCGTCACAGGCCAAGCCCAATCTAAGCATAAAAAGGAATGAGCCGAACCCAAACGGTCTTGAGCTTGGTTTGGTTCATTTTCAATCTTAACCATTACTATAACCTGATTAAGGTTTTGCTTAGTTTACATGTAAGGAAATTTTGATGGGGAATTTTCTATGATAGAGTAGCAAAACAACAGAAGTTATTCTGACCAAAAAAAAAAAAAATGTCACAGATGGCAAGTTACCAGAAAAGTAGTATCCAACGCACAAACATAGAACAGTAGAAACCTGAAAATTACCTGCCCAGCAATGTAATCGTTGAGAATTATGGGGAGTCCTCGGATCATAGCTTCTGCAATGGTCCCTGGGCCAGCCTACAGAAAAGTAAATTACCGTCAGTTGGATGATAACGGATCAAGAGAGGGAGGAAAAAAGAAAGTAGTGTCAAAGTCATGAGAGATTTACCTTTGTAATAATGCAATCACTGGCTCCCATGCATTCCTCCATTTTAGAGACAAACCCCTTTACCTAAAACTTATAAGAATCTTCTTTATGTAAGCAATGGCAACATACATTTAATATATATTTTCTTCCATGTGTGCTTGTGTCTTATCTATGTCTATGTGTGTGTGTGAGCGTGTCCATGTCTCCCTGACACATCTATGACTTGAGAAATGTGGAAGTTCAAAAATAAATCTAGAGCAGAAAATCATAGTCACCAGGACTTTCAGTAGATCGAAAGTAACCATTAATCATTAAAAGCCAATATACCTTACTTAATAAAAAATGGTATCAAAATGAACAAATCAGGTAAATCATAACCAAGGCAGTAGTTGGAAGTTCTGAGGGGTGTTGCTACCTGCACAGGAATCTTCCAATCGATGGAAAGCAGTCTGTTGGCAAGCTTTTTGTTGTGGCCACATATCACAAGAACCTGACCAATTGGCTCCCCAAGACTCTCATCATATAATGCATTTCCAAGTGCCCGAGCAGTAGCCTCAATGGGACCCATTCCTTCCCCACCACCCATCAGCAGCACAGCTGGAAGATACTCATCAAGTCCTAGTTCCTTCCTCAGTTCCTCCTAGTAATTAAACATACTGAAACAGTTAATGTATCTGCTTTACTGACATCAAAATAACAAGCATGCAAAATCATCCCCAACGTCACTTCAAAGGAGTCATCACAACTACATGTTGAAGGACATGGTCACAAATTTACATCATAATATTAACAGCAGAGAGAAAGGAGGGGGGGGGGGGGGGGGGGGGGGCGGAACATGAAGGTTACTAAATAGGAAATAACATAAATAGCATATTACTTTTCGCGAAATATATATATATATATATCTATATATATATTTCTCAGGGTCTTGTCAAAGAGAACATGGCTAGAGAAAAAAAAAAAAAAAAACTGTGCAACTCTGATATGAAAAACCTAAAAAAGTTCATGCTTTGATTTTCCTTAAGTCATACTTTTAAATTGGTTTCTTTTGAGAGGCATTATGTAAAATAGGAATATGCATGATCCTTTCAGCCAGAGAGACAAAATAAAAAATAAAAAAAACTCACAACTAACTTCCATGTTCTAAAGAAGATCACTCTTGAATGTCTAAAGTACCTTTTAGACGAAATTAAAGAAAAATGTGAACAAAAGATTTTCTAAATGAGATTTATATTACTACATGAAAAGCAAACATATCGGTTTCAGAGTCAATTACCAACAAGCTTTATGCACTTTGAAATGAATCAAATGATTATGGTCATATTTCATAGAACTAAAGAAACACTCCCCTAAGTCCATCCATCTGTCCCTCTATGTTATATGGTATGCAAGCACTCAAGCCATTATTCTATCACATTTAGTGTTTGATGAACTTGAAAGATGAAAACAGTTCTTATACAAAATCATATGTTACCTGATAACTCACAAAATTATAAATCTATGCGAACATTATGATTCAACTCAGACATAGTGGAGTCAAAACTAGAATTCATGGAACCTAACCCAGATGATTGGACAATGGATTCTCGATTATTGTTACACTACCTTGTATCATTTTTGAATGTTAATAGATTTATGTGACTGGATATATTTTTTGCACCATAAAGTAAATAATTGATCCCCAGCATTTTTTCCTATCATAGATGACCAGGTTCTTTTGTTATATATGTTAACACCAATTTGATATAAAACTCATATGAATTCGTAGATGCATAAATACATCTCTTCATTCATCATCATCATCCTTGTTTTGGTCCCCACTTGAATGGGGCAGGCGGCAGGCGTAGGCCACTTGAATTATCTTGTATTCCTTTTTATTCCAAGCCATGTCGCCTCTTATATCTAATTCTTAACATCTTTTTTAATTACATTGTCCCAAGTTAATTTTGGTCTACCTCTTTGCTTCTTACCTTCTATTTTAACTATTAATCCTTTTTTAATTGGTTTATTTTCTGCTCTACATTTTATATGCCCATACCATTGAAGCCTACTTATCACTAATGGGTGTCACACCTAGACTTTCTCTAACATGTTTATTACTAATCATGTCCTTTCTAGTTATCCCTATCATCCATCTCAACATGTTTAAGAATGTGTTATTTTTGTTTCTATTCCAATGTCCAAAATCCTACTCTATATAAGATGGTTGGTCCAACAACTGTCCAATAAATTTCCTTTTCAACCGATTCGTTATTCTATTATCATATAGGAAACCACTAGTTTGTCTCCAATTTGTCCAATCCGCTCCTATCCTACTTATTACATCTTCATCTATGGCCATCACTTTGTATTATTTATCCTCAAAATCGAAAATTGTTATTTTGAATAATCCATTGATCTCAAATTGTCATTTTACGTGATCATTATTTGTAGTATTATTGAAGGAAATGGATATTTTAAAAAACTAGAAGAGGGCTTTACATCAAATGATCTTAATCCATCTCTAGGAGCTACTTTAATGCATGAAGAAGATGATGATACATTCATTAGATTTAGTAAACTTACTTAAAAACTTGAGTAAGCTTCAAAACCATCCACAAAGGGAATGTTCTCCCTTATGAAGATCACTTTAGCTCATTCTTCCTCATTAGATCACCATGGTAGTCTTGCATTTAGGAATCACCTATACGCCTCCATGAAGACCTTGGATGCATAGCTTGTGGGAGCTTCCATTAGATGAGAACACCAAATCCTAAAATTCTAGAGAGAAATATTTATCTTCACACATTAATGATGCCCAAAAGCTTACTAACAATACATATCATATATGTATTTATAGTCACATGGTGTGTCAAAAGTAATTCTCAATCTCTAATAATGAAAGTGCTATCTCCAATCTAATGGGCCTCCAATATCAAATTGGGCTATAAGTGAGAATCCTTTAGGCTTACTATCTTCTCACCTCCAATGAATCAATAATTGACCTGGTCCATTATACCATGAACCCACTTCAATTAATTCATAAATTAATTTCCACTCCACTAAAAGAAATTAATTGACCTCCAATTAGATAGTAAATAACTACTAAGTCAATGTTGCACTTTGACCCCTTTATGCATAATTAGCTATTGGATAATTGAAGCCATCAATCCGACCGCACAAGTAATTCATTTATTTTGGTTCCTTGATTATTTCCTGACTTGATCACAATAAAACATTTGTTTGAGAAAAATGATAATTTTGTAAATAAATACATAAAAACCCATTTTGTCTAAAACACACAAAGACCTTCGAATTTACTTTGCGATCAATCATAATTAATACAAGTAGCAATGATGCAAATATTGAGAATATAACCCTCTAACCATTGATTATATAATTACCTAAAGTGTCGGTCATGGGATCCCAGAGGTTCCGCTGAACAAATTAAAGTAATTATTAATTAATAAAAGAGTCTATACTTCTCTCATACTTGAGAGTCAAATGTCATGACGATGATCAAGAGCAATTGCATATGACGGCTCTCGTAATATATCTCAACCTATTGCGGATCCGGTTCAAGTCTTAGTTAACTAAGAGTCTATCCTTAATTACTGACCATGAATTATTTATTATCGCTATTTATATTCTTGTATTGATCGCCATCAAATACATATAAATATCTCTTGCAACCAAGTAGACATATTCAATTCCATCATGAATCAAAAACATAATACATTAGTATTCACCAATTGTATAATACATAAATATCATTTCAGATAAGGAACAATGTCTATACAATCCAAGAAAGAATTTGTTATGCTAGGGCATACAAATCCCAACACCCGATAGCTAATTATGCATCGAGGGGTCAAAGTGCAACATTTACTTGGTGGTTATTTACTATTTAATTGGAGATCAATTAATTTCTTTTAGTGGAGTAGAAATTAATTGAATTGGGTCCATGGTATAATGGACCGGGTCAATTATTAATTTATTGAAGCCAAGAAGATAATAAGCCCAAAGATTCTCACTAATAACCCAACTTGATATTGGATGCCTATTAGATTGGAGATAACACTTTAATTATTAGAGATTGAGAATTACTTTTGACACACCATGTGACTATAAATGCATATATGATATGTATTGTTAGTAAGTTTTTGTGCATCATTAGCGTGTGAAGATAAATATTTATCTCTAGAATTTTATGGTTGTGTTCTCATCTAATGCAAGCTCCCACAAGCTATGCATCCAAGGTCTTCATGGAGGCATATAGGGAGACTTGGTCGATGGTTTTGAAGCTTACTCAAGATTCTAAGTAAGTTTACTAAACATAATGAATGTACCATCAGTTTCTTGCATTAAGGTAGCTCCTAGAGATGGATCAAGATCATTTGATGAAAAACCCTCTTCTAATTTATGAAAATATCCATTTCCCTACATTTACTTTGTTTAGTCCTACTAATTTTAAAAAACCTTTGACTTAACGCATTTCTCTATTTCTGGAGCTTCTTTAAAATTGTCTAACAAAAGTATGTAATTAGCAAATGTCATGCATCGTGGAATGTCTCCTTACACGCCTTTTGTTATTTTATCCAAGACTATTGTAAATAAATATGGGCTAAGCGCTAATCCTTGGTGCAAAATTGTCTAAAATTGTCTCTATACATATCTTGTATAGTTTTATATAATTGACAGGAACTACTTTTCTTTGTAAGGCCCACATAATTATCTCTCTTTGTATTTTATCACGTCATCTCTAAATCTATGAAAATCATGTGCAAATTTTCTTTATTTTACTTTGACATATCTTCCATTAATTGTCTTTTTAGATTAAATGGCCTCTGTAGTGGATCTTCCTTGACATAAATCCAATTTATTATCAAACATAATTGATTATATCCTTAATACTTGTTTTTTCACCCTCTACCATTAGGGCTGCAACTTGGGCGGGCTAACCCAGCCCAGCCCAGCCCAACCCAACCTTAACCTCAACCCAGAGATTTTGAAATTTGGACATACAATTCACAAATCAAGCTTATGTTCAGGTTGGGTTTTGTCAAAACCCAAACATATTCGGGTTGGGTTTGGGCTCAACCCGAACCCAACCCAAAACCCAAAATTAAATTTATTTTTTTATTTTATTTTTATTTTATTTTCTCTTTTCTCTCTCCTCTCCCTTCTTTCTCTCTCTCCTCTTTCTCTTTCTCTCTCAGCCGCCGTCCCCGCCACCGCCGCCGCTGATCCACCACCGCTGCCGCCGTCGTCCCTCGCCCTCAGCCGCTGATCCGCCGCCGTCATCGTCCATCACCCTCAGCCGTCGTCCCTCGCCCTCCCTTGCACTCGTCAATTTATGAACTTTTGTCTATCCAGTGGTCCACTGGATAGTTAATATACTGCAAATGAAATAGGACACCAATGCGGACAAGAAGGCTAGTAAGTCGTTTAGCATAGAATGAAGACAGAAACTTGGTTTATGGGAAGACCAGTAAGTTGTTTGGCATAAATGTTCTCATAAATTATCCGCTGATCTAGTAAAAGATATAGGTTTTGAACTTTTGATTCTTGTAGACGGATCTGAAATATATGGGTTTTGAACTTTTGATTCTTGCAGACAGATCTGAAATATATGGGTTTTGAACTTCTGATTTTTGTAGATTTTGTAGTTGGCAGTTGCAGAGAAAGAGAGAGAGTTGAGAATGAGACCTGGAGGCAATTTGGGAGGCTGAAATGATTTGCCCTAAATTTTTTTTGTTTTTTAATAATAATATAATCAAATATATATATTTCCGAATAAAATAAAATTATTTAAAAAAAAACTCAACCCGTCAACCCGACCCGACAGGACCGAAAAATATTCGGGCTGGGTTTTGACCATAACCCATGTTGGGTACAATTTGGGCTGGCCCAACCCAACCCGATTCGGGTTGAGATTGGGTTGGGATTGGGTTGGGTTGGACCAGCCCAACTTACAGCCCTATCTACCATTGTCTCATAGTAGGACTCATTAATTTGATCCCTCCATGGTTGTCAAAGTTTTATATATCCCCTTTATTAAATAAATCTGTTAACCATTCAATTCTTGTACTTCTTTTTCTTTAAAAATTTGACAAAACACATGTCACAGTATGTAATGAACAAAAAAGTATAACTATAATGACAAGATAGTGTTGACAATCAAAATAATAGTAAAGTAGAAGAAGATGAAGGAGAAGAAAGAGGAGGAGAGAAAACGAGAGGGATGAGGAAGGAGAGAAAGAATGAAAGAATACTTTCATCCTTTCACCACATTCCATTTATACTAACAAGTCTCAGAAATTACACATAAGCACCCAACATTATATAAGTAATAACAAATAAATCCCTAACAACAGATAGGAGTAATACCATATATAATATAATATATATATATATATATATATATATATATATTCGACTAACTTAATCTTCTATCTTATGTAACTTTAGTATAAAAATTATAAATTAATTGAACTTCTATAATTGTCATTCTCAATAGATCTATAAATGAAAACTTATATTTTTATTAGATGTGTCCGTGTCTTAATTTTTAGAATTTGCCGTGTTAGTGTATATGTGTCATTTTGTGTCTGTGTCCAGTGTCCATGCCTCTTAGGATTCAACCCTAGGAGCGGTAGTTTCCTCATAAACATTAATATGCAACAAACAGAAAACATGTGTGAAACACATCAAAATTAAATGCATTCGAGTTAGAAAGTTAACCAACCTTCGGCCTAACAGGCTTAACAAAGGAAGGTCGCACAGGAAGGCCATAAACCTTAATTTGAGAAGGCTCAAGTCTAGCTTTCAATGCCCTTTTTGCTACCTCCTCTGTCGGACAATAGCATCTTGTTACAAGCTTATGAAACCTATACATCGTAAAAACGAATAAGATTATTACCCTAAGAATATTTTATAGGGAAAAACATAATGAGTCCAGAACATACCATGTAGGATGACAAGTGCTCAAATCTGTAACTACCGTGGTAAACACAATCTTTTCCAACAGACCCTTTGCCCTCAAAATTCGAAGTGGAACATGTTGCATTAAGGGATGTACACTGATAATAATATCTGGCTGGTATTTCATCAAGCCTTTGGCAACCTCTCTGCAGAAATTCAGGGTAACAGAATTATAATAGAACGAGTCATATGTCAAAACAGCTATCTAAGAGAATAAAGCATTAACTTCCATACTGAATTTTAAAAAGAAATAAGTAAACCATAATCTTTCAAGAGTCTAATGGGACTTGAAAGAAAAGAAGCAACCAAACAGCAAATAAAACACTTGAGGACTATAATGAAAAAAACTTGATGCAACTAGTAATAAATAAGAATTAAAACATAATAAAGAAGTAAGTTGCTGATGGATCAAACTTATAAACCGAAACTATGACTTCAGAATTATCTTTCCTTCATGCTAAGGAGGTACAATACTAAAACCATCTTATTAGACAGTTGATAAAGAAGTAACAACAAAGAGAAAATCATGAGACAGTCTTTCTTGACGCTGTGTGAGAGAGAAATTGGCTGGTTATAAGTGAAGAATAATCTCAAGAAAATCAAAATCAAAGGAGTCGTAACAATGAATTTGTAGGACAAGAAGTATTCTTCATACAGATTACCATTACCAGTACTTAGCTTCGAGTCTATCTCTAATCTGTTTTAATTGTGAACATTTAACCACACAAAACAAAGACGGCAAGGTTCCTTGGTATACATGTTATTTTTAGTTGGAAACTAGGGTTTTGAATTACTAGATATGACTCATAGGCACAAACTAAGATTGTAAGGTTGGGCAGAGACATTTCATGTCATGTCGTTTTGGAGAGGACAGAGGGGGGTGGATAGCTAGGCCAGTCAGCTCTGCTGTCGGAGTGGGGGTGTGGAGATCCATTGGGAAGGGGTGGGATGAGTTCTCTAAACATATTAGATTCAGAATTCGGGATGGAAGGGATGTCCGGTTTTGGGAGGATTCCTAGTGTGAGGATCGCCCATTGTCTCTTTTGTTCCCAAGGTTGTTCAGGATTGCTGTTGACAAAGATGCTATGGTTACTGACTGCTATCGTCTTGATAGCGGTAGGTTGTCTTGGGATGTGCGGTTCCAGCGATCCTTTCAGGATTGGGAGTTGGATGATGTTACTGGTTTGTTGGCTTTCTTGTATAGACAGGAGATGGAGGGCACTGGTGCGGATTCCTTGACTTGGGTGCCTTATGCGCAGGGAATGTTTCAGGTCCAGTCCTTCTTTTTTTGTCTCTCTGGGTTTCACGGTACCACCTTCCTGCGGAAGACGATGTGGCTGTCAAAGGCACCTCTTAGGGTAGCCTTTTTTATGTGGACCGCAGCTTGGGTAAGATTTTGACTTTGGACAATTTGAAGAAGAGAAGACATATCATTGTCAATCGATGCCGTCTTTGTATGATTGATGGAGAATCCGTGGATCACCTTTTGCTGCATTGTCCTGTGGCCCATGACGGTTGGAGTCTTATTTTTGGTCTGTTTGGTATATATTGGGTCATGCCCCAGACCTCAAGGGAGTTGATGGACATCTGGAGGGGCCAAAGGGTTGGAGGCGCATGCTAGAGATTTTTGGAGGGTGACCTCCCTTTGTGTTTGGTGGAGCCTTTGGAAAGAGCGAAATAGAAGATCTTTTGATGGGAAGGAGTCCTCCACTGGGGCGTTGAAGTTTTCTATTATTTGTACCCTTTTTTGTTTGGTTGGGGGAGAAATTATTCATCTATTGAGGAAATTGTGGACTTTTTGGGCTCTTTGAGTCCATAGGTCTTTCCCACTATCTTTTTTCTGGTTTGTGTACAGCTCTTGGGACGTGTTCCCCTTTTGAACGCTTTCTAATACATTTTACTTATCAAAAAAAAAAAGGTCGGGCAGAGTCATGTTTTAAATTGTGGCACAAAGATATTAGAATACCATAATTTTAAATATTCATCTGGAGGAAAGGGTTGAGGTAAATTTTGCCCATATAATTGGATATATATGCTCTAATATATGCATAAAAAGCTTTAAAAACATGCAAAATGTCAAGCAACCAAAACAACAATCACAAAGGTAAGAGGATTTAAGATAGCTGGTCTTGGGAAAAAAAAAAAAACAAGAAGGATAGCATGCAAATCCCCTAACTAGTAATTCCCCTCCTCAAAAACCAGGTCAAGTCCAATCTGTTATTTTCTTTAATCTTATTAGGATATTTCTTAAAGATGAATCAGCATGTAAAAAGAGACCGAGATATTTGAGATTTTATTTTCAAAAAATAAAAGGTAATAAGCACCAGTCTTTGCTGAATAGTATTTTAAAGTTTAGCTAAATTATGACTTGAGAAAAAGTACTTCAAATATCTAGTATAAAGTAAAACATCTTTCTGGGCATTGAGCGGAAACCAACTCAATGGGATATTTTGAATTTGCCTCAACCATAATACGCTTGAGCCCTAGACTTCTATTCTCTTCAAAACACTTTGGACAAAGCCTTAAAATTTTATGGTTATTGATTTATGTCAAGTCTTTTTGGAGTATGTGTTTCATTGTGATATGTTAAACCATGGTTGCTTCATGTCTTCAATGCCACAAATAGTTTCTGAATATGATTTCCCTTCCATTGTTTTTTTCTCTTATTGAGTGCTTTTCTTAACTACACAGTTTTGTTATGTTCTTCTGAATCATATAAAATTACCATGTGCAAGGGTGTAAGCATGTCTAATGAGCATTTTGGAACCAATTAGGGAACATGGAAGGAAAAGGCCTTTTTTTCGGAAATAATAAAGAACAACAAAGAAGGAATTCTATACAAACACACACACACATATAGCATTACAAAAAACCAAAATAGGAAGAGAATAACAAAACTGTGTAGTTAAGAAAAGCACCCAATAGGGGGGGGGGGGGGGAACAACGGAAGGGAAATCATATTCAAAAACTATGAAGACATGAAGCAACCATGGTTTAACATATCACAATGAAACTCATACTCCAAAAAGACTGACATCAATCAATAACCACAAAATTTAAGGCTTTGTCCAAAGTGTTTTGAAGAGGATAGAAATCTAGGGCTCAAGAGTATTATGGTTGAGGCAAATTCAAAATATCCCATTGAGTTGGTTTCCGTTCAAAATCTCAATGCCTAGAAAGATGTTTTACTTTATCCAAGATATTTGAAGTACTTTTTCGCAAATCATAATTTAGCTAACTTGTAAAATGCTATTCGGCAAAGACCGGTGCTTATTACCTTCTTTTTTTTTCTTTTTTTTTTTAAATCTCAAAAATCTCGGTCTCTTTTTCCATGCTTATTCATCTTTCAAGAAATATGCTAATGAGATTAAAGAAAATAACAGATTGAACTTGATCTGGTTTTTGAGGAGATGGGTTTTAATTTTCTCTTTTCATGTACTGCTTTCTGAATTATTTGCAATAAAATCAAGTTCATCAATTTAGATTCATTGAGAGAGAGGATAGGATAGAAGAAAGAAGAGGGGGGGGAGGGGTTGCGAGGAAATCAACCACCAAGTTTTTAGTCTCTCTCTAGTTTATTAGAGGTGGTTTAGGTTGTCACTGTTGCCTTTACTTTTCCGGTTGCAGTATCTGTTAATCTTTGCTTTTCTGTTAACCGCTACACTTTCTCCTGCATTTTCCAATGACTCGTAGTTCCCAGTGATTTTCTTGCATTTACAGCGCTTCCCTTGAGATTTTTCTGGTCTATGCTATTGCCTTCTCCATCTAATATCATCCGCAATGCTTTCCCGGTGAATCACTGGTGGGTGCTGTTCAGTACTCTGCTTACTTCTGGTCATGCGCTGCTGAAGAAGGTGAAATTCCTTCCGATCATGAAGCCGGTATCGATAATGGAAAATTAACTGACTCTGGTAAGAACTCTTCTGATGCTATTCGTGACAGTATTTACCTCTGCCAAATCAATCTGGGCTTGTTAATGCTCCTCAATTGGCTTGGGTAATGCTGGTTCTCAGAGTTTTTTGGTCTCTGAAAAACCCGTGACAAAGCACCAATTGGAGTTCTTTCAACCTAGCAAAGATGGTGACAGAATTGCTGTAAGAGCTCCAAATGGTCTTGGTTCCCCTGGTACTTTTAGGTGGAAGAATACCTTGGCGGGATATTTTTTAGGTCGCAAATTAACTCCTTTCCCTTGTTTCTGATATTGCAAAAAAGCCTTGGAACAATGATGGTCTTTTGAATGTTTTGTCCAATAATCCTGGATTCTTTTTCGTTCAGTTATCATCTGAAACCTCTTTGATCCATGTTTTGGAGGGTGGCCCTTGGCATTTTGTTGGTTGTTACCTTATCTTGCAGAAATGGCACCCCAAAATGCAGTTAACCAAAGGAGCTACATTGAAGGTCCTAATGATCAGAATAATCCGTTTGCTTAATAAATCGGATATGGATTACAGGTAATCCGGTCCGATTAAAATTATATATAAATATATATATATATATATATATATATATATATATATATATATGTTTACGTTCCAATATATTATATATGTATGTTTTTTATATTAGTTACCTACCACTAAACTTATGTATATTAATTTAGATTCATTTGGTTGCATAGCAGGCATGGCCCTAAATGTATTCCCCCCGCGCGCGCGCCAGGGGGGGGTGGGGGTGGAATTGCCCCCTTGATTTTTTTTATTTATAGTAATTTACCCTTGTTAATTTGGTTTTTTAATTATATACCCATAAAATATTACTATTGCCCCCCTGAAATTACTAAAAAAATTCATTATCCCCCCCCCCCCCCCCCCTTCTAATTTTTTGGGTCCGTCCCTGTTGCATAGTTATATTATGCACCATCTTATATATTAACAACCCTCCACTCCACTTAAGCTTAAAATAACTTATAACTAGACATGCCAGAGCCAGTCGATAAGATTTTAATCTGAGTCAATAAGGATATGGATTGAAACATTCAATCCGATAATCCATTAGCTAAACAAATGGATATGAATTATGGTTGATCCGATCTGTTGACAGGCCATAACCGAGTTTGTCCAAAGGCTGAGTTTTTCAAAAATCTGTATTGAAGTTGATTTTTTCTGATTCTTGGATAAGTATTCATTAAAGAGCATCCGAAAGGAGAGCATGGCCCAGAACAAGCTGACCAAAAACCTATAGCCTCAAGCTATCTACAAAATCTAAAGGAATCTCCAAGGATTACAATTAGAGCCATGGAACCAAAGGAATGGAGAACTAAGGATAGGAAATATAAACACTCCCCAAAGAGACTTCACCCATCAAAGGATCTCCTATTCCTCTCTCTCCATAAGGCCCACCAAAGACAAATGGGGGCAGTCCTCCATGCATCTCTGACTTGGAAACGCACTCGGCAATTGTCCCAAGCATCAATCAAACTCCTCACGGACTCTGGCATGGTGGATCCCAAAGTTGGCAGACAACATATCCCATCCATCCTTTGCGATAGGGCAATGTGGAAGGAGATGATCCCACCGCCTTCTCATCCCTCTTGCACATACAATACCAACTGACAAAAATCCGAAGCCGCCTTGTCAATGTTCAAAATTCTTCCCAAAGCTGATGTCCAACCAAAAAAGGCCAACTTTAACCTTCTTTTTTTTTTTTTGGGGGGGGGGGGTGTTGGTGGGGGAGTGGTGCGGTGTTGAGCACCAAATTCCTTTCCGTGGAAAAGACACCCCTGAGCATCCATCAGCTAACAATAGAAGGATTATACCTCAAATCTCCCTTGGCTTTCCACGTCCGCTCATCCATCCCCACCTCAAAAATCACCTGGCTATATAGCATCACCAAAAACTCAACCATATCCTTTACCTCCCAATCATAAACAGTCTCTCAAACTGCACCTCCCAGATCAATCTCCCCTCATCAAAATGATAACAGTGGGCAACCAACACATACTCTTCTTTTGACTTCTACTTTAAAAATGATCATAAGCAAATTGAAATTTAAGTTGAATATGTTTGGATTCCCAAACTATGTGCTCAGTGTAAGAAATTTGGACACACTACTGCCCAGAGTAATTTATTTTGAATTTATGTTAATTCAGATAAAATTGAAAAAGTTGAAACTTGTTAAACCAACCAACAAGACTTATTCGCTCCCCCTCCAGGTCTAGATCACGGACTTATTCACTCCCACTCTAGGTCTAAGACTTTGCACGACTCTCTATCCGAGCTTCGGGTTCCGGTCCTACAAACTTTCAAATATGCCTCTTGCCAAACACATTGTTATATGCATTTTGACCAAAGATATCTGCAATGGGCTAGCAATATAAGGTTTGATGGCCCACAATAAATGTTTGGCACTATGGTTCAAGACTTCCATAAACTAATTCCTCTGCAATAAACAGACTTTTTACTCATTGTTACCTATACTTCATTTTGGTTAATGAACTTCCATGCATTAACTACTACCAAAGAAACCAATGCCTGAGCAGAAGTGGACATGTAATGTCAGGATAAAGAAAACTCTTCCAAATAAACACGTAGCACTTGGTTAGTGATTTGAGTGGTAAAGGCTTCAATATATCTATAGAAAAGTAGAACTTTTCAACTAGTATTACGACAAGTTTGACATTTCATACTAAACTAGAATTAATTACATATACAAGACCAAATGGAAACATGGAGTTTGTGATGTCCCACATCGCTTCGGGGGGAGAAGTTGTTAAGACTCATATGTGTGGACACCTCTTAACTGTGTATCCACCTTTTGAAGACCGTGAGCACAGAGGGTGTGCAAAGCGGACAATATCTACACGGGGGGCTTGGGGGGGTGGTGGAGGGGGTTGCACAAGCCTGTGCAGGTCATACCAGCAAGAACAGTGGGTCAATAGGTGATTGTGATGTCCCACATCACCTTGGGGTGGGGGAGAAGTTGTTGAGCCTTATATGTGAAGACACCATGTGCAGACAAGTTTTAAAAACCGTGAGCACGGAGAGTGAGCGAAGCGGACAATATCTAAACAGGGTGAGGCGAGTCATGATAGAGTTGATAAATAAATGACTCTCTGCCAAAGATACTCACATAAGACTTAGTATCTTCCATCCAAGCACCCAAAATTTAATCACCAAGGCATACACATTTCCAGCAAATATGACATCGAAAACAAGGAGGATTAAGCCATACATCCTCCCAGGCTCCCCCATCAAGATGGTATGAGCAAAATATCAGAAAATAGCAGAGATTACAAACCAAACTAGACACCTAAGTAATCTTTCAATTCCTCAATCAATTCAAATCAAAGTTTTCGTTCAGGAATGCAGAGATGTGCAGGGAGTTCTCCCATATTGATTGTGAATTTGTGACCAGATAATTTCCATAAGGAATCTAATAAGCTGATAAAATTGTTGCAATGCAATAGTACACAAAGCTTTATTGCAGATTTTATGAACAGATATTTGACCATTTGATATTTACCCAAAACCAATGAAATGTAACATTAAAACCAGTGATGTAACTAAAGATAAGAGAATTATCTCACCGAGCTATAAATGTCGATGTTGCGGCAAAATTGGATTGATGCACCAGACGCGGAGCAGAAGCATAATATGTCATTTTCCACAAAGACCCATGTTTCACCAAGAAGTTATAACTTCTTGGCAATTGATTAAACGGCCAAGGAGTGTGGTCTGTCCACAAATCAGTAACAAACACCTGCAACACACACACTTTAAAAGCACAGAACAAAAATCAACATTTATATACAGACACCCACTTATTCTTTTTTCAAAATTAATTGCAACTAATCCATCAAAATTAACCTGATACTCATCACCAAATTCTTCGTTAAATGCGGCTTTAATGGCTTCTGCAGAAGCCCGGTGACCACCACCAGTGTCACTCATCAAAATAAGCACCTTTTTCGGACTCTTGGACCCCACTCCATTCAAGGGCAATCCACAATCCTCCAAAACACCACAGCCATCTTCGCCCAATCCATTATTATTCCCAGAACCGACTTTGACAGAGGCGAACCCAAGTGGGATTTTCTCACAATGAAACTTAATGGCACTATTGAAATCAATAAAGAATTTCCGAATTCTCGAAGCACTTCGACTATTCAAGCTCAATGAACCAACAAACTTCGACTTGTTTTCACCAGCCCAACCCCCAAACCCATCGAAGTACAAGTAATTGGCCAATACAGAAGCGCACCCATCTGAATTCAAATTGTTAAACCTAGAATCTGCAAAGCAACGCAACTTGGATACAAAAGTAAGTGCATTACTGAATTCTTGAGTCACACTTGAAGGTTGCATGATTGCTTATGCGTTGTAGAGGCAACAAGAACATAAGCAGTCAATCCATGGAGGGTCTTTATCATGTAAATAAAAATCGGTCTCCTCTGTATTGGCTAAAGAAGAAGAAAGAGAAGTACTAAGAGCAAAAGAAAACAAGTTTAGAGAGAGAGAGAGAAACAAGCCAAAGATGAGGAAATAAGTGACAGTGAGGTGTTTGTGACTGTGGCTGAGAGAGAGACAAGGGCGGCTAATCTGGGGAGGTTTTGCAGCCACAGAGAGAGGATTTAGTGAGAGAAATATTCCAAGGGATTTCAAACAATATGCCCTTTGGATTGCGCAAAAGAAAGCAATTTAGAGAGAGAACCAAGCCAGAGATAAGGAGAGATGTGACAGTGTGTGTGAGAGAGAGAGAGAGGAGGGAAGGAGGGGGCGAATCTGGAGGGAGGCTCTGCGGCCACAAAGAGAGGATTTAGCGTGAGAAATAATATTCCGAATGATGATATCAAACAATGGTACTGTGCCCTTTGGAGTGCACAACACAACCCATAGAAAAAATGTGAAAAAACACCCTAAAAGGGTGGGAGACCACCAAAGCCTAAACAAAAGGCACCATATGTGAAGTGGTCGGTCCATCACGCACTAGGTGAGTTTTGTATGCCGTGTTGACTTATTTTTTTACAAAGATAGTACGCAAATAAATAAAGTTTTATAAACATGTTTTTCTTCCTCCATTGTCTCTCTGTTTTTGTTAGGGGTTGGACTCATCAATTCGATTTTCGTCCAAAAATTTTATGGGAGTGGGTAAGTTACTTGAGATTTTGTCTAAAGATGATTGGGTTTAACCTTTAAATTTTGGATGGAATTTGGTGAAATATTTTCTTAACATGAGAAACCCAAAAACCTAAAGAAAATATAAGAATAGTTTATAAATTTTATATTTAAAATAGTTATTTATATTATCATCAATCATATAATTCGTCACCTGAGATCATATTATTTCTCTAAGATCATATTACATAGTTTGGTTAATTTTGATTACACGATTTAGACCGGTGAACATAACATGTTTATTTTCTCTTAATGTTTATTTGTTAATAAGTTATTAAAATTTGGGATGACCTGAGAAACCCAAAAAAAAAACTTATGAATGGCGTGGGTTGATAATTTAGAGGTGGCAATTTATGTTCGTGGGTCGTGTTTGTATCATGTCGATGTAAGGATATTATACTAAATAGGTAAATCTAAACCTAACCCATTTAATAATCGTGTCAAGAATTATCAACACTAATCCAACTTGTTTATTAAATAAGTAAAAGTGTTAACCCGTTTAATGACATATTTATCAAAACGATACATTTAATATTTAATTAAATACTAAATAATACTAAATAATAATAAATAAAAAAATTGTCACAATTAACCCAAATATTCAAAATAAAAAGAGAAATCATAAGATATAGACAAGGTTTATGTTGAAATGACTTAACTATCCATAGTAATTGTGTTTAAATAAGTAACATATTACATAAGTCATATTCACAATTATAACATATTAAGTTAAATGGGTCATAAACGGGTTACACAGGTTGTTAACCCAAATATTCAAAATAAAAATAAAAATCATAAGGTATAGACAAGGTTTATGTTGAAATGACTTAACTATCCATAGTAATTGGATTTAAACAAGTAATATATTACATAAGTCATATTCACGATTGTAACATGTTAAGTTAAATGGGTCATAAACGGGTTACAGGGGTTGTTAACCCAAATATTCAAAATAAAAAAGAAAAATCATAAGGTATAGATAAGGTTTATGTTGAAATGACTTAACTATTTATAGTAATTGAGTTTAAATAAGTAACATATTACATAAGTCATATTCACGATTATAAACGGGTTATACGGATTGAACCCCTCAACCCAAACTCGACATGATTAAGTAAACGGGTTAATCGTGTAGACCTTTATGACTCAAACCCGTTTATGCCAAACCCAAATCCTTTTAACTCGTGTTGTTTTCGTATTGTGTGGTGTCTTAATTTGTCACCCTTAGTTGATACGCGATGAGTTTCTTCAAACTTAGACTTGACACAGACTAAGGTGTTAGAACATGGGGTTTGGTGTGGACTTGGCCCAATAAAATCAATCATCTCCAAATCACTATAAATGCTAGGCTAAAACGGCAGGTAACCTCTATACGGGGGATAAGCTTGAGTAGGTTTTTTTCCAAAAATTCGGCACGACAGCTGCGGGGTTGGGGGGTGGTGTTGTGACAATGAAAAAGATATTATAAACTTTAGCAAGGCAAGTGCATATTATAAAAAATATTATTGGGATTGTTTTAGTATTTTAATAAAAAATTTTAAGTATATAATTGAAATAAAAAAAAAAAAATCAGTGGAGATGGCCGAACCTACGTAAACTCTTTTATTCATTAGTTGAAAATTTGATGCATAAAAATCCACAAGGACATAAACTCAGATATTCAGTTTAACTCTCACGGTGTAAAAACACTAGTATTTAAATAATATGTATGATTTACAAGTTATTACACGTATATAAGGTCATCTTATAGTTTCAGCTAATGAATAAAAGAGTTTATGTTCTCGGTCATTAAAGAGCTCTCTTAACAGTATTACTCATTAATAAACAAGAAAAAAATGTTTTTCTAACGAAGTAAATGAGTCAAAGGGCAAGGTTCATTTACACTTCACCACTGTTCACAAAGAAAATAAAAAAAGTTGCAAGTCCAAATTGAAGGAATATTAACTTGAATTGGAATTCAACAAAAACAAATACTTTTAACCAATGGTATAATCTCTCCTCTCAATCGAGAAGGTTGAGAGTTCGAGTATCAGAAAAGCAAAAGAAAGCATAATAAATAGCTAAGGGAGAGAGGAAGAAATTTTCTTGAAGCAAAAGGCTGACATTGATGGGTTAATGCAATGGATCAAAAACACCAAACATTTTTCATTTGAATGAAGCCCAAAGATTTAGGGGCGCAACATACATAATACGGCCGAGGCCTATAAATTTGAAAATGTCCATTTAATGGGCCCATTTTCAAGTCTCAAAATTTTGACATTTGGCACCAAGTTTACATTATAAATTTGTAATAGGCCCACCGAAAACCCAATTACATTGGCCCATCAGAACCCACGTAACTTCTGCCCCATCCCAACTTGTAGTTGATTGGATATATGTAATGGGTAAAAAATAAAAACTAAGTGACACGAATTAAGAGAGGAAGCGCAAAAGTAGTTTATTAAAGTGGAGTGGAAGCTAAAGCGTTCAAAGTGTGAGAGTAGGTGTAATATTCTTAATTTTAGCGGTTTTATTTATTTAAATTAATTACTTTATTTGAATTATTTTTATTTATTTAATTGTTTGTGTGAGTTGTGTAATTGATATTTAATTAAATGTTAATTGTTATTTGTGATTTAATTTTATTTAATGTACTAATGTGTATTTGAATTGTTTATTGTGTGAATTATTTGTTTATTTTATTATTTTTTTACCAAACATGCTTTCATATTTTCGCTTCTAAAAATCTTGTAACAAATTTACGTTATAAAACAAGTTTTCAAATAGTGTTGAATATACTCTAAAACAGAAACATTATTTCTGTTTCGAATTAAAGCAAAAATACAAAATAACTGTAGTTGGCGAGTTGCCATTCAGGACCCTAATTTTTGGCAAGTAAGGTCCCGTGAGCTTGTACAATTCTTACTTTTTAGGTGAACGCGTAGCATTCATGGTGAACTTGTACCATTCCTAATTTTAGGTGAACTTGTACCATTGATGGTGAACTTGTATCATTTATGGTGACTTTGGAGTCCATTTCAAAAATGTGTTATATCATGAATAAAAATTAATTCTACATGCACCATGATTATCCTTGTCCACTCACTGTATTATTGTCTAAAGAGCCCTTGATTTTTCTAATGTTTAAATTTTGGACAATATTATTCCATATTTTTTTTTGGGTATTTAAGTATGTTAAGTTTGAATAAATAATTAAAGAAGGACTTCATGTCACTATTTGGTTACAAATTTAGTCATGTGACATTTTTAAAATATAAAATTTTAAAAATACCCATTTCTCTTTTAATAATGTCCTTATATAAGAAGAAAAAAAGAGGAATACTTTAGTCATTTCACATTTAATTATTTTTTGCCTTTTTAGAGAAACACTTTTGTTTTCAACATTTAAATTCTTATTTGCTCAAAAATTAAATGTTATGAATTTTTCAGATACAAGAAGTTATACACTCTATATGCACACTATATGAATATTTTTCACGATTGACACTTTTTCTATACTCTAAATGTGTCTCTTTCCTCTAAGTAGTTTCAAGGGCTAAAAATAAATGTCCCTCAAACCATTTTGAAATGATTAGAAATAAATGACACTTTCAAAAAGTTATGATAAAGAGAAAGTTAAAAATCATTAGTTTTCTTTATCAATTACAAAATTGAGATAAGTTTTTATTGACTTTGCTTTACTTTTGCAAATTATGAGTTTTTATTTTATTTTTTACATTTATCATTATAGCATTACTCTTTTAAAATCATAAAATTTTGATTTTCCTCCAAAATTAACAATCTATATTTTCTTATGTTTACAGCAAAATCAACAATCTATATTTTCTTATGTTTAGAAGGTGGTTTTTAAAATTATAAATCGAGACAAGCATATAATGAATGTCACACCACCAAAGTTGGAATTTTTTTTTTTGAATGAAAACAAAGTTGGAATTTCTTAAAGAGATTAGCTCTTGAGAACGTGCTCCCTTCATGAATGAGTTATGAACTCTTCATATTTACCATTCAAAATAATAATAATAATAATAATCATTCAATCAAAGTAATTTTTGAAATATATGAAAAGTCTAATAATATATTTTTTAATCAGTTGATTAAATGTAGAAAACTCAGGACAACTCTTATAAGCATTACTCATGTGTTTTATTATTGACGTGCATCTAATTTGATCACTAGTCCTGTAATTACTTTCATGTGCAAGTTGGTAGAGTTGTACCAATTGTGTCAATTTAAATAATAGATGGTTCATATGTAGGAAGGACCAAGTGGGAGTGGTCCCAAATTTTCATTGATTTGTTTAATCATTCAATCAAAGTAATTTTTGAAATATATGAAAAGTCTAATAATATATTTTTTAATCAATTGATTAGAAGTAGAGAACTCAGGACAACTCGTATAAGCATTACTCATGTGTTTTATTGTTAAAGTGTATCTAATTTGACCACTAACCCTATAATTACTTCTATGTGCAGTTGGTAGAGTTGTACCAATTGTATCGGTTTAAATAATAGATGTTTCATATCTAGGAAGGACCAAGTAGGAGTGGTCCCAAATTTTCGTTGATTTGTTTGTTTTTAGGAGATCAATCAACATGATGAATTATTGAGATCTCGTTTTTAGATTACAATCTTAACTTGTATAAGGTGTGTATTGTGAAGCTGGTGTACATATTGTATTATAAAAAAAAAAAAATTGGTGGGTGT